TTCATGGCTCTTTTTAGCAGCCTGTAGTATACATCATCTGCTCTCTATCTACCGACTTTTCTTCTCTTCCTCTTCTTCCTTTCGTCTTTTTTTACCGTCGTCTTTTGTCGACTTCTTCCTCTCGTTTTCTCTTTTGTTTTTTGGTTTTCCTCAGGTGGGCCCAACCTAGTCCCTTTTAGGTCTTAGCCCCGTTCCGCCCTTAAAAACTTTTCTTGAGATTATGTAATGCCGAGGTAAACTCAAAGTGACATCTTTTTTCTCTCTCTCGAAACAAACAGATATAAATAATATAAAAAAAGATGATAATATAAAATAATCGAGATATAGGCGGCAAGAAGATGCAGATAGGGTTTTGTTCTAGACGCGACGATATCAGATGCAGCTATACCTACATCTATGCCTCAATTGATAGACAGACAGACGACGACGATGACAATGGAAGACAGCAGCCATAAACACATGCCGAAGCTCCACGTGACAGAAGGCGATTTGCGGCGGGCATCCCGTAGATCATGGCAAGCCAACCGAGAGCAAAAGAAAAAGGGGCCAGCGAAGGCAAAGCAAGCAAGCAGACAAGAAAAAAAAGAGAGTCTTTTCGTTGCTTTTTCGCAGCTTGCCATGCGAGAAAAGACACAGACCAGTCGGCGTACTTGTGTTCTTCGCTTTTTCTTTTTTTCTTCTTCTTTTCCTTCTAAATTCCAGCTTTTGCCTTCGCTGTGAGGCGTCGGCTTGCCCGTTTAACCGGCTACGGCAGTCTGACTGGTCGATAAAAAAAACCACACACACACACACACGCTTGACAATTTAACGACTTGACACAGCCGCAAACATGGACACAGACAGAGTAGCATGCATACGGTGATGGCCGGCAGGGAGGGTAGGAAGTGTAACTCAGAAGTGAAAAGTCAATCGGTGTACATGCATGCTACATGCTACTTCCCCAAGGTTGTAACCAGCTCCGCGCTTACGGTAGGCATAGGCGCTTCTCCACGTTTGACTCTCATGACTTCGTGGGATGGGGGAAAGATGGGGGAAGATGGAGCTCGATCGGCGAGCATGGAGCCAGAGAGGGGGGTTTTTGACGAGGATTTCATTCTTTCGGACAGAAGCCGCGTTGGGGGGACGTTGGAAGAGAGACCCTTTTTGCGGAGTAAGTTAGGAATATGGGGGAGATGGAGATGCAGATACAGGTACAGTTACAAACATATGTCTCCGATGCAAGTGTTAGGATAGGTCAGTGCTGATCTGGGACGGACGAAGGGCACTGACAGGAAAACCAAGGGACGGTAAGGCCGTTTCATCGGCTTTTTCCCTGACTACCCTTATGTTTTATCCCGTACTTTTAACCTGCTAAAACATCGTTTTTTTCCCTTCCTTTCATATGACACCGAGCCTGCATGCTGCCACCTGCGGCCCATGCTCTCCCACGGCCAGGCTTTAGTCCTCTTCAGGAATCTCATCCCCGGCTAACTTGCAGGCTTAGCGTAGAGACACAAGGTACGGAGTAGTTTTACAGTTACACACACCGCTTGCCGAGCCGTCCAGACTGGGATAGGCTTGACTCAGGCTGGCCGTGGAGAGAGCCTTTGAAATTGGCCGATTCTGGGGTAAAGATTAAGAGGCTCGGCTATGCTGATGGTTTTACGAGGTCCTCGGGGCCTGGGGAAATGAGGGTCTCTCGTGTTAATTTCCGACCTTCTGTATGTCGACTGACGGGATTAATTGCTAAGGTAGCTCGGAAGGGCGCATGCTAAAGTTGACTTTGAATTTGATATATTCCTTAAATATAAGTAAAATATATGTATTAAAAAAGGGGGATTTGGGTAGGTACCTAGGTGCTTATTTTATTGCTGCTTGAGAAAAAATATAGACGTAACGTGACGTTACATGTCACGGATTAGACATGTGCTGAAAACTGTTGGCCGTACCCCTAGATAGAACGCTGGTAAGCAGATTGTATAGAAGGGATAAGATATCTATAGGAAGGGAGCATTACCTCTACCCAAAAAGGGTATGCGGGATCAAAATCCTGAAGGGGGATAACTTTGCCCTTTTGAATATAGAGGAGGGGGGCGGGGAGCTTCTTCTCGTGGTACAAATTGATAGCAGCCTGAAGGTTTATTTTCTGGTCTTCTTTTGTTTCCGAGCTATCAATCATTGCTTGGAGCTCTGCAATTCGTCCTTCTACGTCCCATTTGATCGGGTTGGGACATACAGGCAGAGGGTTGAATTCAGGGCGCGGTGTCATGGTGTTAGATAACCGGGAAGTTGAAGACGTTCCAGAGACTGAAGGACAGGCAGACGTGGTTGACCTTGTTGAGATAGAGGACGTCACCGAACGGTAGCCGTTGGACCACAAGGGACAAAAAGGCCTAATGCCCCAAGGAATCCTTGGGTAATGAGTGTGAGTCGTAGTAGCCAATGGATATTCCAACAGTAGCCCTTTCATGTGACTATGACTAATTAATTAGGTTCATAGAACAGAACATATGACGTCGCCAGTAGAGGTAGAGGCAGAGGCAGAAGAGCTTATAGTAGGGGTTGGAGTAGTAGCAAGTCAATGATGCTGATTGAAACGCGAAGAACGGGGGGAAAAGAGAAGAAGAGGAAGAAGAAGGAGAGAAGAAAACGCGAGTGAGGGGACTTTATACCTGGCGGACGCGGTGGCAAACATGACAAACATTTCCCAAGGAGCTCACTTTGTGAGTATCCGGGCAAACGAAAACGTTGCTAGGCGTCAGGTCTTATTTTTGTGTTAGCTTTATATATATAGAAAAGAAAAAGATAGGAGCATCTACCAGGATGGCGAATTACGGGCTTGTTCAAGGGATTTTGAAGATCTTCCGGAAGGAGGTATGGAGCAACTCTAAGATACTTCTGCAGGAGAAGCAAGTAATCTTCGTGTGAATTCACTCCTGGAAAAACAGTATTATGCGGGAAGTCACACTCGAGATGTTTTCCAAACTTCTTTATCCATTCAGCTTCTTTCTGGGCCACAGCAATGATATATCCTTTCGGATTATCCCCTTTGAACTGTTAGTTAGGTAAAATCATGTTTCAGGGTTAAGATAACTTACATGGCCCACGATCAAGCTGAAGTTCAGCTCGTTTCCCATACCAAAACATGTAATCTGTAGTGAGTCCTATGCAGTAGGTTTTGGAGTCATCTTCTCTATCCGGTATACCTGGTGCGTAGAGTTTCTGTTGTAGGTGTGGTGGTATATCCGATTTGAAGTATAAGCTCCCAGTTGAGGCAAAGGGAATGTTAAAGAGTTTCCTTTCAATATCAACAATCCCAGTTACTAAAGCATGTTTTTGGTACTTAGTTGTATTGAACCAGCAGGTATCCGCACCAACACCAGACGCGTACTCCATAATAATATACTCAATGCCAACGGGGTTATCCGTCGTCGAAGCCCAGCCGTAGACCTCGGGGACAGGTATGTCCTTTGAGCGAAGGAATGTAAGTGTTGCAGCTTCGCTAGCTGTAGCATATGTTTTTGGAACCGAGATCTGGTAAGGAATCTTCACGATAACCTGGAAGCCGTCTTCCATTGTAGCTAGGAGAATCCGGTTGAACCCACCTTCACTTAACTTACCAAGACTACTGACCTCCCCATGGCCAACTTGCTTTCTTACTTCGGCCTTCAGGGCGGTAATATTAAATGGAACGTTTCGTTCACGTAGGAGTACGAAAAAAGGGAATTATCATCCCCTGGATCTAATTGGGGAACGTTAGGCAAACCGTTATCTGGAGGAGATGACGTTGGAACTAACAAGTAGACATCTGACGGTAGAGTACAGTTACCCTGCTACCCCGTTGCTCAATGTACGGGCGGGAACGCACGAATATAGCCGCTCGAACCGGACGAAAAAACATAGATATGCCTGTATATCTGCTAGTTAGTTTTTCATTCGAAAATATACTCGAGGTGGCCTGAAAAGAGTGTTTGAACGAGCATAATGTAGGCAGTTAGTTCACCACATGAATATGAGCCCACGAATTTACGAAATAGCTAGTCAGTTAGAATTTATATATATTCAATATCAAGCTACGACGTTGGCCAGGTACAATTACGGTCCTCTGGTTCCATGTAAAATACACAGTAAATTGGTTATTCTTGGCGTAGCTCTTAATTTCTATTTAGCATAAAATTTGACAGTTCCTACTTTGGGGTAGGCTTGGGAAGCCACCTTGAAAGGGCGCATGCTGAAGTTGGCTTTGAATTTGATAAATATTTAAGGAATATAAAATATAAGTAAAATATGTAAAGTGTTATGCTATATATAAAAAGGGGGGTGGGTAAGTATAAGAGATTAGTAAGCAAAGGGTATCCGGCACCGAGAAGGTATAAAAAAGGTGTATATACAGTTGGCAGAAGTAGATAAAAAAAGATGGAAAGGAAGATAATAATAATAATAATAATAAATAAAACAAAAAAAAAAGAGTGTGAAGATAGAAAGGGAATTCAGAAGTGAATGTGATAGAAGCCGAAGGGAGAGGAGGGAAAGGAAAAAGGGAAGGAATGGCAGTGGGTGGTCAGTCATCAGAGGGTTTCTTGCGGCCAAAAATGCTGCGGCTGCGGGTCCGAGACTTGGAGCTCGTCGACTTGACGCTGCCTCCCCCTTTTTTCTTCGACACAGTCTCGTCGTCCATGTACTTGTCCTTGTAGATCCTGCACTCATCACATCAGTATACCATATCAATACCATATCATTAGAACATAAAAAGCAAAAGGGGAGACCTACCAGCTACTTCCTACCATGCTCATGCCTCCCTTCTCGGCCATGCGGTAATACTTTGCCGCCTTCTTTAGGTCCTTCTTGCAGCCGACTCCCTCAGCATAGCAGTACCCAGCTTCGGCCATGGCATCAACATCTCCCCACCGGCCAGCAATCTCAAAACACCGTAGCGCAAGAGCCTTGTCCTGTCCCACTCCCCAGCCATTCAGGTTGCTCACTCCCAGCTCGTAGATGGCCAGCGCCAGCTGAGCCTGGCGGGCTTTCCGCTCAGACATGTTCATCTTCCCGCTGCCGTTGCTGGATAGCAGTTTCTGCAGTGCTGCATCGCAGGCCTCGGGACTGGGCGGGTTGCTGCTCGCTAGGTCTAGTCCCGCAGTGTCGACTGCTCTGCGTAACCATTGCACGCCTTCCGTCTGGTCAGCTCGGCGGCCCCAGCCATGGCGGCATGCAAGGGCGTACAGGAGCATGCCAGTTGGGTGGTTCTGCATAGCTGCAAGACGCAGGTGGTACGTCGACTCCTTCAGCGAGCCGGACTCATGGCATTCAATACCCCTGGTTACGTGCTCTTCTGCCGTTGTTGGCTCGTTTTCCGTGTCGTTATCTTTCTCTTCTGCGGGAGGACGGACTGTGCTCTGGCTTTGAATAGATGTTGTTTTGGCATCGGTGCTGGCAGAAGCGATGCTCGTGCTCGACTGTTCTCGATCTAGTGACGGCCGCACCTGTTTGATGCTCTTCGCTGGAGATGTTGTGTTTGGATTCTGCGCCGGAGCTGGGGTTGGGGTCGGGGTCTGACTCTGATTCTGAGTAGCTCCGTAGTTTGGCCCAGGATCAGTGATTGATCGCTCAAACTGAGGTGGCTGGAAGTCTCCCTGCGGTTCGCCGCCGTTAAACGTCTTGGATTCTCGTGAGATCAATCGGCCCCGGGGAAGAGAGAACTTTGCATAGATGTACGACTGTCCGGCTGAGAGCGGTGGTTCAGTGGCTTCATCCGCGGACGGAGACGGTGTGGCCAGGGGCGCGGGCACAGTTATAGGCGCTGGCTTGTTTTCCCTGTTCAGGAATGAACTGGTCGTACCCGTAGATGGCGAGTTTGTAACGGAATCATGCATGGAATGAGAAGTATTAGATCGGCTCATCGGCCGGGAGAAATTAAATGATGGCTTTGTGAAATTGGGTGTCATGCTTCCTCCCGTTCCCGCTTCTGAGTTTGGCGACGGAGACCGCTGATATGCTCGGTTCATCTGTGATGGCTGAGGAGAATGGTGCATTGATACACCGCTGCTCGACGACATTTTGCGGGGCATAGAGAACGTTGATTTTGCACTTGACCCGTCATCGTCAGAGCTCTCCTGCGTAGAGCCGGCAGGACTGCTGTAAGATTGCAGTAGTGGAGGAGGCGCAAGGTGGTTATGCTGCTGCTGTCCGGAGTTGTTACTGTTGCTGCGTTGCTGCTGTTGGTTGGCATAGAACCGTGTAGGCGACCCGCCAGAGTGCGGTGATCGAGAACGTACAACATTCAGTCTATTGTCGATTGTCGGCCCCGGCCCAGGGGAAGGTGTTCTACCTCGTTCATGCGAGCCATTCCGGGCCCAGAATGTATCCGGAGAGTGAGCGCGGGGAGCCCCGTATGTGCTGTTTCCAACTGATTTCGTATCCCAGCTATCGTCTATAGGGAACGTATTACCAGTGCTGGTGTTAAGGGGTAGCCCGCTGATTCTGGGATGTTGTGATTTAGGCCTAAATGAAGGCTCTTCAAGTGACATGCCATTGCTAAAGGGTGCTTTCTCCGCATTCCCCCTCCCCCGTCCTCTCTGCTCGAAGTTGAACCCCGCGCGCATCGGCGTCTGGGCTTGTCTGGTATCTTCATCAGACAGTGTTCGATGATAGCCCCCTCTAGGCTGGGAAAGTGACCGTTCCACACTGGCAGGCGGTAGCCGACTTAGCCTGCGGCCAGCCTTGCGGGACTCATCAAACTGTTTAGCCAAAAGCCGGCCCTGGGCCGCAAAGGCATCAAGCGGAGAGAGGGCAGGTGGAATCTCGCCCGCGACATGCTGTAAGCGGGGGGAAACTAACGGACGACTTGGATGAACCTGTGTTGGCGTCGGAGATTGAGACTGTGACTGTGACTGCGGGTGTGGTTGTGTTGCCTGGAGCCGGCTGGCTGACTGTTGAGTGATTGAGACGGGGTCCGGCAACGGAAGTCCATCGTTAGGGGTCGCCATCGGGTTGTATCGAGAAGGAAATCACACGGGGTTCCGATCTGGGGAAGACGATAGTACTTTTGAAATGGAGTGCCGTGGTTCTCGTTCGGGACATCGATAAATGTTGGCCTTTGTATCTTCTTCTTCTCCCGTCTTCTTCGACTTTCACTGTTTTGGTTGGAGTAAAAAGAGTGTCTGGGTTGGGAAGTTAGAGAAGACACCCTGCCTCTGCCGTCATATCATCACGATCAACTAGCTGCGAGGTTCGAAACAAGGGGTCTCGATGTTTGAACGTATGTATGAATGCCTGGCGAGGTGTCGTTCGAAGGGGGGAGATTCCTTGACGGCTGCTGAAAAAGTACGGGTTCAACCTAAGGCCGCGAGTTAATTAAGAAAAAAAAAGGGAGCTAAGCAGATTAGTTAAGGGATACAGGGGGCAGTTCATGCAGGGGCCGAACTAACTCGGGCAAAGAGGTATAAGTAGATGGGCCAGCCGACTCCGACAACGACCACGGTGGAGACTTACTGTGTTCTTCACTCAAGATCCTCTTCCAGATGTCACCAAGATTGACGCTCGCTGTCAAAATTTTCCCCCGTTTTGAAATTTCTTTTTGCTGGTCGGAGGTTTAACGTCTATAGGCGGCTCAGCGTTGCCTTCAGGGTCAGCCATCAGCTTCAAGATCAGTCGAATACGAGAACGGGAGGCGAGCTTACTAAGGCCGTTGCCATGAAAATCAGCGGAGTACAACTCGGGACTCCTGATGGCGACAGGCAGACACTCAGGCAGGCGAGACGATGAGGTTCTTCCTCGCCCGGTCTGTCCCCTTGTTGGCACTGCTGCCGTTTGACGTTGCTGCAGTCCGACGTGAAACGGCAGCAGTGTCAACAAGGGGGGCGGACTGGGAGAAGAACAGCGAACAGCTTCATCGGCGTAACACAAAGGGAGAGCAGCAAATCGTTTGTTCATTCATTCATGATATCCAATCTATCTATATAAAATATACAGAGCAAAACAGCAGAAAATTCGTCAAGAATCAGAAGAAACCGAACAAAAAAGTCGAGGAAGTAAAAACTTCCGCTTTCGGATATATCCAGATATCACGTGAATCATATACATCGAATCAATATAAACGTCGTCTCGTCATGCAAACATAAATATCAACATGAACACCTCCAAGCCCGCAGAGGGAAAGGAAAAGATAGGGAGAAGGCCGCCAGTAACTCAAGGGAAGCTGTCGAGGTACTTGCGGTGAGGGTTCATGAACTCCCAGTTGGAGAATTTGTCCCAGTTGATGGACCACGTCATCAGGCCTCTGAAGGACGGGGACTTACCACCGCGAGGCTTGTAGGCCCCGCAAGACTCGCCCTTCATCAAGCAGTTCAGGGCTTGCTGTACGCCGTTTGCGTCGATGAAGCCGTTGCCAGCGTTGACGGTGGATGGAAGTCCAATAGCAATCTGATCCTCTCTCAACGGCGGGAAGGTGTTGTTCGTCCTGGCCACAGAGAAACCGGTCTTGAGCATATCCGCCATGGCGACGAGGAAGTCCGGAGAGCCGACGTTGTGGTACTGGTCATCAAGACCAATGATCGGGCCGGAGTTGTAGTTCTGGACCTGCAGAACAGTCAAGTCGTCACGCATGGCGTGGATGACGGGCAGATAGGATCCCGCGCGGGCATCGTTGCCATTCGAGGGGCCATAGGAACTGTAGCCCAGCTGCACGAAGAAAGTCTCTGGCGCCATGGTCAAGACAAAAGCCTTACCATACTTTGCCTTGAGGGTTTTCAGGGCAGAAATCAAGTTGACAATAACAGACGTCTTTGGGTTCTTGAAGTCGGTGTCTCCTTGGTCGAGGTAGAGGGAGTGTCCCTCGAAATCGATGTCCAGGCCATCAAGGCCGTACTTGTCGATGATACCCCCAACCGAACTGACGAATTTATCCCTTGCTTCGTTCGTTTTGAGCTGGACCTGGCCATTCTGCCCTCCGATTGATAGGAGAACTTTCTTTCCCTTGGCTCGCTTGGCTTTGATGGCAGCCTTGAACTCCTCCTCGCTCTCGACATTAGGGCATTCTGTCTTGGGACACAAGGCAAACTTGATATCACCTGAGTCCACGGAAGTGGGTTCCCCAAAGGCCAGTTCAATAATGTCCCATTCGTCAGGCACGTCTGCGAGTTTCATGTAACCAGAACCGTTAGCAAAACTAGCATGCAGATACCCGATCATTGCATGCTTGTTGAGCTCTGTCCCGTTGGTTCGGAATGGCCTACCCGCTACTGTGATGGCTGCGGTCAAGGCCGCCAGTATGGTAACGGGGGTTTTCATGGTGTGTGCTTGATCTGCCTGCTGCGTGACTCGACTGGTGGTGTGCCAAAGGAAGGGGGAAATCGATATAGCCCTCTTTCAGCTGTGTCCTGGCACAGAAGTCTCAGAAAGGCCTATAGAACTGTTGGTCTGTTTGGTTGGAATATGAGACACATCGTTTGCCCATTCGAATGCCTTTATATATCTATCCTCTCGTGGCAACGGTTACACAATCGAAGATGCTGTTGATATATCCATGGATGACTCTCAGGCGTCATTGATCCTCATGACATGCACTGGTGCCGGGCCAGGAACACCACTACAGATGTTAGGCACATCAGCCATTACCTATACGTGGCTTACATTTTTGACATCTACCCGTGAGATGTTGGACATATACGTTTTGACGGTTCTTGTGAGCACATACGGGGTAACGGGATACTACCCCCGGATGAAGGGGCCACCTCGTTGGGCATGGAGCGTGGTATTTGGGAAACATAGCGCGCGCAGGAAATGTGACCTTCGCCTTTTTTTATTCCTGCGCCTTTGATAACGGTAAAGTTTCGACCTTGATTCAATCTAACCTGCTTTTAAATTCCTAGGGCATATATGAAGAATCAGGCACTCCAGACGCCGCATTAACTACTGTATAGTTTCTTGGAAAGCCAATTTAAATGCCCCTTGACGATATATCTCAATAGATATTGTGAACAGGCCATTTTATTAGTTCGGCTCGTGCCATCTCCCGTGTCGGGGAATTCAATGTCGGCCCCGTGCAACTGGCCCATTATCGGGATCGACGGTCAGGTACCGATCCGACATCGAATGGAACGGTCATACCAAACGCTCATCACGAATAGAGAGAGGTCACTATGCCAATATCGCTTAATTCACGTGTATATTCAACTAATTGGCGTGGGATAAATTATGTTACATCTCTCAGATATTAGGGCGACTTCCTCTCTGATTGGATATACGTTTATCTTAATCGACGGCCCGGTGTATCACCTGGAGAGTTTGTTGAATGAATCGGTCAACTCGTGGACTAGTTGTAGTGCTGTCGTCCATCACGCTTCAGTAAAAATCCTCGGCACTTGGGCTAGCAATCTGTCGCGTGATATAAGACTAGGACTTTGGCAAACGCGAGCCGTAAGAACACCCTTTTATCAGTGAATATTAGATATCATGTCGACTTGGAGCCTCTATCATCTTCTAGCAAACGGTCACCAGGGATGATCACATGCTCATCGTCTGTCCAGGTTGAACTTCGGGGTTAGTGGTAGAATACCGTACTCATTAACTTCATGAAGGCCTAATCAATATGAAAATTGAAGAGTTACACAAGAATTCAGCCTTGACGATGGCAACGAGAGCCTTTCAATACTAGTTGTTGCCAAATTAATATATAAGTTATGATATATATTAATCGAAATTCACTATCCAATTACATTGTCTATCTTTTATGATTCGCTATATTTAAGCTAAAAAAATGATTATGTAATCAAGAACTCCCAATTATAAAATTTATTCGTTCGTCGGCTACCAATTATTAAACTCTTTTCGTAGGTCAGGTACAAAGTTTTTTTTCATTTCAAATTGATAGCCTGTTCAAGTTTAACTACATATATTTAGGGGAGAAATTGAAATATCAAACCAAAGACATGCAGTCAATATTCGGAAAGCTCATGGTCTGGAGGTAGACGATCAGCTTCCAACTGCAAACTCTGACGCCTAAAAAGTTTCCCTGAGTCAATCAGCAGCCGATTGAGATCGAGAACGCACCCACGAAGATAAAAATCCATCTAACCTGGATCTAATGACTGCGCTCGCTTTTACCTGATCTAGTAATCAAGATAATGCCTTCCAGAGGCTAAGGGGATACAGACCTCGTTATCTGGCGCCCCTTAGACAATCACGATTTTTGCGTTTGGCAGCTGAGGATCTACTACACAAGTCATATCTCTGAGGCACTGCCTCTAGATTGTGCACATAATGCAGTATCCACGTTGATACAGCAGCGTCGAAGTTATTTTCTGGGAATGGAATTTTCTTAGCGACGCCTTCGAGGATTTCAACGTTGATTTTTTGAGCTCAGTCTGAGAGAATAGCATTCTTATCAGCATTTGGTTCAATAGAGTATACCCTCCCATGGCGTTTAGCGAGCTTTACTGGCAATTCTATCTTTGGTATAAGCATAGGTAGCTTCATCCAAAACATAACCAGACTCACCTCCGTACCCACTTCCTATATCGAGGACTTTTTCGTTTTCACCCAGTGTTTCCAACACTGCCTCGAAGTCCTCTCGAGAAAATCGACCCGCGATATCTCCAAAGGCCCCTTCACTCAATGGGTATAGGCCTCTGGCTTCTATACTGCGTGGGAATTGCATATTGCCCTAGCAGTGGGTGCTGCGCGGTCTGCTTCTCAATGATATAAAAATGGTCTTCTGTGGTGCATTGGTTGTCCTTTGGCTGGGATGGATCCATCTGAGCATATTCGAACTTCTGGCCAACTCTCGTCGGAATGTTGTACCATCCCTGGGTCGTGTACACAGTTCCTTTAATAGTCCTACCCATGTATGTTATATCAACAATATCCATACAATCTCCTGATTTGTCATGCAGAGATGTGTCCCGACACAAGTTTGTGCTCGGGATGGTTTCAATAGCCTGACTACCCATTCACAACCTTCAGAACCGTCGCAGATATCTCGCAGTTGGTCAGCATAAAGAGTGAAAGGATTGCAAATATTTAGCTCTTCCCAAAAGCATCAAACAAACCTTCCAAGTTGTTGCCGTTATAGCTAAAAGAAATAGATGTTATTCTAGTTCTATAGCTTGGCACTTAGATTGTTGCGGGTACCTTGCTATCGGGAAAGAGATAAACGAATGCTTAAATGCTGTTTTCTTGAAATTTGATTTATCTCTTATAATGGCGAAGGCAAAGAGTTACTTACCTAGATGCTTAGGGGAGTGACTTCGTTACCCAGTATCGCTGATAGGCCGTGCAAGACAGTTAGAAACGTGGAGGATCGTTATTCAACCAACAAAATATCAACTCTTTACAAGAGCTAGTAGAGTGGAAAGAGTGGCTAGTAAGCCCAGCTTCGCTCTCATCTCTCCTGGTTAAGATAAATACCTCCACCTTTCGGAGGAGTTAACTCGTTAGCAACCAGCCGCTGAATACCACAAGTATTGAACCACTATGGAGTATCAGTGGGCAATTCTCCCCGCTACAACCTAAGTAAAAGAATATTAAGACTCCAGCGAGATTGACACCAGAAGCATGAACTCATTCGGCTTCTTGTTTCCCTGTTCGCGTTAGCCAAGCCTCCACCGGCCTACTCCCTACTTTGGGCGAGAGGAGCCGAATAGTGGATCGTGCATAACCGTTTAATACGTAACTTTCGAAGGTGAGCTTGTCTGAGTCGGTATATTATGGAGGGCCTTGAGTAACAGAGATTTCTGCTGCCATCCCCCGTGTGGGTATCTAACAGGGTGCAGAGGAGTCAGAGTACTAAGCCTCTCTCTTCCCCATATTGGTCCCAGAACTGGCTGCCTTAACCTGCGTATTTCTGGCTGCCTTTCGCTGTAACCCTTGTCGTACAAGGGTGGTTACGCTCCAAAGTGCTCACTCTTCTTATGGCGAACTTGTACGGAATAAGCTGAACGCAAGAGGTCCATGCTAGATGAGCGGCTATATGAAGTGATATAAAACTGGATACCAGTGAACGAATAGAGATGGACACGACCGCAGAAGTCCCTGAGCTGCCAACAGCTCCTCTCTGATATCCTCGTCCTGTTCCATACCTGTCCATCCCTTGATCCCTTTTGGCTTTTCGTCTCGTTGCTTGTTCTCGAGCCTCGTCTTGCTGACTCGTCGCTTCTCGTGAAAGCGGGCTGCTACAGCCAATGGGATCTCTGGTTCAGCCCCACAGCTTCCCGCTAAGCTTAAAGCTTCTAAAAACAGCCCAAGGGCGTTTCTTGAGCTCGCAATAGTTTTCTCCCCCTTCTCCCGCTGTTGGTGCTTTTCTCGCGTATTCTGCGGTATATAACTCGTCGATTTCCCTCACTGCAAACACGGTGCGCGATTTCGCCTAATTAACTTGTTTGTGCATTGATTAGAGCGCCGACAGATGTTATCTGTTGATGCAGAAACTAAGTGCTGTACCAGGGGCGAGCGGACCTCCAATATATATTCTGAGCTGAGGCGGAGTCACATCATGGTCAGGATACGAGGGCTAAGCCCCGTGAGAAACAGACATTACAAGGGACGGAACGAGAAAGCCAAGCATGCTGGGTTAAGATGATGAGGCTGTTTTCTCGATGTCCATTGTTATATATTCTCTGAGAAGTCCGCTGTGCAGCCTTGCTTGGTTGAAAATTTCCTTCTTCAAACTTTGTCAAAACCGCCCAAAGCGTGCCTGACACCGGATTGACTCAAAATTCATTGCGAGGAAGCCAATATATAATCTCAGTTCTAATTGATAATACGGAGTACAACCACGTTGGTGAGTGCTACGCTATTATGCTGATGTGACTCACATTCGCTATATTTATAGAGTACTGACCTCCTTCCCAGGGATCGGTTCCTATCTAAACACACACCCAATTTTTGCTTCATCTTCTGCAACGAAGCTCATTGATATCCTCAAGACATGGCTGTTCTACCTTTCCTCCAGCGGGCCGCGAGTGAACCACACCGTCTTGCGAAGAGATATTATTATTACAGCTATGGGCCTACGGTTGGAGGAATTGTTGGAGGAATAATATTCTTCATCTTGATAGTTGTTCTCCTCTTCCGACTAAGAAAGAGAAGGGTTGCTACTACCACCTACGTTGCGCCTCAAGCATCGGCAGCAGCAACAGCAACTTCTGGAGCTCAAGGAAACCAAACCAACGTCTATGTCATGGGTCAGGGCGGGCCACTGCCACCACAACAAATCCCCTTGCAGAACGCAAGTCCGCAGCCCTATCCTCAGCCACCCTTCCCTCAGCAACAGCCATACGGCCAGCAGCAGCAGCAGCCATATCCTTACCCTGCACAATCCCCACCTCCAGAGCAACAACAGCAGTATGGGTATATGTCAAACCAGGGTCCAGCACCACCGCAGCAGGCATACGCACCGCAAGGTCAACCAGGTTATCAGCAGCCCTATTACCAGGGAGACGGCATCTCTAATCACCAGATGGGAGCTCCGCCACCGAGCTACAAGGACCAAAACAAGGCTTAAGATCGGATCGGCTACTGTTCGCCATCCAATTCATCTTTTTCGTTATATTTTCTAGTTATACCCCCCATTTTCCTTATTCTCCCGTAACGAAAGTGCATGGGAATACTTTCCAGTGTTATGACTTTCTCCTTCTATTTGTCGTTCGGAGTGTGGGGAGTTGTACGTCTTCTGGCAGATGTAATTGCTTTAGTCTACGAATGGATACCCAATGTTTCAGAGACTTCTACATACCAGTCTAATATTCCGTACTGTCAATATGTATACCGGTAATAGAAGCATTTTTCGGTCATAGTATTCTTAACAAGCCCTTGCTGAGCTCGCCACTATCCGCAATGCGGTTTCCATGTCGGGCCCGGCGTACCGCACTCCCACCAAACTCCGTTTCCCTCTCCAGATTTTGTAATAATATGAAATTCCCTGTCTTATCTCAGAAGCTGTTTTGTGCTTGTGGATATCAGGAAAACTGATCAATGTATCAGGTCTCTTGTCGCCCCGTAGATGATGTAATTTAATGCTCGTCAAGGATGGGAAGAGTTCTTGGAGTCTGGGAAGAACTGAGAGCCACCCATTAGTACTTAGTCTAACTCGCGTGAGAGAAAGAATACGCAAACTGGTGCGGAAATGGTGAAGAAAAGCGATTAACCCTCCCAATGAGGAAAATTCGCAGGATTCCAGAACAAGTTCTTGCAAGGGAGGGAGAACATTGGTCGAAGTAAGACGGTCAAAAAGCAGCGGTGCCTTGTCAAACTCGTTCAGCCGGACAATTAATCTCATCAGGCTGGTAGTAGCCCTTATCAGTTCGCAGGTCCAGTCGACGCTGCTTTCAAGCTCTTTCTGATAGTTTAACGTAAGACTCTGAAGTTGGGATAGCCCAGCTCGGACGCCTAGTTTATGAAGAGCGGGAATGTCCAGGCGCTCCCCATGTATGTGGTCATCATATCTCCATCCTCGAGCGACTCCACGTTCAAATGTGAGTGATTTCACCGGAAATGCCGTTTCTGCCATAATGTATAGGAGAATCTTTATCGCATCGCTTCCCCCTAGGAAGTTAGAGGTGTACTGATGCTCTGGCCGGTAAATATGATGAACCTCGAAAGAGCGGCAATTAACCAAGAGTGCCAGGGTATCACTGAGAATATCTATTATATGCTGAGGGACAATGAGGCATCCTGACGAGGACCTATCCCATCGTAGGTCTATCCCTAGTTTCCCATGAGTCGGGTTCGTGATGGAAAGACACTGGACGTATCGGTTCAGATGCTTGTGGTTGGATATGGCCTGGAGCCTCCGCAGGCTGCGAGATGAAAAGTCCAGGGATACGGTAGCCAGGAACACGCCGAAGCAGCGCAAAGTCCTCTCGTATAAGAGCCTGCATGTAAGCCGTAGGGAACATAGGCTTCTATACTGCAGAAAACTGGCGACTATCTCCACGATTTCCATGGGCATTCCGTACAGAGAGGGACCGGCATCTTGGTCAAAGTCCTTGGACGTCGAAACCGTGGGAGACCGAAGGGATGAGAAGATGCCAAAGAAACGGCCTCGCCGGCTTCGTGCCATCTTTCTGATATCAAGCAAACAGCGATCCTGCAAGAACTGTGCGACGCTCTGCACAAAGGGTGTGGGATCAGGGGGTTCTCCTTTGGGCGTCGATATAATTATCCCGGCAGGACAAGGATAACTATCAAAGGTGCAGTAAATAAACAAACCCACTGGATGTCTCACTCCCGCCTTTCTTCGAATAAATAACTATTACTAGGGAGCCAACTTCCTGGACGAATTTCTATCCATCTCAATCGACTACTTGCGGTTATCCTGTCAGTGTTTACCACACATACAAGCTGGTCTTCTTACCTGCCAGCAACGTTCAAACGCCCCGAGAGAAAAAAGCCCATCCAGATGGAACGTCAAGACCGAGGATGAGTTACCAGAATCCCACTCGAACTGGCCTGCGCTGGTAGCGACGCCGGTTAACCCGCAAGAACGACCATCTCAGCGTGGTACATTCATTATTCGACCGTTGAACGATGTAGAATCACAAGGCTCAAGATCTCGCCCGGATTCGCCGCCAAAGCGAAGGGCTCGAGAGCCACAGGCCCCTTGGAACCCAAACCCAGGACGATCACCTGGTGCAACGTCAGTGTCGGCGTCGGTTTTGGCCGTCGTTCGAGGGCCCAATCGGCCGTCGTCGTCCTCGTGTCTACTCGGTAGTTAACGAGCTGCTACTGTAGCTAGCTGGACGTGCTGCGGGCCACAGCTGCGAGCGAGCTCCTTTCTTCCGCGACTTGGTGGCAACCAGGCTAAACCGTCTTTTCTATATTGAGCCCATGAAACAGAGCCTCCCCCCTGTTTAAATATTCGAAATCACGAAGCCAGCGTCTTCTGCCTCCCGCGCGGTGAAATACCCAGGTTCGGCGAGCAGCTACTATGCGATAGATAACAACTCTGGTTGAGGCGCATAGTCATCCAAGATGCGCTCGTTCGTGAGCCTGATGGGCGCAGACCCTTCGCAAGACCATCTCCATACCTTCGAAACCTCCTGGCTCTTCTCGCCGTTCGTCCTCGGCTGCATTCGAGCTGTTCTGTCCCTCTACTCGTTCGTGACCACATTCTTCATCGTCGGCTGGCGGGCAACACACGACCAGAATGTCCACAACGCCGTGGACCTGTTTGTCTACTTCACCAACTTGAGCTACTGGGGTTTGGCCTTCTACTTCCTCGTTTCCGCGATTCACAGCTTTCTCTATGCGCGGACAGGGCGCTCCGTGTTCTTCGAGAAGACGCCGCGATTCCTGCGCGCACTGCACAGCCTGTTCTATTCGTCGATTGTTATATTGCCAATTATTGTCACCGTGCTGTACTGGGCGCTGCTTTTCAATGGCACATGGTTTCCCAAGGTTTTCGACGCCTGGTCAAATGCAAGTGTTTCCCTTTCTCTATACAAAAAAGAACAACTACAGCGTATTCTACCTGGCTATTCTAACCATGTTCTTGGTCGTATGTAGGTTTCCAAGCATGCTATGCAAGCGGGATTCGCCCTTTTTGAGCTCATCATCCCAGCCACCCAGCCCCTTCCGCTCCTCCATCTGCCTTTCCTCTGGGTCATACTACTCCTATACCTTGGTCTAGCGTACCTCAACCACTCGGTAAATGGATTCTTTACATATGACTTCCTCGATCCCGGTGTTCACGGCGAGCATCGTGGTCGTGTGACGGCATACTCGTTTGGGGTTCTTGTTGGGTCTGCTGTCTTGTTCGGTGTAGCCTGGTTTATAATTTGGTTTAGGAATCGCCTGAACGGTAACAAGAGAATCCTTGCATCACGGCCGGCATCGGCTGATGAAGAGATGGCAGTGAGCCATGAAAAGTGACTATACTTCATCCTCTTGCTGCGCTTTAGCAAACGGCGAAAGATACATAATCTATGGTGTACGTTGGCTTTACTCGGAGTCCATTTACCTGTTACCCTTAACTAGTGTTCACGTCCTTCCTAATACATTTTTTTGTTGATGATATGAAGTATCTAACTACTCGTTTACTCCTAAGCTAGATCCCATGGCTCCTATAGCAAGTCAAGGGTGCTTAATGCTTTTTATCTAATGCTTTAATTTTTTTATTACGCGGGCTTGTAACATTTCTTGATATATTCAAAAATATAAGTTGCTATTACAAATTCGTAACAGTCATATATGACAAGCCAGTCTCCTTAACACATCTTCAGCTTATAGGATATCAGCCATGGCATGGAATAAGCAAATAAACAAAAAGTAGGGTGGTATATAAATAAAAATACAGTTAAGTGTTGAGTACATAGACATTACCGTTTCTTCAAACTCCGGCAACTCTCTCCCAGCCTGTCTCGCTGCTGCTCGCATTGCCTTCATCAGGTGTTGGTGGTTCAGCAGAGGCCGCGGAGGGACTGGGTCGCAGACCAAGTATCCATCCGACCATTCCACCAGGGATGATCCGAGAAATGATGCTGTATGCAATAGATCCTCGACCAACATAAACAGTACGAGGTTTTCTTTCACGCCATCCAAAAATATTCTTTTTAGATGGAGCAATCGCGTCAAATACAGCATAATGTAGCTCTCTTGCCGGGCTAGAGTTTGGTGCTATATTCCCGGATGCCCCTAGGCGATAGTCAATGCTTGAGAGATAAGGAGATCCATAAAGTGCTCTCTGGTGTGGTTTCCATGCAAGGACTTCCGTTCCTTTGTTGTTATGTCTCTGTCCACTTCGGTATTGGCGACCAAGGTCGAGGTTACCAATTTTCACCTCGATAACGTCAACAGTGCCGTTGGATTTGCCATTCGATGAAATCAGTAAATTCAGTTCCTGGCGTAAGCTCGTGGCAAAGCCTGATATTGCGCGTGTCACCGCTACTTCGGGGCTGGCAAATGGTGACGAAAGGGCAGACTGAATAGCTGGAGATATGAATACAATAGAAGCCGTGTTCGATTTAAGTGTAAGGAGAGGAAGGAGTAATTGAGTGGTAAGGATAGGGTATAAAAGGTGTGTGTTGATCGTGTCAGCCCAACTGGATGCCGGTATCGCTGCAACTGGGCCAGTAGGATAGTTGAGGGAAGGAATGAGGATAACAGCGCTTAGCTGACAGGTATGGGCCGGTATTCCGGGCGATGGGGTTTGCGCATGAGTAATCATCGATTGTATCACGTAGAGAGACGGATGTATGTCCGAAGGAGTTGCTGGGGTCTAAACAATCCGTTAGATAATGAACGACTCTGACGGGAGAGCAGAGGCAAGTACGTACGTGTGAGAGGTCAAACCATAATGACCTAATATCCTCTCGCCCTTCACTCTCGATGATCTGTTGTTCCTCTGTCGATGTTGCCGTAACGAAGACGATATAGCCTCGTTTCTCAAGGTCGCAAGCAATCGACCTTGTCATAGGCTCATGAGGTGAACCAGAAATTACTATTGATTGTAAGTTATTTCATCAAAGAGCTATAGATGTGCACCATAAATTAGACACCTACCAACTATCTCTTTTCGAGCTCCCGTGCCAGCACGTCGAGCTCTCCTCCTCCTAACATGAAATTTTCTCTGGCCATAGAGTAAGGCGCCGCTCGTTCCAACAAATGCCAAAGCTGATACAGCTAATACTCGGTGTGTTGCGACCCAGTCTTGACATCTTTCGAATGCGGATTTCGGAGGTAGTAAGGCATCCGAGAAGAACTTGGGGTTAGGAGGAGGTCGTATCGATGCAGGTATCCATGACTGCTGGGACAAAGTTTCACGAATAGAAACAGCTGCACGTTCAACTTGGTTATCTATCGAGTTCGCCAGGTCGTTGGAGTATTTGTTCACGTTGGTAGGAACCCAAGCCAGCTATACTATATCAGCATTCTTGAACAGTTCATAGCTATAATTTGCGACCAAAGCATACTCACATAGCTGAAGAAGAAATTGTCATCACTCGTCATGGCTCCTTAAGTTTGTTATTGACAGGCATATAACCACAGCTGCCTTGTCCTTTTATAATATATACATATATATAATCTTGTCACGGTATGATTGTTGATCAAGCATCGTGAGTTGAAGCTGCGAAACTTCAATGACGAAAAAACGGATTCTGCCACTGTTTTCCGCCTTCGGAACGGAATAAAGCGACAGCCGAGATGAAGATAAGATAAGGTTCTGGCTCTCTCCTTTTAAGCTTTTCGAGCCGCGTCGACTTTGATAGCAGCCTGCCCTGGAAGGAAGCAGAAGACAGTGAGAATAACGTGAAGAGAAGGCAGAAGAATACGGTCGAAGAGCCTACAGCAGCTCGTGGTTTATAAATCCAGACGGTGAAATGACAATTATTAACTCCGAGCAGGCTAACCACCTAGCTTCACAGTCGATCGCCTATTCTTAACTACCACTACAGCCTGTCCAAAAGATCTTGATACCCAGCATATACGTTACAAATTTATCAGCTTGCGAAGGAGACCATCTCGCGTTTGTGTATACTCGCATTGATTCAGCATTTTGATATCATTTCTCCGCTGAAAGCGATATTACCCCAGCAGCATCCGATTCAGCGTGCTTCAAGGCAGAATGAGGGAATTAGACCCTCTTGTTTCGGAGTATCAACATGATAAACACCGACCTCGTGAAGCAGAGGCATTATTAACCCTGCGCAAAGTTGCTTCTCTGGTTAAACCAATTATGCGACAGCGAATGTGGAGGGTTGGGACACTATGTGAATTTTACCCTTCTACCCAGAATCTACTAGGCTTGAACGTGAATCATGGACAGAAAATATGTCTTCGGTTAAGGCAGCCTTATGATGAAAGACAATTTCTTCCAATAGAACAGGTAGTTGATACTATGCTTCACGAGTAAGTTTGTTTTCGAACCCCCGGAATACCGTGAGATAAGAACGTGAAAAAAAGGCTGATGATAACTAGGTTGTGCCATATAGTTCATGGCCCACACGATCAAAAATTCCATGCTCTGTGGAATCAACTCCGGGATGAACACGAGCAACTGATAAGTAGTGGCTATACCGGTGAAGGGTTCCTATCCGCTGGTCACCGGCTCGGAGGAAGACGGATACCCATGGATGAAGCTCGTCGACTCGCACGTGCTGCAGCAGAAAAAAGGCGTGTGCTGTCTTCTGGCACCGGCAAGAAACTAGGAGGTGGCTCAGTCCTTCCGGGAACAGATATGCGAAATGTCCTTGCGGATGCAGCTGAGAGGCGAGCTACGGTTACAAAGGGCTGTGCAAGTGGAACTATAGAAGGTGACAGACTTGCAGAAGAGGCTACTCGAAATGGATTCCGGACAAAGGCTGAAATGGAAGACGCAAATGAGAGAGCTATAATGGAAGCGTACATTGATCTTATTCAGCAAGAAGAGAGGGAGCAATATGGTGACTTCTATACACCTCCTAGCTCATCGAATCCTTTGGGGCCCCGGGCTTCAACCTCATCAGGGCCAAATCCAATAGCAACTTCTTCCAAACCCCAGTTAACAGAGAGCACCACATGCTCGTCAAGCTCAGACGTAATGGACTCAGAGCCTTGGACGTGTTCTACTTGTACCTTCATTAATAGGCCTTTATACCTTACCTGTGAAGTATGCTCCGCTGAGCGTACCTCAGTCACGAATTCTCTACCTTCTTCCAGGACTGTTTCAAAGCTAGCTCAGGAGAAAAAGATTGGTAAACAACCATATTCATCTGGAAGGCATGGCGGAACAAAATCTCGCAAATCTGCCGTTCAGGCTATCATTGAACTAGAAAAGAATCAACCGCCACCACCAAAAAGGTCTCTCGGGTGGGTGTGCCATTGTTGCGGAGCTTTTATGGAATCTCAGTGGTGGACATGTTCTGCCTGTGGAACGATGAAGTTATCAGATTGAGTACAACTCTGTCACCTGCAAGCACACCATTCTATCATTCCCTTCTTGGTTCATGGAAACTCGACGAGCCTTACCTCTATTCCTCGATATTATGTTTCTATTTCGTTGGCTCTATGGACTTAAGTAGGTCACTTTGGATATAGTGGCCATAAGCCAATACGAGGACCCGAAGCGCCAAACCAAATACCCAGAACCTCTTATTTATAAGCGAACACTTTTTCTGCCTCCCAAGGACGTTAACAGGAGTTCAATATACAGTGCTCGGTGCTATCTAGGCCTAATTGGGCAGCTAGGGAGCCTGTGAAGACCTTGTCGCAATCGCTCTGTGATATAGTTAATGCTTAGGGCTTTGGTAGATGCCTGTGCTGTTCAGTCAATCCTCTGCCTTCAGGATATAAATCAGAACCCCAAGCTCTGCTTTGTATTCTAGGGTGCATGGTTAACAACCGCCGTTTATTTATGCCTGGAGAAGCTGCAGCCTAGTCGCTAACCAGTATGGCTGCACTAGGGATTCTGTTATCAACGCCTTATTCAAACCTGCGATTCCTTGTAGCTAGCATGAGAGAAGCTTTGTTATAACTCCTTGACTCGTTGATTGTTAGTAATTCAGAAAGTTGCGCTATGGTTCGAAACCTGTGATTCAAAGCACCATCCTTAGGACCCCAATACCCGTGAATTCGCAGATTTCAAGGTTAGTTACCCAGCAATAATGTTAATCTTTTGAGGTTGAAGGGCCCCACGGCAAGCATACCTGCTTTGTATATACCATGAACGTTGCTGGTAACTTAATATAGAAAAAGGTACTCCGTACTCCCTCCTGAATGGGGAAGGCTATGCTGGCTACTCATTGGAAAGATTAACTTACTATCTATCAAAATAGACCCTTTATTTGTGCTACTCTGAAATTTTTGAGATACTCACTAGTCACCCCCTATTGGTTTGAATTCCATATACAAAAATCTCATCCAACGGATTCTACCCAATAAAATCCAAAATTGGGTCCCTCAGAACCGAAGCCTAAGAGCGGAATGATATTTTTACCCCTGACATCTAGATAATTTTAGAGCCTATGACTTCGGCGGACACAAGGGGTAAGAGATAGGGGTCATCTTGAGCCCTTCAGTGGTCCTTTTGAAATTTAGATCACGTTTCTGGTGCTTATTAACTAACTACTTAGTGAAAATGGAAATATACACATCACAAAACAATCTTTGGGGAATGGAACTACAATTTTGCAGCGAGAACAGAGAACTTTCCTTAACTTTCTGAGATGAGTCTTACATCGGCGGCCTGAAGAGCGACCCATGGCCAGGGGGCTTGCTTATACCAGTTTCTTGATGCAGGAGATCCACCAAATCAGAAAGTCAGAGCCAAGGTGAGACCTATGATGAAAGCGATCTCATATAACTAGCCTAAGACAATTTAAACTACCGAGCTCGTTGGTTCTAATACCATATGGCCTACGCCAGCATAGGGTTTTATACCAATATTTGGCAGGGAGGCACAGTTCAGGCTCAGCCGTGATGGCTATCTAACTAACAGCTGGGCCAGCACCTGTACTCTTGGATCTCTCTCCAAGCTAAACACAACTTCACCCGCTCAACACTTACTGCTCAAGCCGGCTATCTAGCCGCGCCACCCTTGCCAAGAAGTATTCGAGATCAATGTACTCGCCCGAAGCATCTCCTCCTGGGTTAGATTTTTCACACCCTGGTGTGCTGACATCTCTGGTTGCGGACATATATATTTTTGGAAGAAGACAATAATATCCCTCTGCTTTGTCATTCTCCGGATGGGGTAATGGTATCAGTAATAATCTAATTTGTTGGCCAGCTGGATGTCGTCAGCAGAAGCAAGTTAATCCGTATACGAAATCGATACGGATTGCTTCTCCCCTCCTCCCGAGCAGCCCCGGGATGCTTTCAACAACCCTGATGGAGAAGCTGTACTCCGTACACCTTGTCTCGGGGACTTTTCTAATTGCAATCTTCCAAATCGGATTAGTTTTTACGTCAGATGCCTTTCTTATTTTTTTCCCTCTTTTTTCTTTTTTTTTTTCTTTTTTGATCGACGGCTTGTACAGAGTAAATAAACGGAACCTCAAATTTGGATTCCATCCGGGAAGTTTGTTAGTCAAGCTCTAACTCAAAGTTGGTTCGATTGACCCCCTGTTTACAGTTTTGGCGCTATCAAAGTTTAAGTAGTCTATGTTTACTCCATGTCATCGTGGCAACAACAGCCTGTCAGGCAGCCCAAGAGATGCAGCAGCCCACCAGGCGTTGTCCGGCCTTCGCTGCAGCGCATCTTACCGAGAAAGCTGAAAATTATTTCATCACCGACTATTGATGTATGTTAAACATGTATACATACCCATATATATACCAGGTGCCGTCTGATGCGACCTGCGGTTTAACCATTCACGCCCCAACCCCAACCACTTTCAAGTCGCTACGTTCTTCACCTTAGTGGGTTTTTTCGTCTTCCTATTCTCGAACCGCAGAGATGGCAGCTGTTACCATGGATGAAAATTCAGGCCCTGTGCCATCCCCTTACAGCGTTATCAGCAAAGTGACTCAATTCGAGAATTTTGATCAAGCATCTTGGTGGCATGATGTCGCTCCGATGGCAGAAAGGATCCTCCAACACTCAAATTATAGCAAGGAGTCGCAATATCAATACATGCTACTTTTGTCTCAGGTCCTTGTTCCTTCTCTTGGACCATATACCCCTTCTCAAAGAACCTGGAGAAGTACTATCACACGCAGCGGTGTTCCCGTTGAGTTGAGTGTCAATTATAGGAAGCAGGGACAGTCAACCGTTCGAATTAGCGTGGAACCATGCACACACCTATCCGGTTTGCCGATTGATCCTTTTAACCAAGTTCCAACGAAGGAGTTGATGGCTAAAATCGCCAAGTATGACTTTTGCAACTTTGACACTGAGTTGTGGGACTATTTCTCGAGCTGCCTAACAGTCAGCAAAAGTGAGCAGCACCACATTGCTGAGAACAACATTGATGTCAGTGTTTTTAAGACTCAAATGGCACCGGGCTTCGACTTATCAGACAATGGAGAAATATCAGTGAAAGGGTACGTGTATCCACGTGCTAAAGCGACTGCAAACGGTGTCCCTATCGAGTCCTTGGTCTTTGAGAGTCTCCAATACTTTGAGAAGAAAAATGATTGCTCGACAGCACTTGCTATGCTGAAGGAATACATCCTGGAAAAAAACCTTGGATCCAATATCGGTTTCCTAGCTTGGGATTGCGTTACACCCTCCAAATCCAGGCTTAAGATGTACCTTGGCAGTGCAGATGTGACAATGGGCATGATTAAGGATCTCTACACTATTGGTGGCCGCCTGAATGACCCCACTACTCTCAAAGGCTTTGAGTTGCTCACTCAGCTTTGGAAAGCAACAGGGCTTGCGGAAGGCGTGCGAGAACTAGTGCCATATTTCGATGACCCAATGCAGGTTCCCTCGCAAGGCCAGAAAGCTCCCGTTCTTATCAATTATGAGATAACACCTGGTAGCCCACATCCCGTCTCAAAACTCTACCTCCCAACCCATGGCGAAAATGATCTCCAGGTTGCCAAAGGACTTAGTGAATTCTTTGCTCAAATTGGATGGACGGAACTTGCCGAGACTTATGTTGACCGCTTGCAAGCTCTATAGTATGTACTAGTGCGTTGTTCCCAGAATCGTTGTACAGTCGACTAACTTATTATGTTGAACAGCCCCAACCTTGACCTCAGCCGAACTTCGTGCCTAATTTCCTGGCTTTCGTTTGCCTACACGGAAAAGAACGGTGTATATCTTACCGTATATTATCACAGTTCTTCCGAGTACATGTGGAAGCTGGAGGATGAACAGAAATAAGCCGGCCCAAATACTGTTAATAGCTATATGATCTGAGAGCATTATTTTATGAAAGAATTTATGTGGTTTAATTTCCTCGACATCTCTGTCGAAGTCTAAAGCTGAATCTAGAGGGGCTTATTGCAACGTCGACAGAAAATTATATTCTTGATCATTTGGGTGTTACCTGTAGTATTTTTCTAAGATATAAGATACCGGTGTACTGGTGTACTCTATAGCTACTCTCAAGTGAGTTGAAGGTAATTTGTCCAACTAATTTGGCAAGTAGGTTGACGTGGTATTGAGAGGCTTGTACTCAGTCCCAGCCACAATAGATTCGGCCACCTTGTCGTACTCCTCATAGGTATACTTTTGACAATCGTGGTTCAGAACCCACACAGGGTTTGGGATCGATAGAATCTTGGAGCTCTTCTCTTCATCGCTCCAGTCAGCACTAACAAGTATTTCAAGCGTGTTTAGACCCAGTTTATGGATCTCCAAAGTTCTCTCTCCTCTATGCATCCGTTAGTAGTGTATATAATAATGAGTCGTGAGTAATGAGATATACCTGATTCTTTTGAATACTTGAAGAGCCCGAGGCACATTTCCCTTCCCAGCGAGCTCCAAAGCAATTGCAACGACTGCTGCGTCTTCGATGGCCTGGCAGGCGCCTTGGCCAGATGTCGGCAGATACGGATGAGTAGCATCGCCAATCAGAATCATTCGTCCATGCTTCGAGACATTATCCTCAATTGGATCGCACGTTAAAAGGGGATAATCAATAAGGTTATCAGGAGGCGTTCTTCGTATTACAGCTTCAAGCCTGGGCTTAGCCGGCCAATCTTTTATGCGTTCAAGCACATCATCAGCTGTTGCTGGGTAGTAGAAGCGCTCAGTAGGGCCTCGAGGATCCTAAAGCATTTGGGGGCGCGAAATTAGATGTGGACAAATAAAATAAATAGGAGAGCCAGATTATTACCGAGTGAACGCATGACCAGGTTATGGCTTTGTAGTTCTGCGATGTGCCCATGATCATTACAATGTCCTTTGCCAAATAGATATGGGCGTCGTCGTTGCCCTCACTTCCAGGCTTGGATAGCCATTCGGCTTCTGGGCAGTCCTTTAGAGCAGAAGATTCAAACCAAGCTCGATAAATGGCTCTCCCAGAGGCCCGAACAAGAGGGGTCTGTCCTGTGATGGGTGCCCTCGCTTTACTGTGCACTCCATCAGCGGCAATGACGCAGTCAGCTTCAATTCGTTCCCCATCCACAATCACGCCAGCAGCGGTATCTGTCTCCCAATACTCCGCGATGGATACTCCCATGCGTACATCTATTCCGAGGCTCTTTACATGATCAAACAGAGTCATTGCCAGGTCGCCCCTGTGCAAGAGATATCCTTCACCTTTGCCATAGCCAGATATGGAAGCCTTCGTCTTTAGCGTGCCGGTTTCGTCATAGATGGAGGTAGGGTTCATAACGGAGGTGAATGACTCCAGAGTCTTGTGGACGCTGCCGCCGCCCCATTTTGAGATGACACGAGCGGCATTGCATGCAATACCGATTCCGTCCCCTAAAATTACTCATGTTAGCGAGATAACCTTGCTCGTTATTGTGTAAAGTGTGACCACATAGCTGACCTAAAGGTTTCATTTCCTTCACCCTCTCGAACGCAATGACAGTGTGACCCTTGCGGTGGCATTCTACTGCAGCTGTAAGCCCGGCCACACCAAGGCCAACCACAATGACTTTGATCCCGGAGGAATTGGGCAGAGCCACCCCATCAGGGCCGACTCCAGCAGCTGCCATCGCCGTTTCGACTGAGAATAACTAAATTTTAGGAGGAGTATACGGCGTTTCTCGGATCTTGACGTCGAATGCGTTCGTATAAAATCCAACTTTTAATGTATGTCTCGAGTACGAAGTACATCGGATGATGAGAATTTATTTATAGATCACCAATGCACTGCATATGCTGTTGAAATATGAACAGCATATTGGAATTGAGCCTGATCTTCGGAATAAAGCTTACTCCCTGAGTTTAACTGTAACTACTGTACGGAGTACTGTACTCCTGAAGGCCGATCACCTTTATTTGAAATGGCGGGTTCGACGATTATTATATTTTTCGTCTCATCAACCCACTGTCACCCACTTCTTATACGGAGTAGACGGGGTAACAATTTGGCATTGATGTTCGACTATTGAAGCAAGCGGATTTCCACAGCAGTACTCCGTACCCATGACAACGATGACGGAAACCAAAATAAAAGATCTCCACTCACTAACTAATTAGTTAACTAGCTAACTTTGTAGGTGTGAAGTTATGCAGGATTATGGAGTGCGGGGCGAGAAATCTCAGCTTGATGATGAAAACGCATCGGGCGTCTTCTCTGTCAATCCTAATTTGGCAGCATCTGGCAGCATCTCAAAATTTGGGCATCGCACGCCACAAGCTGACATTTCCACCACGATGTTATCCTGCATACAGAAGAAAAAAACCCCTTTCCCATCCTTGTCAGCTCACACGTTTGACTCGTGGTGGAGCGCAAGCCCTTCTGTTGGCTCACTGCATCAGCCTACCCGATGCATGTTGGAAAGCAATTTCAGATCCTTCTCGTTTTTGGGAACGCCGGAAGTTTTCCGTCCACTGTTGTTCGCTGACAAAAGGAAAAGGCATCTGCAACTGCCGCATGGGTATTCTTCCGTGGAGATCAGAAATGCAAACACGGCAAGGCTGCAGAATTCGCCATATTGTATCGTCAGCGAAGCCGTGTTGAGTAACCAAGTATTTTCTGTACTCCACAGATTGTGATTTAATTTTTTGGTTTCTTTTTTCCTTCTTTTCTCTCTCTTTTTTTTTAGCTGAAAAGTTACCCGTAGATCTGCCTCCCGTGGTTGTCTGTCTGTTGCTTAATTGCTATTTGTTTCCAGTGCAGGGTAGTTCTTGCTGCATGTGTACTCTGGGCCCGTACATAATTGCAATCTCACCTGGACCGGTCAAGCCCAGGCTCGGACTATTTTACTATTGCGGTACGCATCGGACTCAGGAACTCGCCGGAAGATAGGGGTTAAATTGCTGAAAGTGCAGCCAGGGATGCCTCGGCCACCGCATCGTAGACTCCGTACTGTAGTTATGCATCCCAGCCACCCTGGACTGGGAAGGCTCAGATATCCGATGGTTGGCCTTCCTGGGAATTTAAGACAGAGAACAAGAAGCTGTGCGCTTGACCATTCTGGCCGTCGATGCGAAGATCGCTCGGTGGCTTTTTACCTTAAAAATCACCCGTGAGTTCACTAGTTAGGCTGTCACTAGTCAGAGCAAAAAGCAAAAAGAAGCGGAAAGGGAAAAAAAGAAATATGTAACGAGGGATCAGATCGTCCATATGCATCACATCATAACAACTGATTCAGCCCAGATTTGACAGCTCGGGGACTTCAGGCCATCGCACCCTGTTCGGGAGATTGATGCCGCAAAGTCAGGGGGCCCCCTGTTTCCGGCGGGATTTACTCTGTTAATGTGATTGTTCTTCGTGCATTCTAAACTCTTGCCAGAAATTGTGATTTTGCTAGAGTGCCACTACAAAACGTATTTGCTTCTCCCACAGGATGAAGCTCTACGCTTGGTTAGGCCGTAACGGCGTGGCTGCTGTCAGAGCGTAGCTACAGGAACTCCCTCCAAATTAGGGAACTTTAATTTGGACAGAGTATACTCTGTTCAGCGTTGTCTACTTACCGCTTAGACCACGAAGCAAAGCTAGTGACATGTAAGGCACTTGAGTGGATTCAACACGGATGAAGTTGAAAAAAAGTCACTGACTAGGAGGCAGGCTAGTTGGGATTCCAATGTACCGAATACCGTGGTGTATACAATGGGCCTAGACTGGCGGAGTTTAGAGCTCCAAACCTCTGTAGGTCGTAAGCATGGTAAGGGCCGTAAGCACCATCCTGTGGCGAGAAAAGCGGTCAATTACAGGTCCGTAATGCCCCAAAAAACACACACCCCTTCTCGGAATTTCTGCAAGTTCCCCGAAGTGGAATATTTGAACTGTAGAGGTAAAGATAGGCTGAGTATCAGCCAAGCCCGTGGCGGATGTGGATAGGGCGAGAGAAAAGGCGGAAACATAAGATAACAGGGAAGGAATACTCCATATGACTGAAGATTTATCTTCTCACGAATGTTCGTCAGTCATTTAGTCAGTTTAAGCCGAGATAGAAGGGAAGTCCTCGCTGCTATGAGGGCGTTGTCTCCAAATGGCTATCTTCAATGCAACCGCGCGCCAGACAGCGAACAAAGGGGAGAATAGACCATCGAAAGGGACAATAATCTGTATATTTCCTAAGCTGAACCATCGGCCCCTGAAGCTCGAGCAGGGAGAAATTGGCTTTCTCGAATTAAAGCCATTGGGCATTCACAGAAGCAACTCCTGTCCAAGGTCAATTCTCACGGTAGCTTGGTCGATTCTACTCACCAGGTATACAGATACCAATCCAGTTGTGTTTGCTACTGTCACCAAATTTCAGGACAAGGATAGACTTGATACCGGCCATTGTTTGGAGCAATGGGTTGGCTCCATCGACGAGCAGAAGACAGGATTGCTTGCGGTTTCTTTGAGTCGAATCGAGGACTCGGGGTATAGTGCCAGCTTCAACACCTGTCTGCTCTTTGGGCCTTGTCAACCATCACAGGGCTATGACGGCCTGCAGGTGAGTTTTGGATCTTCAGCGTCCTCTTCTCCATTTTCACTGTGTAGGGCGTCGGCTAAACAACTTAAAAACCAAAGGGGTCAGAGATTATAGCTATTCTGGATGAAAGCACAGCGACTCCACGCATCGCGCTCCAGTACTCTCGATATACCGTGGACGATGTCCAGGCTCAAAACCTGGCGAGCGAGTTGGAACGAATTTTGATGTCGCTTATTGAAGAGCCGCAATGCACGTTAGCCGACCATAACTCAATTATTAGTAACCACCACCTGCAGCAAATTATCTCGTGGAACAGCCAAGCACCATCGGAACCTCTGGATACGAACATCCCGACACTCATCCGCCAGCAGTGTTTGATGCGCCCGAACTCCCAGGCAGTGTGCTCCTGGGACGGTAATTTAACGTATCGAGAGCTGGACAGGCTCTCGTCCATCGTGCAGGCCAAACTGTTGGATCGTGGAATTGGACCAGGCACAATCGTTCCCTTGCAGTTTGAAAAGAGCAAATGGACTCCTGTTGCGATCTTTGGCGCACTCAAGGCTGGAGCAGCGTTTGTCTTGCTGGACCCGTCCTATCCTCGCAGCCGGACAGAAGCAATTTGCAGGGATATCGAGGCCACAGTCATCCTATGCTCTTCTGAGCACCGCACCACCAGCTCCAGTTTCGTCAGCTCTGTTATTGTCGTGGATAGCACCATCGAAGATGGCGAAAAGGTACACGCACCTCGCCAGACGCCAGTCAGGCCTGATGATGTTGCCTACATTGCATACACCTCAGGTTCGACGGGAGTCCCTAAGGGAATAATGATAGAGCATGCTTCATTTTGTTTAAACTCGATATCCAGCAGCAACGCGCATAACCTCGACCATTCATCGCGAGTTCTGCAGTTCGCATCATATGCGTTCGATGTGAGCATCCACGAGAATCTAACTCCATTGATTTTGGGTGGATGTGTCTGTATACCCTCAGAATCGCAACGAGTCAATCAACTTAAGGATGCTATAGTTGAGCTGGCCGTTAACTGGATGGAACTGACACCCTCTGTGGCCCGCCTTCTGCGACCAGAAGATATTCCATCTGTGAAAACGTTGGTCCTCGGAGGAGAGGCTATGCTTCCGGCAGACATCTCCATGTGGAGCAATAACCTACGTTTGATATGTGCCTACGGTCCTGCAGAGTGTACTGTGGTGTCTACAGTCCTGTCAGAAGACTGTCAGCCTGGAAACATTGGTCGTTCATATGCGGGAACATGCTGGATTGTGGACAAAGATAACCATCATCAACTTGTACCAATCGGTGTTACCGGCGAACTAGTCATCGGAGGCTTCATTGTCGGCCGGGGATACTTGAATCGGCCGCAACAGACAGCTTCCGCCTTCATCCAGAACGCAGACTGGATGCCGAAAGTGTTACCAACCAATGGAAATATGAGGCTCTACAAGACTGGAGACCTAGCCCGATATAACTCAGATGGAACTATAATGTGCCAAGGCCGAAAGGACACACAGGTGAAGCTTCATGGACAGAGAATTGAACTCGGCGATGTGGAACATCATACACAGAAATGGTTCCCAGACTCCGTTGTGGCTGCAGAGGTGGTTGTTCCAGCTAACCAGAAAGAGAAATCCCCGTCGCTAGTATTGTTTGTTGCGGAAGAACAGACAGTAGACATCGAAGAACATCTGGGTGATTCTTCAAGCTCTCTCATTCAGCCGTTGAATGAGGGCTTTCGAAAAACTGCTCAGGGTATGAAAGACAAGCTACGAGACGAACTTCCAAGATACATGATCCCCTCAGCCGTAATTCCCCTTGTCAAAATGCCTCTTTCACGAACAGGGAAGATTGATAGGAAGATGTTGAGGAATGCGGTCGCAAGCCTCCCAGAGTCAGAGTTTCTACTATATCGGTCCGCCCTTCAAAAACCTTCCATTACGGATAACTTGGACTTGGGTAGCCTGAAAGCAGCCCCTACCACTGATTCTGAACGTCTTCTACAAAAGCTATACGCGAAAGTGCTTGGGTTGTCCGAAAATGAGGTTGGAAGGGAAGATGGTTTCTTCGAACTCGGCGGAGACTCGATTCGTGCTATTACACTTGTTGGTATGGCCAGAGAGAAATACAACCTACAAATTAGTGTTACCTCCTTATTTGCCACTCCCACGATTCATGAAATGGCACAAACCATAGAGGCCGTTGCTCCGGAATCAATGCAAAGTTGGACCCCCTTTTCCATGCTGGAGGCATCAGAGTTGCAAGCAGCTACTGAACAGGCGGTCGAACAATGTCAGGTCAGTCAAGACGAAATTGAAGACATATATGGCTGTACACCCTTGCAGGAAGGGCTCATGGCTTGGAGTGCAAGGAATCCCGGCTCCTTCCAAGCACGATTTATTTTCCGCCTTCCTAAGGCTATCGATACCCAAAAATTCTATCAGTCCTGGTGTCATGCCTTCAATGAAACTCCTATATTGCGCACTCGCATCGTCCAGACAGGTACTTCTCTCCAAGCTTTGCAAGTAATTGTTAAGGACAAATTGAGATGGTTTGCTTCCGATGTGGGACATGAGGTAGCTGCGGACCCGATGTCTTATGGAACGCCTCTTGTCAGATGTATCATGAACAACGGTTGTCATGAGGAGAATGAAGGCCCGGTCTTCATTTTAGAAATGCACCATGCCCTCTTTGATAGATGGAGTTATGAGCAAATTCTACAAATCGTTGAAGCGGCCTACGAGAGTAGGACTGTCGAACTACGCCCATTTGCTCCATTTGTACACCACCTATCGGCCGTAAATCCCGAACATACCAAAACATTTTGGAAGAATGAATTCCAAACCTTACAAGCTCCAGTATTCCCTCTCCGTATGCCTGAGGGATATGTACCCAAAGAAATAACTGTGGCCAGTAGGGACATTCCACTTGGAATTTCGATTGCAAAGGGGGGTTTTACAGCATCAAGTCTGATTCGCTTATCTTGGGCAATGTTAATAGCGCAGGATACCCAGTCAAATGACGTTGTTTATGGAAACACAGTAACAGGTAGAAATGCACCTGTCTCTGGAATTGAAAAAATCGTTGGTCCAACGATTGCAACTTTCCCGGTCCGCACTGTACTTGACCGGAATGATAGTATCACCAGGGCTCTGGGGAAAATCCAAAACCATGCGGCGGCCTTAATACCGTTTGAACAGACCGCGATGCAGACAATTCGAACTTGCAGCCCTGAAGCGTCGACCGCTTGCGATTTCCAGAGTTTGCTCGTGATCCAGCCCTCTGCGCAGAATAGCCAAAACTCTTCAAGCTGGCTTCTAAAGCTTGGAGAGTCGCTCGAGGACGAGACGAAGTTCAGCACTTATGTTCTGACTGTGATATGCGAACTTGGCATCGAGTCTGTGTCAGTAAGAGCCATATTTGACTCTGCTGTTTTATCATCGGACAAAGTGAACACTATGCTAGGACAATTAGAATACCTCTTAAACCGACTAGCAAATACCCTGGGTGATCAAACCGTGGGCGGGATAATGGATACTTGCAAACTTGGCCGTTCAGTTCATGATGAATGCAAAGTGGAACAACTCAATTCCCAGAAAACCCGACTGGCAACTATTGAAGCAGCTGCCCGAAACCTCCTTGGGAACAGGCACGTGTATGCTGAGATGATAACCCCAAAGCTGATGTCAACACCCAGGTTGGCCCTTCTTGTGCCGTGTAATGGCCAGAACCCTGAGAGGGGGGACGTTGCTCTTCCCAATAACTGTTTTCTTTTGGCTTCCCCAAATCCCGATTCAAAGAAGACATTAATACTTTTAAAACGTCAGCTTCACACGATAGTCCCGTTTGTTACAGCACCTCCTATGTGCATTCCACTTGGCTGCTTATGGGATAATGGCATTCGTGAGCAAGACCGTCAGGATTTGAGAGAAGCTCTAACACAGCTGACTTCCAACGAAATTGAGGCTTGGATGTGGAAATCTGGCCGTCAGCAACCGCAATCTGAAGCTGAAAAGAAGCTTGTGTCAATTATCTCTAAGGTCTTGCATTTGAACCCGGAAGAAATCGGGGTCGACGAGGATTTTTTTACCCTGGGAGGTGATTCCATTTCAGCCATGCAAGTAGTGTCACAATGTCAACGTGACAACCTCTCGATCACCGCAGTTGACATTTTCGAAGGAAGGACGGTCAGTCTCATAACGGAGAGATCAAAGCAGGCTGCCAATACCCCAGCATCAATGAGCCCAGCGAGTTACAGGCGGACGGAACGTTTTGAGTGGGAGGTGGAAAATCTGTTAGGGTCTTCAACAGCAACAAATATCGAGGAAGTATACCCATGCACACCGCACCACGAAGGGTTAGTTATTCCTCAGCTGGGGAATGACGCCTACGTCTCTCACACGATATGGAAAGTTGAGTGGATAGGGCCATCAAAACGGATCGATCCAGTCCAGCTTCAAAAGGCATGGCATCAGCTCACACAGCGCCATGCCGTTTTGAGGACGATATTAGTTGAGGCTGCCCTTGATGACGCTGAAGGCGGCACCTTGACGCATGTTGTACTCGATTCCTACCCCCGCGAAGTGGAAATACTTTCCAGTACAGATGGTGAAGCCATGCGCCTACTACATCAACCAAGGTTAAATTCCTCCAAGAATGATGGCCCCGTTCTTCCGCACAGCTTTACTATTTGCCAAACCAATACCGGGCAAGTCTACTGTAAGATGGAAGGCAAGCATGCCATTATCGATGCTGTCTCCGTGCTATTACTTCTCAAAGATCTTGCGATAGCATATGAGGGGAAGCTTCCATCCAGGCCCGGGCCAGAATATAGCTCTTGGGTCTCATATGCCCTTTCTCTGCCCGACTGCATGGACTTCTGGCTTAAATACCTTGCTGGTGCAAAGCCGTGCCACTTTCCGCGGCTACCGAGAGAAATTCAGCCTGTTCCGGGATGCCTTAATTCGGTCGAAGTGAGCCTGGGACACCCTAGCCCGCCGAGAAAGCTCTGTGCTCTGAACAGTCTAACGATCACGAACCTGCTCCAGGTTGCCTGGGGTGTTGTACTTCGACATCACACAGGCTCTGACGATGTGTGCTTTGGTACCTTGGTAACAGGCAGGGAGGCACCATTGCAGGGAGTACATGACATTGTTGGTTCTTTATTCAACGTCCTTGCATGCCGGCTCACACTAAGTAAGAATATGTCCTTACGAGAGTGTCTGCAAGAGAATCAAGTGGCAATGGCAAGCCGTTTGTCGAACCAGTACTGCTCGCTGCTTGATGTGATGCGACGTATAGATAGCAGCAGACCACTGTTTAACACGTGTCTGTCTGTAGAACAGCCGCTATCAAATAATAGCCAGAAGGAACCAGGCATCCACTTTGAAGCACTCGAGACCCGTGAAGCTACGGAGGTATGATTGAACTCCCTGCCCTTCTTTTTTACACCCTGTCAATATGACGAATTTATCTTCCGTTGGTAGTTGCACATAGCTGACATAAAACACTTTAGTATGACATTGTCACTGTGGTCACTGTTGGTGAAGCAGAGATGACAGCAAATATAACCTACTGGTCATCTGCTCTGACTAGGGAACAGGCCATCGCAGTTGGAAGAGAGTTCCGGCTTGCCATTTCGACCATTACTGAGAATATTCGGTAGTGGTATTACTAGTTATAGACTTCTTTGAACATTCTGAGCAAGATCTCAACGACATATTGGTTAGTTAGTTACATAGTTAGAGGGGGGAGGATGTCTGTTCTGCCTTTCTTTTCCCTTTCACCTCTTTTCTTTTTCCTTTACGGGTATATATTTGTCAGTTATATGATTAATTAATATGGAAACATGACGCCGGCGTGCTTGATTCTTTGGTTTGCAGCTTCAAATGCAGTGTCTCAACTAATTAGTTAGTTTAAATATCTCCACCTGCAGGCTTCTAACTCCGCTGCACCTTCGGCGACGCCCGCCCCTAAGAAGAACAGCGAACTCGGGCCCATCCACTCATGTGGGCAACTCAGCGTGCGTCAGCTCTCGCATGCAAGGACAAGGCGAGCAGCCTGGGGGATCAGCCACTAAGACGACCACGATGCCGCGGATGCTGCTGCTGCCAGCCAACGACAGCTCTTCGGCGACGCCCCTCACCCAATGCTTATATATCGAGGTATCCAGCCATGTCCGTCCCTGAGCTTTGCTCCGTATCTAGCAATTGTGCAGACAACCGAGCTCCCTCCTCGCCAATGCAACTCTAGAGTCCCACCGGTTTGCACATGTTGACCGTGCCGCGACGTTGAGTGGCTCGTCTTCCTTAGCTTTTGCGGGACAGTAGCGAAGCTGTGCAATTGATCGACAGCCCATCCGCCAGTCAGGATGCTACGTCCCATGGTCCATGGTCAGGCTGATTTTCACCAGCTAGACAGAGATAAACATGTAAACTAATCAGCCTGGCAGACTGGTCGACCGACCTGTGTGGTCATGTCAGACATTTAAAGAGAGCTGTCTGCCCCTAGAGTTCCGTGCTTGGAGCAAGCAAGCAAGCAATCATCTAATACAGCCGGTTCAATATCAAAAAACAGCCATGAAGTTCCTTGCCCTCTTCTCCCTTGTGGCCGTTGCCGCTGCCGCCCCAGCTGCCCTCGAGGCCAGAGGGGCCACTACTTGCGGCAGCACCTACTACTCTTCCAGCCAGGTCACCGCTGCCAGCAACGCTGCTTGCCAATACGTCATGAGCGGTAGCACTGCTGGTGGCTCTTCCTATCCTCACGAGTACCACAACTACGAGGGCTTCTACTTCCAGGGCCTCGACGGACCTTTCTACGAGTTCCCTCTCCGCACTTCTGGCGTCTACAGCGGTGGTATGTACCAGAAGCACATTCACTTAAAGCTGGCCGACATATGCAATGGTTAACAATATGATATAGGCTCCCCTGGTGCTGACCGTGTCATCATCACTGAGGACTGCGAGCAGGCTGGTCAGATCACTCACACTGGTGCTGGCGGCAATAACTTCGTTGCCTGCTCTGGTACCAGCTAGATGGATAAAAATTGGAAATGATTGACGACAATATTCGCTTTCTCTCGCTGCTGCCGAGAGCTGGTCGCAGGACACCGGAGAATTGCTTCAGCTGGAGAAAGCCTCACGAACTCTGTATGAAGCCTTCAGTACATGTACATAGCCTGAATTCAAATGGAACGAAACTTTAGACAGATATATGGGAGTAAATAACTGGCGACCGGATAGCCAAATAGGGGCTATTCAGTAAATTTACTGTGTAGATTTAAGCTATGTTTCAAGCCTTGATACCGAAGAAGATCTGTACTCACGCAAAATGTTAATCAAAAAGCAAACGAAGTTGAGTCCATTCCAGAAAGTAGATCATCCCATGGGAGGCCATCGAGGTCCATTAGCCCACCCAAGCTCTGTGCTAGTTGGTTACTCTGCCACGTTGGTTGGCCGTTTATAGTAGCCTGTCGACCAGGGGATGTAATCGTAGCTTCTTCCCTAATCAGACCGCTGTCCAAGCCTGTAGTAACTATTTGAGTAGAATTCGCCATAGGGTGCGGTGGTTCAAGGTTTCTTCCAGGTATTGACGACTTCATAGGACCCGTTACCTGGGTAACTGAAGCGACAGCAGACATGCCTGATAGCTGTAGTGGTGATGGCTCAGGCAACAATTCGCTTTGCTGCAACTGCTGGGCACGATACTTAGCTAGTACTTGCATCAACAAGTTATGCAGGTTCGCTGCTGCGAGCGACTGGCTTCTAGCACTGTCAATTATGCGTAGCGCCTCAGCTGCCTCCTCGCTGCGACATACATCGCCCAGGTGTAGGCCCGGCCGGTTGACGCAGGCATCCATTAGTAGCACGATTCCCGCCATGAAGACGCCATAGAGAATGCCAGATAATCGTAGACGGATTATGACGAAGTGGTGTTGAGTTTTCTCCAATTGAGCCTCTGCATGGATGATGTGACGTGCTGATTCAAGGCATTTCTCGCGCCACGACACGTGAGTTGGGTCATTTATGAGCCTGGACGTGAGGTAGCTGAGATGTAATTTACATCGCTGAGTGTGTATGATAGAATTGAGCATATAGGCCTGGACAAATGTGGCGCTTGATGTGGAGTCTGGATTACCTTTGTAGCTGTCCAGGCGGAGGAAGGAGGGTATTTCTTCCATCATTTGCTCAAGCTGGGCACCCATAGCCGTCGCATAGGTGTGGTAACTCGACAGACCGAAGCCAGCCGTGGCTCGGAAGTCATGGTGCTGGTCGATGATACTGCGTGATATCTCAGCCAAGCGAATTCGCTGGAGAAAGTACGACATATCGGTCAGCTGGGTAACGGGCAAGTCAAAATTGGCTCCGCCGTCAACTTGATCCACATCATTAATGTTACGTGGCTTCTTTACCATCATGTGGTCGCTGTTTGTTTGGTATACACCTTCTCCAGGGCCGCCATATCTCGCAGCTAAGAGCCTGCATTGGTTCTGGTCAGAAAGTCCTGTCTATCTATAGGTATTGGCAATGGGGGACAACAGAGGACATACCAATCCGTGGCTGCCAAGTACCACCACACTCGACGACCCATCTCCATTGATATGGCATTGGGAATGGTCGCATTTGACTCGTGGTCGGTACGATGAAGACCTATCTCACGACCTATCAACAACCCTGTGGAAATCAAGGAACGATATCGCAGTGAGACGCCTTCGAGATTGCAAAGCAGGATAGATATGATAATGATCCCCTGAATCGTCTCGAGCTCAACGGGCGGGCCATTCTCCCCTCCATTGAGTATTTCATACGTCGCCTTAATCCATAAGGAGGTTTGCGCATTAGCCTGGGCTGAAGACGAGAAGAGAAAGTTCCCATGAGGGACATCATCGTGCGATCCCCACACATACGTCGTACTGGCAATAATGCTGAGCAGCAAGACTAAGGGCCCAAGCTTAACGGGCTCTTGATGGGCAATCTGCTGGTACAGCTCGTCGATAACGCCAGGCAGTGAAGGGTGATGAACGACATGATGGATGTAGCTCACGTTGTCGATAAACTTGTCAAGCAGCACTCTGGCCTCGTCATACCGAGGTAGCAATACGCATCGACTGGACCTGCCAGACTGCGCCAACTGGCTGCGTACTTGAGGGATAGCCCGGATGGGCTCTACCCTGAACACCAAGCCGTGATCGCCGTCGATGAGCTCCTATCTGGCACAGTAAGCGAGAGACTTGCAACAGCAGAATTAGACGGGTGAGTCACACATGGAAACTCTGGCCCATGGATACGCGTTCGAGACGAGCGACCAACTCCTCGCTCACCGGGATGCAACAAGGGGAAACGGGTGCTGGGATGAAGTTGGAGATGATTCTGGCAAAGGTGTGGTGCCATTGCTATGTTGTATGCAAGCGGCAGTGGTATTCTGGCCTGTAGCTCGCTTTTCCAGATCTTCTGCCAGCTTTCTCAGCTTCCGTATCTCGGCCAGCAAATCCCCTTGGTCCACGGCAGCCACAGCCGGCTGGGGGAGTGATACTGGCGGCGGCGAGGATGTGGACGTCGGTTGCTGCAGACGCTCAGGCTGATGCTGTCCCAAGTCGCCGCTGGGCCCGAAGAGGCACCTCTTGCCACGGGACGCGCAGTTGGAGCAAGGCAACGGCCGGTCACAGCGGATTTTGCGCGAGCGACAGAAGTTACAAGAATAGTACGTCTTGCGATACGAGCGCGTTCTGTTGCTTGATGGTAGCATGGTTGCTTCAAGCTTGCTGCTAGGAGTAGAGATAGTGCGAGGTTACTGTAAGTACGGAGTAGTTATGATGGATCATCGTCCATCCGCTCTTACGACTCGCACACACTTGACGGAGCATTTCTCAAATTACCCCGACACAACCGCCATGAGCCGATCGATCACGGTATCGGCATGATTAATCTACTAAATTATTTCCAATCTAGTCCACGCTCAGCAGACGGGTTTTTAATCTGGCGCCACCGTGTGGGCTACGAAGTTCATCATATAAGTTGCCTAAACAGTATATATCCGTCCAATACCCTTCCCCGTATGCTCATTGCTCTTGCCCATGCGTAGATTCACCAAGGCGCTAATCTCCGCGGCGCCGTCCGCGGCGCCGTTCGTAATGAGCTCTCTCCGCGGAAGCTAACTAGTTTTGTACCTAGTGCACACTGTTTGCACACACCGCTCCAGCTTGAGCCTAGAGTCCGCACGTTTGAAGAGGTCAATCCACTCTACCCTGTTATGTTCAAACGCATTCATCACCGTCAACACCTGGAAATCAATATACCAATATTGAGCCTCGTAATCGGGCCTGTGAGGCCCAGACCAGGCTGGTAGACACTCTTGTCAATAGTCGTTGCGGGATTTCCGCGGAGTTTAGGCTTTAGAGTTGTGGGGCTCACCGCGGAAAGTGGGACCTGACCTAGATCTGATAACTCTACTGTAGCGTCGTTCACCAGGCATCATGTGTTTACAGTAACTACCTAGGTATACATTATAGAGGGTGTTTTCATATTAGCAGTTATTGCCCCTTATAGCTACCGTGTGCCACATTCCTATATAACCTAGTAGCCAGCCTTTTTCCATACGGAATGTAAGCATCTTCACTTCTATTACTCCAATGTACTTTGTCCTTTTGTGAATTGACTTCACCTCTGGCCTTTGTTGACGAGGTACCTAGGTATCTACACGAGCAAGCCTGGCATTGCTGCCACGAATCTACCCATACCCAGTTCGATACGACGAAGAACACTACTGAAAATAATCTGATCCTAGGAGCTGTAGGACACCAACTACCTTCAGCGTGATCTTGCCCGGCATCTTAAACTTCTTTACTACCTGTCATTGGTACCGCAGTCTTGCCACTATCACTATGGTTAATATAGGCATGCCATTAAAAAACCTCGACAACAATTCGGATGCTCATGCCGACTCTGGCCCCATGCATGATGTTAAACAGTCATCACCAGAGAAGTGGTCGGATGACGCGGTGCTGGATCCCGACGTGATCAACTTTGATGGGCCTGACGACCCAGAAAATCCCATAAACTGGTCTTCAAGCAGGAAGGCAGTGGTCATCGCAATGGTAACATTGATGACACTATTATCGTATGTTCTCGTACTTGTTTCCGGTCGATCTGTTTTAAACACTGACTTGTCTCCTACGCAGACCTATTGGCTCGACAATCAGCTCCTCTGCAGTGGCCGATATCAAAACGTACTTTAACGCTACCGGCGAAACACTTCTGGCATTTGCGACCACAATCTATGTTTTAGGCTATGCATTCGGCCCTATCATGATTGCTCCTCTCTCCGAAATGTACGGGCGTGCAATTTTGTATAAGATTTGCATCGTCCTGTTCCTCATCTTCAATGTTGCTTGCGCCGTGGCTAATAATCTTTCGTCCCTTATTGTGTTACGACTCCTCGCCGGAATTGCCGGGTCGTGTCCCGTCACACTTGGAACAGGCTCAATCGCCGACATGGTTCCACAGGAGAAGCGCGCGGGAGCTATGGCTGGCTATGTGATTGGTGCTGTGCTTGGACCGTCTATCGGACCCATTGTCGGTGGCTACTTGACACCCAGGGCGGGATGGCGCTGGGCCTTCTGGCTAATGGCAATTGCTACTGCACCCCTTGCTGTAGTGGTTGTGCTCTTCATGCAGGAATCGTATCCCTTTGTGTTAATCAAGCGCAAAACGGAGCGCTTGCGCAGAGAAACTGGTAACATGAATCTTTGCTCTGCCCTTGACACAGGAAGGACACCGTCTCAGCTCTTCGCCTTCTCTATTTTGCGCCCGTTGAAGATGCTTCTCTTACCTATAGTCTTCGCTCTATCACTGTATGCCGCCGTTGTGTACAGCTATCTGTACTTATGCTTCACAACTTTTCCGCAAGTATTTGGTGAGCAGTATGGATTTGGCAGCGGCGCGTCAGGCCTAGCGACACTGGGGATAGGTGTCGGCTCTATCTTTGGCGTTTTTTTCTGTGGCGCTGTATCGGATAAGCTATCGGCCTACCTGACCAAAGAACACGGTGGGTCGATTAAACCGGAATACAGGCTCCCAATGATAGTTGTAGGAGGAATTTGCGTGCCCATCGGCCTGTTCTGGTACGCTTGGACGGCCGAGAACAAGGTGCACTGGATTGCGCCGATCATTGGGACCGGCTTTCTCGGGGGCGGTATGATAATTACATATGTAAGTTACCTATTTTCATGAAAAATTTCTGCAACTAATATTTAGGCAGATGGCTAGCACCTTGTATCTTGTCGACGCATACACAGTCTATTCCGCCTCAGTGACAGCTTCGAGTACCATTTTCCGTTGCCTTTGTGCAACATTTCTGCCCCTCGCGGGCCCTGCTATGTATGGTAAGCTGGGGGTTGGCTGGGGAACTTCGCTCCTTGGATTTATTGCTGTCGCATTCATTCCACTTCCATTCATCTTTTACATTTATGGACAGCGGTTGCGTGAGTCAAAGCGTTTGAGGATTGATTTCTGAAGGTACGTGAAATAGGCAAAGAAAAAGGGTTCAGGGCACTCACTGTCAGTGATATACCTTCCTTCCTCTGCCTACCACCATCAAAGCCGGGCTAGCTCAATCGGTAGAGCGTGTGGCTTTTACAGCAAACACGGTCTGAGATCACCACAAGGCTGCGAGTTCGAGCCTCGCGTTCGGCTTTCTTTTTTTCTTTTTTCCTCTTTTTATTTTTTATTTTGCCGATTTTGAAGGTTCACCTTATATAAGCAATTGCCACGTGACTAAACTTTACAAAAAGTCGCTTGTGCTTTCTCTCACGTTTTATTTCTTTTCCTCAAATCAAACTCTTCTTCGTTATGTTCTCGAAGGACAGTTTCCTCTCTTTTTCTCTTGACATTACCTGATTCACTTGAATACTAACAGTATATATGTAAGTTAACCCTTCCTATGCGCCGTCACTGCTCCGAGCCATACACATCTTTCATATGATGAATACCATGCGAACCAAGTACTTTTAGGAAGAGCCGGAAGAGGTATGGCAACCGTTACCACATGGGACGGGTTAATTTAATTATTTGTGTCGTCGATGCTTATAACGGTTCTGCTGAAGAAAGCTGTGTATGGCCTTGGAGTAGCTTTTGCGCATTTCAACCACACTATTCACGCCATTTGTCGAGAATGTTTGGTGATACAGTTTGCTAATTTGCTCCTTGTCTTAGGAAAAACAGCTGGTCGAATAAGAATAATATCGATATACATGTGTTATAATTGGTTGTGAGGTGCTGTCTGGACGTAGCCAGAGGGAGGTATATAATGGCTGTCATTGTCGAATTGGATGGAGGATGTACCCTTCTTCTTCATACGTGACCCAGAATATATAGAATAGGCAGGCCGTATCAACATATTAATACCGATCTCTATGTTATTTCTATTTCGTTTCTATTTAACTGACTTTTGTTTACCGTACAAAACTCCAATTCGCCGCGTAGGTAAAGCAGAAAAATGAGATCACATTTTTGGTATCCCCCAATGCAACGAGCAAGCCCTGATATTTCGTAACCAAAATTGAACAGATAGCATGGTCAACCATTATAGCATTATGCCACCGATGTATACTGCCGCTTCTTTACCCCCGTCTGTTTCTGTTCGTCTTCCTCCCACTGCTCTTCATCAACATAATCTGACTTGCTCTTCTCTCTCACCTGGCCGCCAATGAACTGCAGAGCTGCCAAGTTATAGCCCATTTCATCCTTTTGCCTGTTGAGGACTTGGCGGAGGTGGGAACGGATAGAGTTAAGCATGGGCTTCATCATCTTGCTGCTAACGATCTGAGTGTGGTGCGTCTTTAGGATGAAGAAGAGTACACGGCAGGTAAGTGGGATATCCCATCCTTTTCCGGCCCAGATATCCACAAATGTGAAAAGAGCGGGAAGTTTGGTAAAAGGAAGGACGAGAAGTGCGTCCTGTAGCGAAGCGGCCGGTATCTTTCGAATGACATTAAGAAGATATCGTTCGGCCGATATGTTTCCAAGGGCAAGATATTGCGGGTGTCGTGTTGGTGGTAGCATATTCTTTTCCTTCGCGTCTCGTAGTAGTGCAAGATCGTCCATACCAAGGTCCAGTGCTTCAATGATCTTTTCTCCAGCGGTAAGAGTCTCGGTTGTCTGCTTTCCAGCTGCCACTGCTTCGGCTTTATCTTCGCCATCTTCATCTTGATCCAAGGATTTGAGTAGGTTGTCTTCATACAAACTTTCCATTTCCTTTTCCCGTTCTTCTTCCAGGAATATCTGTTCGTCTGTCTGCTCCCAGAGTCGAATACTCTTATCATGGCTGGATGTGACGATGAACTCTCCACAATGGCTCATGGCCAATGCCCAAATTTCGCCGTGGTGGCCCCCAAGTTTAAGGATTTGCTCGAACTTATCGCCATCCCAGTACTTGATAACTCGGTCTTTGCCAACACTAAAAAAATTATGACCATCGCCTTCCTTGTTGTGAGGCATAAAGGCCACAGCCATGACACTGTCCTGGTGAGCAAAGAAAGACTTGTGGCAATCACCAAAATCAAGGCCCCATAGCCGTACGGTTTTATCGGCAGAGCAAGTAACGATCATCTTGCTATCAAAAGAGATATCCATACTCAGTACAGGAAGCTTATGGCCGTATAGATTGAGAAAGAGTTTCAGGGAGTCAACAAAGAAAACCTTGACAGTGTTATCCAAAAGAGAAACTGCTAGTAAACGAGCATCTGGGCTGAAGCGTAGACTGAGAATGTCGTCTGTCACCTTTAGGGTTCTGGTATGAACAAGTTTCAGCTTTGGGGTTGTCCGCTTGGTTCCCAGAATCTCCTCTTGCACTACCTGGAAATTCCAGAATTTGGCAGTCTTGTCAGCACTGCCAGTGACCATTGACTTTCCATCCGGATGTGCTTGAAGTGACCAGACAGGACCATCGTGTGCTTGTATTGTGTCCAGAAGAGTGGACGATGCAATATCGAACATCTCAATTTCTCCATTCTTATTTCCAACCACGACAATCTTGTCACCTGGTAAGAATGCAGAGCAAAGAGCGTAACCACAATCCAGCGTTCGCAAACATGTTTCCGTTCGTACGTTCCAGATTTTAAGGCTTCCATTCGATGCTGACGAAACCATTCTATCATCAGAACTCAGTGCAAGAGATCTTACATCTGTCCTGTGGCCTGGTATATCGATAGACAGCACACGGTTATAATCAGGTTCATCCTGGTCCTTGGATTTTTTCTTCTCGGCTGGTGTAATTCCATAGGTCTCCAGTTGATTGTTGGTCGTAGCTACAAGTAGCTGTAAGGCCTTAGATCCCATCCAGTCCACAGACGATACCTTACCCCCTGTTCGAACAATTGTATGGGGCACAAAAACTTCTGTAATTGAGGCAGCAGTAGTAGAGTCATCCATATCGATATCTGCTTCAGCTCCACCTTCGCCAGCTTTCTCCCGGGCCTTCTCTCTCTTCCGCTTGCGTTTTCGTGCCAGGCTCTTTTGTACCTCCTCATCACTCTTTATTCGCCAAATCTCGGCTGACTTCTCAGAGCCATGAAGGGCAACATAATCCAACTGCGGGTGGAAATGTATACCCAAAGTCTTCTCCTTCCCACTTCGATAAAGGTTACCCCGATCAGTCAATATCTTGCGGCTGTTCACTTCAGCCTTCCCTCCTGCAATCTCCCTTATCGAGGTCGCGTCAATCGACCACACCCTCAATTCACCTTCATTGCCCCCAGTAATGCAGCCGCTCATATCAGGTGAAAGACCTAAACTCCAGCATTCTCCGTTTCCTTGTGCAATGTGTGTCTCGATACAGTGTTGAGAGGACAGATCCCAGACTTTGATAAGCGAATCCTTTCCTGTGCTCAACAAAAAGCCATCGTGCTGGCTCAGCGCTAGAGCTTCCGCATCATCGACAGCACCCGTGGTCAGGAAATGAATGGAAGTAATCTGGTCAGTGTGACCACGCAATTTCACTAATCCTACTTCCGACACCAAGTCCCAGAGTATTATATCCGTATCCTTTGAGCCACTTGCAACTCGTGTTCCTTGTGCGTCGAATATTAATTTGGTAATAGCAGATTTGTGGCCGTTGAAGGATATCATCACCGTAGAGAATTTCGAATCCCATATCCGAATTGTGCCATCTTCATACCTATAGCTAGCGCGTTAGAATATTTACCCATCATGAAGAAAAGTATAGTATTCTATTAAAAGGAGGATCACTTACCCTACTGCGAAAAGGTCTTCATCGGCTTTGCTCTGCGCAATTGCTGTTACTTGCGCCTGGCAATTCCGGTCGCTCCATTTTGAAAGTAAATCTCCCTTCTTGATATCCCAACATAAAACACTTTCTCCAGCGCCTACAACCGCGCGTCCAGAGCCTGATTTTCTTGTCGAACCGGCGGTCTTCTCATCTCTCAGCCAAACCGCATTTGCAGAAGCAGACGTGACCAGGCCAAAAGTCTTTGAAGCCTCGAATTTTCTTAAGAAAAGTACATTATTAGCAGCAATTCTGGCAATTAAGACGAATAGGCAGAACTTACAAATATGACTTGACCATTTTCTCTTGCGCCAAAGAGAAGATTCCAGTATCTGCCCTTTCAACAAGATTCAATCTTGAAATGCGCAAAAGAAATATTGAGTTGCATGGATAACCTGCGGCTGCCGTCAAAGACCAGTGTAGCAATTTTGCAGTTACGTAAGCTAGTGTCGACGAGTGAACGCATCGCTGACGCCGATACAGTTAAACGGAGAAGTATCACGGCGCAACAAAACACGATCTAAACAAGACTTGCATGCCAGCTGCGCAGCGTGATTATAGGAATTGATTTCATGTTACGGACTCCTTGAAAATGCTTCTCCTAGATTACCACAACGTCCTCATACACTCGCTCCTAGCTGAGCGGTTCTCCGGGTAAATACCCCACCCAACGTATGCTGCCTTGGGATAGATTTAACTGACAAGCAATGATAGAGCTGCCCCAGTTTCGATTGACCAAATAGTATCTGACTTCGACGGCGTTACGTTTCACGTTTCTACCCCCGAGGCCAAATCCAAAATCCTCATCTCCATCGCCGTACGTTGCTTCCGTGAGTTGGTACAATATGGAGCACAGGGGGTCCTGGAGAGAGAATATGGACCATATATTGTATCCCCAGAGCCTGGATATGATTTTTCAATCCTGATAGACCTGGAGAACCTTCCTGCAGAGCAGGAGGCAAGGGATCAACTAATCATGAGCATCTCGCTCATGAAACGAAATGCCATGGCTTCGCCTTTCGAGAAAGCTTTTGAAGAATTCCAGAAACTCGAAGAAGAATCTAACAAATATTCCCTTGAAGCTCTTCCACAACAGCTGAAGGACGGTGGGGAGGTGATGACTGTCCATTACCGAGATGAGGAGGCCATATTCATCAAGGCTGGATACGATAGCGTCACAGTTATTTTCAGCACAATCTTCAGGGACGAGACGGATAGAATCTTTGGGAAGGTCTTCCTTCAGGTATGATTTATCTGGATGCAGTCCCTGTTCTAGATATTCCCTGGATTTTTCATCTGATGTCATGATAGGAATTCGCCGATGTTCGAAGACGAGCTATACAAAACGCTCCTCAGGTCCTCTTCCGCAACGACCCGCCTCTCGAACTCCAGGGTATCCCGGGCCTCAAGGACTCCCGAAATGGAGAAGTCGGATATATCACATTTGGTATAGCTAATATTTAACCAATATCGCTCAATAGAACCCCGGCTAACGATACATAGTTCTCTACCCTCGTCATCTCTTACCACAAAAACGTGCAGAGACAATATCCCACATACAAACCTTCCGTGACTACTTCCACTACCATATTAAAGCATCAAAGGTCTGATTTATCAATAAATGCCGTCAGGGAGGGAAAATTTTCGATTATTAACGCAATTGTGTAGGCTTATATTCACACCAGAATGCGGAAACGCACAGCAGACTTCTTGCAGGGTAAGCTTACTTGGATCTAATGCCGTCGATTCAGTCTATGCTAATTACAATATCTAGTTCTCAACCGTGCGAGACCCGAAAATGAAGAAAAGGAGCGAAAGACCGCCAGTGGAAGGACGTTTCGTGTCCAGGGTTAGAGAAAATTAATACTATAAACACATACCCCTCTCTAAAATATACTACTGGTCCTTCAGCGCTACGATAACAATGCCTGCTGCCTGAAGCGCCCGTAAAATAAGCCTAGCTCAATATATGCCCATTTCCACAATGAAAGTCTTCAAGCCACTCGTATACCAAACAGTTCACAGGGGGATCGTGTATACCAGCAGCAGGTAACTGGTTAAATAACCGTATACTAGCAAAGCCTTAGATTAGTTTGATACTCGAAGGAGCGACGCCCTAGACTCAATTTTTCGTGTTGATTTGGTGCTAAGTATAATTGAGTTAACCGATTCGAGCAATGCTTAAAGACCCCCGATTCAGAGGCCAAAGTAGGTATGATTGCGAGGGCCAAAGGAAAACTCGTGGTTATTGAACAGTCTATTGAAAGTGGTTGTCATTTAACTTAAGTCAATAGGACTTTGTAGGTTTATATTCATATTCAATGTTGAATAACACAAAAGCGCTGAATAGAGGGCTCAGGTGAATCCGCATCCCACAATGGATAACAAGCTACCAGCCACCATATATAAAACCTACCCTTTGGACTCTGACTTTCCTCCGCCCTTTCCACCATGACCTTCTATTCCATTAACAGTATCATGAGCTCTGTCTATCCTCTTCACACCCAGATACCTCCAATATAAAACTCTCGAAGCCATAAACTACCCTTTTTCGGCCGCTTTAAAATATCCAATTATACCAGCATTGAGGTACCCTAGGAGACCATGGAGCTCCTACAGCCAGTGAGATATATTCCCGATTCAAGCCAGGCAGAATTATGCTGTCCAGAACCATGTGCAGACCACAAGTCCGAGAGGCAGGACAGGGTTGTTGTGGCTTACTCCAAGGTCTATGGCGTCGCCAAAATGATTTCTGAGATCCTTAGAGCATTTGGGTCGGAAGTAAGTGGAAATATAGGAGAAGAGCTACATTCCTATAATCCGTGGGGCTAACAATTGATGTCCAGCTAAGTGATAGTCCAACGGATATAAAATTCCATATTGCCCGAGTCGAGAAAGAATTGACACAGCCATACTCTCCGAAGCTCCTTGCAGCAGTTGAAGACCTGTTTTACATTGTACTTGCAAGGGTGAAGAGTGAAATCCAGCAGATTGACATTGACGAGAACTTCCAATTCGACTTTCATTTTATAAAAACCAACTCGAGGCTCCTTCGGAGAAAGGGACTGCCAGAAATCAGACACCTTAGATTGATTTTCGAGGCCTGTAAACGTCTCCTTCTGTCTGCGGAAGTCTGTGGTATACTCAACACCGAGCTCATTCGACAGCAAGAAGATGATTATATCCAGCAAACCATGCAAATGGGAGAGGAGACTGGGTACTTTGCCGATGATCCGGTAGGCTACCGCCGATATATCCAGAGTCTGATTACCGACCCAGATTCCCCATACCGGATGAAGTGGAGCGGACTTAACCCTGTTTACGACTCTTCACCAGAGATGATACTTGCAGCCTTGAGGGAGAAATATATGGGTATTATATCACGAGAGACGAAACAGGGCAAATTCAACAATGTCAAGGTGAAGTCGCCTCCCCCTACGTGGAAGTCCAACCTAGCATATGTGGAAGAACGACGGATACAAGCGAACAGAGAAGCAGCATGCGCTATGCTACATGGTATAAATGTTGGCGAGTTTCGACGCCAGAAGGGTCAAGAAATAGTCCGCCAATATGTTCAGCAGAATCTCTGCGTTTGCCTTGAGAATTGCACTTGTTCTCGCAGATGCACCGTTAAGGGGTGGAGAGTTTGTCCCTGTACAAGTAGAATGAATCTACTCTATGAGGAAGACCTTGGGCCTCGGCGACCTTTCGTTGAGAGATGTGCGGACATGGCAGTGATATTATTCGAAGCACTATCTGCCTCTTACCAGGGTATTGGCCTGTATGGGATGGCATGTTATCTGAACAGAGGATTGGAGTTCTTCCACGATGAAGTCACCCACTTCCGAGACCACTATTGGAAGGCTGCGGCTCAGGACAACTACTACTTTGATTTCAATATTGAATTCCAGTACCGGCAGCGGATCGGTGAAGATGTGCTTCAACGACGGAGCTGATGAGGGTTAGTTAGGTATGACAGGAGATTTAACGACTTTTATGATTGAACGAAGAATGGCTGGTGAGGAGTTTAGGGTCTGTTTTTTGTTTTCCCAACAGATTCTCAAAAAGCACAATATTCGGTGATTTTATTCACATCTTAGCTGCTATGTTTTTTTTTCTTTCTTGAAACCCTCGTCTTAATGCATTCCCGTTGTTAAATTGAATCGATTTGAAATCCAATATATATTTGAAGCCGCCTGCGAAGTCTGTGTCACGTGCAACTAAGCGCCGACTTCTCCATATCAAAAAACTTTACTCTGTATGGAGTAGATGGTTGTACCTATGTGCATTGCCGTGCATCAGGATGTCCATTTCCCCAGACCCAACGGCCTGTTTTAGGGCATCTAGAACCAAACAAGATCCGGAATCTAGATCCTACTCACCTCGCATGGACAGTTATCCGGCAACAGCAGCGAAAATACCATCATCCCGTTCAAAATATGAATGCTGATTCGCGACTGCCGGCGCTCTCCGCTAGAGACGTCCAGACGGTTAACGACCGAAGAGCGCGGAGTCGCCAAGTAGAAAGCGGGTGATTGGAGAGAAAAGCCGTGGGCTAAATAGCCGTCGCCGCGGCGCGCTGGCTCCTCTTCCGTCGCAAACTCGACCGCTCGCTCTGGAGGCCGAAAGGTGGTGCTCTGGTTCGGTCAACGTCCGCAATATCTAACTGCACGGTTGCCACTCTTAGGCCAAAGACCACACTCAAATGGCAAACAGGACGCCCCACCGAGTCGGGCGGCGGGAATGGAACTTGTGCGGTGTGTGTGCCTATTCGCTTCCAGGCCCGGTTCCTGGATGCGACGTGATATAAGTTGGACTGGAAGACGCACATAATAAAAGGGACATAAAAGGAGAGACAGCCATTTTTGCCTCTCCAGAAATCAGCTCCTTCTCAGCTGACGGAAGATATAATATTCCGAAGCTCAACAATTGTCGCAAAAGAAAAAAATACGAAGGCCTTAACGGAGAATTATCAGGTCAGGTCATCGTTGCGCGTGCCTATCCCTGTACCCTGCTTGGTCTGGCTGTGTTGAGAGGCGCATGTTAGTAAAAACTGGAAGTTGTCCGACTCAAAAACAAAGGAGTGAGAAAAAAAAAATAGGGATGACCATATTTAATACACACGGCCTCTTCCATCCTGATCAAAGAATATTTTGAGGGTTAGATTAAACCCAAGAAACATCATCAGTGAGCCTGCTCCAGGTGCAGATAAACTCATGCTGGAATGGTCTTTACTACCCCTGCCTTCACTCGCTTTCTGATATCATCAAGCTGGAAACTCCCAACACTTCGACAATTCATCCAGTGGTCGCCGGCCGTTGTCCCTACATCTGGCATCTCGACTCCAACCGTAGAGCGAAATGTGCAGCCTGTGCGATCCAAGTGGCCCCCTTTCTATTTCGACACTGGCTACTCGATAATCCCAAAGCGACCATCCCGGCCATTTCCGCCGCCCTTCCTATCGCCACCGGCCACTTCATTCTCTGATGCCTTAACAACGCATGATAAGAGTCATGACAGGCGGCCGTCGGTTAACGGGGAGCCTCTTCGTGGGCTGACAAATGGAGACGATGCGATCCTCTGTACTCCAAACTTCCTGGGCGTGAACGACGGCGTCGGAGCTTGGGCGTCGAAGCCTCAGGGCCATGCAGCGTATGTACAACTCAAACATAAGGAAAGGATGAACATCATACTTACAGTTTGTTCCATATAGATTGTGGTCCAGATTAATACTCCATTACTGGGCGTTGGAGGTCGAAAACCGCCTCACTGGATCGCCGAAGCCGGACTTGATCGAATGTCTCCAGCGGGCATATGAAGAGACTGTTGAGGCAACCTCATCTCCAAACGAGATTCTTGGGACCACAACCACTGCAACTGCACTCCTAAGCTACAAAATCATAGGAGAGACCCCCACACCGTTCCTGCACGTCACCAATCTTGGAGACTGCCAGACACTGGTTATCCGTCCAAGAGAAAGGCGTATTGTGTTCAAAACTGAAGGCCAGTGGCACTGGTTCGACTGTCCCATGCAGTTAGGGACTAACAGTGTGGACAAGCCTCGAGAAAATGCGGCATTGTCGGTACTGGAGATTGAGGAAAACGACATCGTCCTGGTTGTGTCTGACGGAGTAACAGATAACCTGTGGGACCAGGATGTGCTAGAGGTTGTGCTCAAGAGTCTCGAGAAATGGGAGATATGCAAGAAGAAGCGAGAGACGGCCGAGTATCTCGAGAGTCGGGGCGGGAGAATGGTATACGTCGCTGAGCAGCTCTTGACTACTGCCAGAGCGGTTGCCATGGACCCCGCCGCGCAAACTCCATACATGGAAAAGGCGCAGGAAGTAGGGCTATCCGTCAACGGAGGTATGCATCATATAAAATCCCATGCTGTTATTAGAATAGTTCATCTTACTGATCCTTGCATTTCATAGGCAAAATGGATGATATTAGTGTCGTTGCCGGCCGTGTTGTTCGGTCAGGCTAAGTTGAACAGCACTCGCATCACCATGAGCATTGCGGGGGCGTTCCACAGTTAATCTTGTTGTTTCTTCTCGTTCGAATCATTAGCATGCATTTCAGGACGCGAATAGGATTTAAGCGTTGGGACGGTTGCATATTTCTTTCAGCGAATGGCCGGAGTATGGACTGGATGTTCTCTTTGGGTCTTTGGGTCGTTGGGCTTCAGGCGTTTTTACCGGATGGGACTTGGGAAGCAAAGATAATAATCGCATAGAGCGCAAGGTAGAGCCGGCTGCGCCATATATACACCCCACACATATTAATGTTTTATTGAATATATATAAATCATCTTCATCTCTCTTCTTGAACGTCTTCCTGTCGTTAGTTTTGAATGTTCGTCTTTGCATTTCGTCTGTAGCTAAAAAATTTTGTATCCACAAGCCGGCGAAATCTTGGCATCAACTTTACATTTTCAAAAGTCAAAAAAAAAAAAAAATAACATAGAGTAAAACGGTCAGAAATACCTTTTAACAACAGGCTTGCGTAACCAAGCTGCCCTCGTTACAGTTAGAGGAGAGACTGTGAGGATATTGCGAACATGAGGGCGAAACGATCGAAGAAGTACCAGAAGCTAATGCGCCAGTATGAGCTCACGTTTGGGTTCCGCGCGCCATACCAAGTTCTAGGTAAGTCATTTGAATGGACGGAGATATTGTGAGGAGAGAAGTGAAGCTGACTATAGACGGTACTTGCAGTGGACTCGCATTTCCTTCAATCAGCGTATAATTTTAAAATGGACCTTGTACCTGCGTTGGAACGTACAGTACAAGGCAAGGTGAAGCCATGTCAGTTCTACTCTACACAACCCAGATAGACAGGTCAAATGGACCCGGCTAACAAGCTGTATAGTTATTACAAAATGCACTCTAGCGGCGATCATGGCTTCCCAGCCGCCGCGGAAAGACACCGGCCATGCTCAGCGCCAATTGCGACCTCCACAGCTCCCTCCACCAACCGTACTACCGCTACGATACTGCTCGCATAACGAAGACAGCACACCTATTGACGAAGAAGAATGTCTTCTGTCGCTACTGTCACCTAATCCGGATGCGAAGAAAAATAAGGAACATTTTATACTAGCTACGGCTGATCCAGCGCCAGAGACAGCTACTCAGCCGGATAACAAGCGCAAACGGCCTCATTGGATGCAGGCGCAGGAAGGAATGCAGCAGCAACAGCAACGGGGACGAAGATATAACCTGAGACGGGAGGCGAGACAAATACCCGGTGTGCCGATTATATATGTTAAGCGGTCTGTGGTGATCCTAGAGCCTATGAGCGAGCCATCAAGTGATATACGGGAAGGATTTGAGGAAGGAAAACTGCGAAGTGGGTTTATAGCGGCCGCTACGACTACTGGGAAGAGGAAGAGAGATGCGGACGGGGACGATGAAGAGGATGACAATGAGGGAGAGTGGGTGGAAGTCAAGAAAAAGAAGGTCAAGGGAGTAAATCCGTTGAGCATGAAGAAGCCAAAACAGAGGACCCAGACTATGCAGAAACCAAAGAAGGCTGATGGAGATACAGCGGCAGGGGATGATGTTGATAAAGGAACAGAGGGGCCAATTGAGCAGACAAAGTCGAAGAGGAAACGAAGGCATAAAAAGAAGACTGAGACGGCTGACGTGACCGAGCAGGATGATGATACCCCAATTGCAGATACAGAGACATGAAATGTTGAAGAGTATTGAAATGATTATAACAATACAGATGTCACGCCCAAATTCCGTATCTTTCCTCCATCTTACACCAAAGTAGAGATAACCCGGTATACATATTATACAGCGGAAATAACAAAAAACTCCCAAACTCCAAGCTGCCCGGATACATCTAGGTGTCCATGACGGCGTCCTAACTGCTCGATTTCATCTGTCCTTGTGCCGCATCCTCATCCCAGAGCTTCTCAATTCTCGCCCTGTTCTCCCTAGCCTTCTCCCTGTTGCGGGATGCGCGCTTCAGTCTCTCGGCGTACAGGCAGCGGTTGACCTCTCGCTTAACATCGTTGCAGTTTCCGAAGACTTTGTGCATGAAGCCTTTTGCGTGGCACTCGTCTAGCATTGTCATGACCTCCTCGCAGTCTAGATGGTCAGTAAATGTAGAAGCGGAAGCTGGCATCCGGAACACCTACTGATGTTGTCTTTGGTGTGCAGGTGAGAATGCATTGTGGCAGTTGTTTCTTTTGTCTTCGTCTCCTATTCCCTTGCTTGCATTTCCTGTCTTCTTTTGTCTTCTTTTTGTCCTTTCGTCTCTTCGTCTGCTTGTCCGTTGCTTGCGTTGCTTCTTCTTCTTCGACGTCAACTTTTCGGTGGTAAAATTCTGCCACAAGGCGGCGAGCGCCAAATCCACCCGATAAACAAAAAATTTCTGATAAGGAAAAAAAAAAAAGAGAAGCTTCGACTTTTCTGCTTCTTCAACTACAGCTTGGACAGCTTCATATTTATAGCAAGGGCACGACTAACCAGCCACTCGAGACGCTGGAGTCGTTGTAATTACACTGGAAATATACCCTAGCCAGTTACTTTGACTGGTCCTGCGCAATTGCAGGTACAACTACGTACTTGGTGATTGCTAGCTGCGCATCCCCCACTATACGCATTGCCAGCAGTAGCACAGCTTGGAGAGTCCAGGATGTCAATGATAACGGCTACAGCATGGGTTCGACGAGGCGTCGCTGCCCAGTTCCCCGAGCGCTACGAGATAGACGAAGCAGAGATCAGTCGGATCTCGAAACTCGCCAAAGTTCAGCTTGAAAGCGCGAGGACAGACCTAGAAGCTGCCAGGGATGCGGGTGATGATGACAACGAAGACGGCGATGAAGACGATGTTATGGACACAGTAGATGATGCAGAGGTCGAAAAGAAGAGTGAAAAGGAGAAGGGAGAGAAAAAGGGCAAAGGAGTGGATGAGGATGATGAATTGGCGGAATATGATATGGAACATTATGACAGTGATCCACGGGATGAAGAAGGAGACGAGGTGACCATGTTTGGCAATGTCCAATCCCTGGCCTACCACCAACCGCACGAGAAAGACCCCTACCTTGTCCTGCCGGACAAAGCAGACGGAGCTGGTGATGATTCTGACGAGGAACGAGAAGATCTCCAGATTCTGCCATCTGATAACCTGTTGTTGGCAGGTAAAGTGGAAGATGAGGTGGCCCATCTAGAGGTATACGTCTACGAAGACGAGGCAGACAATCTGTACGTCCATCATGATGTGATGCTGCCTGCGATCCCACTCTGTGTTGAATGGCTAGATATACCCGTTGGCAGCCAGGCTAGAGAGACAGGTCGATCGCATGGCAACTTTGTTGCCGTTGGAACGATGGAGCCCGACATTGAGATTTGGGATCTGGACGTGGTAGACTGTATGTACCCCAGTGCGATCCTGGGCAAGGCACCAGACGACGAGGGAGAGCAGCAGAAAAAGAAGAAGAAAAAGAAGAAGAGCGTGGCGAAGAAGAATGACGAGTACCATGTCGATGCCGTGCTGGGCCTGGCAGCAAACCGTCAACATCGGAACTTGCTCGCCTCTGCATCCGCGGACTGTACCGTCAAACTATGGGATCTAAACGACGCCAACACTACTCGCTGCGCCAAGTCTTACACCCACCACACGGACAAAGTATGCTCTATCGACTGGCACTCAAAGGAATCAACTGTCCTTCTAAGCGGCTCATACGATCGCAGTGTGGTAGCATGCGACATGCGCTCGGCAGAGGGCCAGGTCGGCCGGTGGACTGTCCCAAGTGACGTCGAGTGTGTCCGCTGGGACCCGCTGGACTCCAACATCTTCTACATCACTACAGATGGCGGTCAAGTAGTCTGCCACGATCTTCGAACACCGGACTCTGCACTGTGGACTCTGCAGGCCCACGATAGCTCGGTGTCGTCCTTTGACGTCAACGCTTTCATCCCGGGCTTCCTCGTGACAGGGTCAACAGACAAGACGGTCAAGATATGGAACGTCCTTGACAATAAGCCAAGCATGGTCGTGAGCCGTAAAGTGGAGGAAGTCGGTAAAGTCTTTTCGACTGGCTTTGGACCCGATAGGGGCGTTGCATTCCGCCTTTCTATTGCGGGAAGTAAAGGGGCAGTGAAGGTATGGGATACGTCAACTAACGGGGCCATCCGAAGGGCGTTTGCTACAAAGATGGCGGCCAGTGCGGAGGAGATGGGTGTGAGGGAGGGAAGAGCCGAAGGGGAAGGACAAGGAATGGTCGGTGTTGCTGACGATGAGGAAGAGGACGACGACGACGATGAAGATGCGGAGATGAAGTGAAATGATAGATGCAAAAAATTGGATGAATCTAGAAGACGTTAATATAATGTCATGGCGTTTCAGTTACATGATGTTCTACCCCTATACAACGCACGATATACCACCTGTAAACCCGTTAGTAGACATATAGACCGTTGTACCGTTATAAGAAATAAGACGTATCCAATCCAATATACGACTTATTAGGCCCCCAAGCAAGGACCCTACTCTTCATCTCCCCGGGCTTCTTCTCCACAACTTTCTCCATCTCCTCCTTCTCACTTGAGTCAAGAAGGACAAACCTATCCCGCCAACTGTCTTGATCTCCAGAAAAGCCCCGGTTTATATATGCCTGATCCGCAAGTTCCCTGAAATAATCTGATGCTGTGTCAAAGCAATTATGCTTGGGTCTAGGACAGGAGGGATCTCGACTGCCAGGCCAGGCGTGTTAAGGGCTTCACTCAAGTCCATTGCATGGCCTATATAATCCATGATGATAAAGGGCCCTAGACCAGGCGGGCTTCCATCCTTCGTACCCCAGTGTATGATAAAGGGGACGGGGATGGAGGTGTGTGTATCTGATAGCAACTATCTCGTTACGGACCTTGTCTTCGGGAAACATGGTCACTTCAGGCTCTGGGAAGCGTACCGTCCTCTTCAAACTGCATCTTGAAGGAGATATTGAATGCTCCGGACTGCGGATGAAAGAGCTCGACAGGCACTCCTCGGTTGACTCTAGTTGTAAGGGGGTTATACGCACAACATGACTCGGGCCAGTGCGGATGCCGTAACTAGCTCCATCCACACACCTCTGTCTTTGGTACTTCAGCATTCGTCTAACTACAAAAAGCCACTTTCATGACCTCTAGACGCTGTTATCACGCAACTCTCTCGGAGATCTATATCAAGATCGCTATGAGATAGTTCATAAACTTGGCGCCGGTTCATATTCCACTATACGGCTGGCTAAGGACCGTCAGGACAACGTATTGGTTGCCATAAATATCATTGTTTCCCAATACCCCAAAAGCCGTGTTGATACTGAAAATAAGACTTTGCAGTTGCTAGCCTTAGGACCCAAGGACTATCCCAGACGAGCCTATGACTTCGACGGTTGATGTTTGGACCCTTGGATGCACTCTATTTGATCTACTCGGTCGTCATTAATTGTTCAAAGGATACCTACCGGACGAGCATGATACCATACCATAGCTGAAATGATAATTAAGTGCACTAGGCCCAGTTCCAGCACGTTGGTCCAATGGTTGGGGAAAGATGTCCTTCTTCTTTAACGACTATGGCTCGTGGAAGGATAATGATCGCTGTGGGCTAGTCCTTAGATTATTAAGGGAGAGGATCCTCAACATGATGGACAAAGGTGAATTCCATACGGAAGAATTGCCTGGCACTGAAAAGTTACTCGAAGGCATGCTGGCTTATGAACCTTCTCAGAGAATTTCCGCAAAGGACGCGGTTGGCTCCGAATGGATGTAGAAATGGGGGATCTCGGCCATGAAGAAAGCGCAGCAAGTACGAAGTAAACAAGAATACTAGTTAATGCATTTAGTTAACACTTTCGATCAACCAATGAATAGGGAACTGCTTGGAGATCCAAGCTTGGTCGATCATGTAGTCCAGATCCTCTATGGATGGTTTCTTTTGGATATAGCTAACAGCAACAAGCTTTATAGGAATTATATTTAGCAAGTTCCTTGATTGTCCAATTTCTCCTTCTAGATAGATAAAAGTAATCAGAAAGGTTTAGCTAGCTCCCTGATCCCATTTATTGGTTTCTTTATATTTTTCTGGGAAGTCTTCTTTGATAGTATTTGAAGTGAAAGAAGTAATGTTATGTATTTATTCTTACTCTTATGCTTATAGCAGATGTATGAAAACGGCATGTGCTTGTAGGTGGAATGAGCATCGAGGTATACTTCGTATTGTAGACACAGCTGGTGTATAGTTATGTATAAGTCGAGGACTATTGTAGGGACTTGGGGATAGGGACATTGGGCGACTATTCCATTACCTAGAAGTTAATGAAGTGATACAAGTACTCCGTACATGAAATCAATATAGCCACAATAATGAGTGATACGGAGTATACCATCGACTTTACGTATCACCTGGCGAGCGGACAACGCTCCGTAACCAGCTAGCTGCTGAAAGGACAGCGATAAAAATGTTCAGCCAAACGGGGATAACTAGCGAGTAACAGAATAAGACGCTCGTATATATAGGTACTTATACCACAGCAAGGCCGTCGGAGCAACAGAGTGAGGTCTCTCCACCGTGAATAGCGTGCTTCGATAGCCATCACCGGGGTCTTCTTGGAGTTTCATCTTTAGACGGCGGTTAGAGCCCATCGAGCCATCGATCAGAAGGTGAGTGACCGTCGCCACCGCTCCTGTCGGGCGTCTTCAGCATCACCGTCGGCGCCCTGCCGTCCTTGTGTCCAGCCGTCCATGCCGTCTCTCATCTGACATCGGCATCGACGTGATCTCGCATGAGGATATGTGAGTGAACTGTCCGTCCCGCTGTCCTTCCGCTCACCCGCCCATCCATGCAGCAACAAGTCACTCTGTGACCTGGTTCCCAACGTGTTAGCGGCCTCCCGTGACTGGCCGGGTGCTGTTTGATCGCCCGTCGACGTTTCACCAGACTGCCCGGCTCGCTTCGTTCTGGCAGGCGAGCAGCACGCAAGAAAGGGGTCACTCGGGTCGCTCCCAGTCTAAAAGCGCTTCCCTCTGCCCTTCCCTCCCTCTCCTCCTGCTCCCTCGTCCCTCTGGTCTCTTCTTCTTGTATCTTCCTGTCTTCCTGTCCGCTTCTCGCCTTCTTCATTCTTGCTTCTTCTTCCTCCACGTCGTCTCTTGGCGCTGCACCGTCTTACTAAGCTGTGCCTGGACTAAGCTTAAAAGGGAAGACCCACTTCGGAAAACCTAAAAAATTTCCCCTCTTACCTAAGCAGCCTCTTACCTAATCAGCCTGCTTCCACTTTCTCCTCTCGTCGCTTTTCGTCTTCTTCTTTTTGGTTCTTCTTCTTCGCCTTCAACTTTCGCCATCTTCGCTCCTTAACTTCTTCTTCTCTTTCTCCTTCTTCTCCTTCTTCTCTTCACGCCCTTCGATAGAGCGTCCTGGTTGTCGCTCTCACTCGCCCACGTAGATCGTCAGATATCGCCCTGCCCTACCCGCTTGACGCCCGTAAGGCACCGACAAGGCACAAGGCACCGCTGGCTGCTGTCCTCGCTCCCTTCATTTATATCGAATTCGAACCCGAACTCGACAGGACGGATCATCTTACGCTCACTTGATGTTTTGACCGAATTCGCTTCCGTCTTAGCTTACACTCTCTTTATATCGCATATACTTGCGCTTCCACTCGTTCTCGTCGCGGATCTTTCTGCGTTTGCGCCATTTCTCTCCGCCAGTTGAAGGACAGGCACCGACAAACGGCGCAGGACTCACCGATTTAAAAAAGGCCGTCGACCCTCCTCTTCTACCGCCAATTCAATTTTATATTCACTCCTTCTACCGTCGGATCACCCTTGCTGTCGCTTGATATATACAGGCGAAAATGTCCGCTGCAGTGTCGTCCTCCCTGGGCCGCGCTTTCACCAAGCGCCAAAAGCGGCCGGAGGTGTCCGCCCCCATGCCCTTTCGCGAGGGACAGCCCCGTTTCGCCGCCGGAACGATTAAGCGATCCAAGATATCAGCGCCGGTCGAGCTGATTTCCACCACAAACCTGCTTGCATACACTGCACCAGACATCCAGAAACATGGTCACCATGGACACAATCACAAGCACCAGCAGCCAGTCATCTCGCGGCCCATCATCCAACACCAACAACACTCGGCGCTCCAGCATTCAACTTCCTCTTCTTCCTCTTTCCGATCAGCAGACGAGTCCGACGCCAGTAACTCGTTACACACCCCCAGCACCACAATCACCTCTCCCTCGCTCCCAGGTTCGACGGAGGCCTCCCCCATCCTGAGAGAGAACGGCCACTACAACCAACTTACCGGCTACTTCGACCAGCAAAAGGATGGTGCGCCACAACCTCCACGACCATCTCATGAATACAGCGCTCCTCCACCTTCTATCCCCACCCGCGCCCTCAGCCATACCAAGAAGTCACACCAAGAACTCTCTCGCCAACGGTCGAACGCATCAAATAACTCTGCGGGACGGCGCACCCCATCCTTATCCAATACATCTTCTCCCACTCCTACCTCACTCTCATCCGCTCACGCCACACACTCTGCTGCCGCCGCCGCCTCCCGTTCACATGCACAGGACGCTCATGCCCACCCATTCGGCAAAGAGCTAGAACAAGTCAACGAGGTCGCAGAAGAATTCTCGGCTGGTCAACTCTTCCGAGACGAAGATGAGAGAATCCTCGCTTCCAAAGGTCTCGTCAAGGTCGATGTAATAGAGTACCTCGAGGAAGTCAAGGGCGTATACGCCTACGTCTTTGGCGGAGAAGTCGCCAAGCGGGACTGGATCTGATACCTGATCCTGGTCCCACATATCTTGGAAAATTGTGCAATGTTACCGGTGGCTGATTTGATACCCTTTCTCTCCTTTTCCCTTTCCCCTGTGTGCTTTTCCATTTCTATTCTGACGGGTCAATATTTCATGTGATATCATACCAATTTTTCCCCTTCCTTCGATTCTCATGCTATGCTTTGAAATGTGTGATGTGTTATCCTATTCCAATAATCTTTTACCCATAAATTTGTTACGCTTCCATTCTCAGTCAAATACCTTATTCAACGTTTTCATGCATGTCATCTTTCTCCTTTGATGATCATCTTTTTTTCTTTTCACTTGTGCACCTGCCGATGGCTTGTGTTGTGCATGCTTGATGCATATACCACAACGCTATCTTGCAGCCACCACCACACTCACTTTATGCCCTTTCTTTGCTTCTTTTTCTTTCTTGTCCATTATTTTTCTTATCTTCTAGACTGGAATATGATAGCTCATCAATCAAGCATTTACTTATGCAATTATACACACACGTGCGCTTCGGCCGGCTGTCTCTTCACGTCTTAATTATTCCCCAATGCCATCGAGTACCGCGACTCCACAAGCGTCAGTTATATTCTAAATGTTCTCGAGAGGTGCACAAACTGGCGTCATGTACGCTACAGCGCATTAGACATCTCCCACAAGGAGAAGACCAACCACGTAGCAGCTTGTCGAAACAGCTGAGCCAGATGAGGGAGCACACTCGTGACCTGCATATATTCGACACTGGCTTGGTTGAGAACGAACGCTCCAGAGTCACCCAGACTTGAGAATCCCTATGCACTTTGGCCCCGTCCCGGCAACGGTTTCCCACTCGACGCTGCATCTCCGAGTTCGCGCATGCGTAGATGAACCTATCTAGACCCAAGAACGAAGTTTTATCGTTTTCAATTCCCTTAATGATGCCATGGGGCTGGTATTGGAACGAAGTCACTTGTGATGTCTGCTGGAGATAGCTTATTTCCCGTTACTTTTAGTAGGCTAACGTCGATTAAGGCCCAATTGAGAGATTGCATGCCCTGATTCAACCGGAAACCTGAACCGGAATAAACCGTGCTGAAATAGTTCACGATCAAGTACTTTCTACTCCGTTGAGATAAGGAATCTCTTGTAAACCACTGTGGCCGCCAAGTAATTCGAGTATTTGGCCGTTAATGGAGGCTAACGCTGAATAATGGTATCACTTGAATCAACGACAGAGGAAACCATCTCTTATCCTTTGGCAAAGGAGAACCTCTGCACTATTATTGTTCAGTTCCATTGGCAGTGACCACGAGAGCCAGTGTATGGGGGTATTGCACCGCTGCCCAGAAGCCTTGTTATATTGCAGAGTTTGTCCTGGAGTATGCCTCTAGTCGTTCGTGTATTCAACACACTTGGCACTTAATGGTTTGATAGATGTGATGGGGGTGCTCCTTTGTTCTGGCGTGGTAGGCCTGGGAATGTCTGCGGTGGGTTGCGACACGTTCTTCATCATTCCCAGGAGCACAAGTTGGGGCCTTGAGCATGGACATTCTGTGGAAGGAGAGCGTTCTCTTACAGAAATGACTGATTACATAGCGTCAGTCATTTATCCTAGAGCTCATATTAAAGACATGCTAAGGTCAAGCTATTATATATACAGGTTCTGGATATAGTACCTGCGAGGTCTGTGGGAGTAACTTGCTCGGTCACTGCAAGCTAGTTATGAGGACCTAGGTAGGTTGTAGCACACAATGTAGCCAGCTCTAAATATAGGTGTGAAACGAACTGCAAACATAGGCTCCGTCTTTATAGGCTGCTCAAAAATGGTAAGATATGCCTTTAGCTTACGAGATATTTAGCCGGCATTTGATATTTGGTGTCTATATCACACTCTGAATAGCCTTAATCCAAGGAGCACTTATGATGGAACCTTGCTGGCCCATTCATGAATAAGTGATTAGGTATAGAGGGCTGGGGAAATCAAGACTCGAGATTTTGAATGTCAAGGGGAAGGTATTTATATCTGAGATTTGGTATTGTTCGATTGGCGTTGAAGATAGTTTTAGACTTTCCTAGTAGCCGACTTGGCGCCACTTAGCCGCGCTAAGTCCAGCACAGACAAGGCGGGGTAGCTAAGCGAAGCTCAATCAAGGCCTCATCGGTTGCACAGGGCGTTTGCAGTGCGTAGTAACGTATTTACTAGTAGGAGAATATGGCGTTTTAGGCTGTATATGTGTAGATAGTACTTATATACATGACGTAGCCTCGGAACACACAACGACTTCCAGAGTGGCCATTGACTAGTCATTACCATACCAAGCATAGCTATTACAATGATTGCTATCCCTCCCAGCTCCTTCTGCTCCTCCTGCTGTTCTCCTTGTCTGTCGACTCTCCATCTCCACCTCTCCCCTTCGTCCTCGTCCTCGCTTCCTGTCCTGAAAAGGAAAGTGACCACAGGACGGACTGCTGAGTCAGCACAAGTGTGACTTCTTGGCGTGTTCCCCACAAAAAGAGAGACTTTTTTTTTTTTACGTGGGCAGAAAAGACATCACCGCCTTTTTTACTTTTCTTTCTTCACACAAAAGGAAAAGACAAAAAGAGCGACTTCAGCTTCAGATTCAGCATCGCCAGATGCACAATAGATAGAAATCCCAGCTTCATCTTCACTCTTAAGGCTCCTGTCGCTCCTTTAGCGCTGCCCAACTGTTCCCCAGGATGATAAGTCGCGGAGTCTCGGTCTCTCGTTTGCAAATTCTGCCGTGATTTCTGCTTATCGACGTACCCAGGCTGCAACCAGAAACTCTCACCGGACCACAAGAGTAGAGAGGCGAGATGGTCTCTGTTACGCACCTCCCGTCGACTCCGTCGTCTGTCTCAAAGCCCTCGAAATCAATCCTGAAGCCGTTCTCTGTAGCTGGCCAGAAACGCAAGCTGCTCGACCTCACCATCCCGTCCGATATCTCGACAGGGTCGGCCTACTCCGACACCAATGCCGGCCCTACAACCGCCACCACGCCGGGCGGTTCACCTGGCCCCAGCAAGAAACGCGCTCGAGTCAAATTCGATATCACCGTGGGCTCGCCCGTGAGCCCGGTAAAAATGATGGACACTGAGGCTGATGAGAGAGCCGCCGAGAAGGACAAGGCGTTGACGCGAGAGGAGGTTAGGCGCGCCATTCAGAGACACTTGGTAGGAGATAGCGAAGGGTACGACCGTATCAAGGAGATGTTTTCGGTCGATCCCAAGGCTTTGGAAGATGATGGGACGCCTGTCTTTGACCTGCCTTCCCCGGTGTCGCTGAAGAACCATCTCATGGGCCTCTTGGGCAACGTTTCATCGCTGGATGGTTCATGTAGTGGTCTCGTACATGCTATGCTCAATAGCGAGTGGGTTGGCAGAGATACGACGTATGTGAGGCTGTTTGTTCAGTTTCTGGCTACTTTGTCTGCTGCTCGTGGCGGCTATCTTAGCTCAGTTCTCAAAATGCTGGTTAATGGCCTACGGCAAGGTACGAGGCCGTGTCTCCCCATTACCGTTTTAAGGCGGCAACAGGCTAACAACATCTATAGTTGACCCACGCTGTGGAAATTTGCCTGATTATGATCCTGTTGACAGTTCGGAGATGTACCATCGAGTCCACCATGCCATCCGTTCAATCGCCCAGGTTGTCCCCGCCTGCAGCGTTACTCTCTCGCCCATATTATCCTCCAGCTTCCCCCACGACTCTGATACCGTGAAAAGCCATATTACCTACACACGCAACCTTATCAAAATTATATCCTACCTTCCAGAACTTCGATCCGATATCCTCGCCCTAATCACAGAGAAGCTAGTCAAAATTGACGCTCAGAACCAAGTGAACATGGAAGACCTGGAAGAAGATACTCAGCAGGATATCATGGACGCTCTAAATGCCACAGACGCAGCCATTCTTGAAAAGGATGACGATGATTATTCGGATGATGAGTCTGAGATTAGCGAGGATGGTGATCCAGACCTCCAGCGTGTCAAGTCCGTCAAGGAGTGCATGCTCAAGGTTGATTCATTGGTTGACATCCTGTTCGAGTACTACAACTATCCATTCGTCTCTGGCTCGTTAGAAGATCAAGAGCAAGTTCTCGATTTCCTCCTTGCTCACTTCAAAAGCATCATTCTTCCGACCTACCGCTCTCGCCACGCTCAGTTCGTCCTCTTCCACTTCGCTCAAGCTTCTCCCATTTTTGTCGACCGCTTCGCCGCCATATGTATCGAGATTATCTTGAGCAAGTCCCAGCCAGTCATAATCCGCCAGTATGCAGCTGCTTACCTTGCCAGCTTCGTGGCTCGCGGTGCTCATGTTCCTGGCGATGCCATCCGCGATGTCTTCAATCTACTGGGCTCACACGCCCTAGCTCTTCTATCATCCTACGAAGCAGACTGCCGTGGCCCTGACCTCCGTCGTTATAGTCCATTCTACTCCACTGCCCAGGCACTGTTTTACATCTTCTGCTTCCGCTGGAAAGACCTCACCAACGCCGCTGTCGAGGCCGAAGCGGAAGGCAACTCTCTTCCCCACCTGAATGTTGACGAAGTTTCATTCTCCCAGGAGATGACCAACACGCTACATCGAACGATCTACTCAAAGCTTAACCCGCTCAAGGTCTGCTCACCCGGCATTGTCTCTGAATTCGCCAAGATCACCCACTACTTCGGTCTTTTCTACCTCTACCCGAAGCTCGAGAGCAACAAACGTATCCGCATTCACAACTTCCGTGGTATGGGTTCGATGGCCATGGATACAACGTATGGCACCATTGAACGTGAGACTCGTGCAGACGATAGCCTCGCCGTACAAATGGATGATTACTTCCCCTTTGATCCATACAAGATGCCTAGAGGCTCCAGACACTTGCAGGGTGATTACATTGATTATAAGGATGTCAGAGTTGCAGGCTTGGATGACCGTGGCCTAGACGACGATGACGATGACGACACCGCCAGCGAAGACGAAGACGAAGATGAAGACGATGTCGACAGACATACAGAGACAGAGGAAGAGTAATGATACCGCCATTTATACAAGCTCTCTCCTCTTTGCACATACACCCACCTTTTCAAAATAATTTCTTTCTAATCTTGATACCCCGGTTTTATAACCACCTGCTTGAGCCAAACCATAGGACAATGCCTTATCATCTACGGCTATCTCCAATGTTGCCATTTTCTCCCTTCTTTGCTCGATTTAGCGCTCCGCATCTACTCTTTGTCCTTTCCTGTAATAAATAAAAAGTTGCTACACTCTTTTCAAAATTCCCGTTTTTTTTTTCTATCTATGGCGGAGGCAGAGGCAAGGGCAGGAAAACAGTCCGTCCTTTGACCATCTACTATTGTTTCTTTTCCATCTTGTTGGTTTCGGGACCTGGTTCGGGATGGAGATATAAAATCTGCCATTTGAGTTGGCCTTCAGCGTGTGATTCCAGATTGATCTATAAAGGCAGGAAAAAAATCAAGAAACGTTTTTATATATCCTCCTGACTATCATCTTAAAATAGGCCGTGACTGTCGTGGATGCATATGATGTAAATGAAAGCACGATTACAATATTATACGGAATGGGTGGGAGATGTGACATCTATGCCCGTTCGTTGACGATCTTCAGCTGCCCTGCTGTCGTCCTGTAGAAAACATCTATGCTCTCCTGGTCTCTAAGGGGATTGACAGACTTATCCCACGCATGTTTCTGAGATTCTATCATCATCGATCGAACGACCTTGCCTCCGCCACAGTTATCGAGCTTTTCCACAAACTCATGTCCTTCGTGGAGCAGCATGTCCCATTCGCAGAGATACAGAAAGATATCCTTTGGCAGGGCCTCAGCTAGCAGCGAAGGAGGTGCCAGTAAGGGCGAGGCATATGGCAAATGTCTGTTGGCTTCATGAGGCATGTAGCTGTAGTCGAACAAGCTGGTCATGAATTTCGGCAGCGTTTTTGACGGGAAGACACTTCTGTCACGGCGTATGTGTCGAGGCAGCACGTAGTCGACTATCGGATACCACGATACAATGGATATTATCCGCAAGGCCGAAGTAGGCGTCTGAGACTGCCCGTTACCATTGCCGTTATCACTGCCATTGGCCGTAGTAGTCGTCGTTGTCTGGCGAAGGAGATGCTGTGCGGAATGCGATCTTGCGGCAGATGGCCTGCTGCTGCTGCCCCGGGGTTGCTGTGACAAGGTCGACAGATGCAGGTTTATCGAGCTCGCGTCTCTCGTCTCATAGGGAGTCAGCGTCGTCGACGGCGTAGGCGAGGGTCGAGATGTGTCTTGCTGAAGCAGATGTCGGCGCAAGGGAACCGTGAAGGCGAGATTCCCGCCTGACGAGAAGCCAGACAGGCTGACCCGCGACACGTCCAGCGCCAGCTCGTCTGCCCAGTCCTCGAGATACTGCAGGGCCCTGACGCCGTCGTCTACCGCAGCCGGAAAGGGAGCTTCGGGCGCCAGACGGTATTCCACACTCACCACGACGCTGTCGGCGCCCTCGACCACCGCGCGAGCCCAGCGTGCGTCATCCGTCGCCCTGCCTATACAAAACCCGCCGCCGTGGAAGTTGACCACGACGGGATACCGGTGGCCGGCCCGTTTCTGCTCAGCATACCGCTTGGGGGTGTAGAAGTACAGCTTCACCCGCTGCGTGTCGAATTCGTCCAGTCGAGGCAGCGTTCGAACGAAGGACGGGCATGGTGGTATAGGGGGAGGAAAGCCGTGGAGGACCATGCCTATTCGCATCAGAAAGCGCAAGATGACTATCTGCACCCGCATCCAGACCTTGTTTGGAGGTCCCTTTTCCATCATCGGCTTGGGATCATGAACGGCGACTCGCTTTTGACTGGTGTGTTACGTCTATACAGATGCAGGCGCCGGTGGCATCGGTCGAGAGGGCTTCGAACAGGCAGCAAAACGGCCAGAAACCGACTAGGAAATGAGCAGCAGAGCAGCAGACAGAGCAGCCTGGGACATTATTAAATGCTCCGGGGATGTATCGTGCCCTTAACTATTCGCAAGCCTGAGCAGCAGCCTTATTCCTCCGGACGGCTGGACCACAGGGACAGGTTTCTTCTCTGTGACTACGGCCTGTCTCAGCCACGATATCGTCCTGTCCTCTCCCTTCTCTTCTGTGGCGAGACGCAGGAACGGACTTCTCCTACGGCGAGCATCAACTCGAAAAATCCTTCTCGATGTTTGGCTCACTCATTGCTTCTTCTGCCTTGGTCGGCCTTGCGGCTCGATTTTCCGGTCGATATGACGTCGTTGCTGCTTCTCGGAAAAGCTTGCTGGGCTTCCTGCATTAACTACGGTATATTCCAGGCGCAAAAGGTTACGTAGCAGGGCCGGGATCGCTGGGCGTCTCGTCACCTTGTTCAAGGACATTGGATAAGTAGCCAAGTTGTGCTGTGTTGAAAGCTATATATATCGTGAGAACCGTCCAGGAGATATAACTAAGTACGGCCGCTGTTCTGTCAACATATGGATATGGCATCGGACGAACAGTTACCCCCATTACATCCGGCAGCAGAACAAAGCCCAACCTTTTGAAATATCATAGGCTACTCGGATCACGGAGTAAACGCACTTAAGTTCTCCGTGATTCTACTCTGTACCTGGTCAGTCAATTACAAAGCTCACTCGCTTGTCAACTAGTGGGCCTAGAGAAGATTGATGACGCTCTTTTTTCGCTTCTGATACGGCTTGTATGTTCCGAGCAACGGCTATAAACTAAGGGCCTTCCTCTCTCTATCACCATCTCCTCTCCCTCTCTTATTTCTTTGCAGCTAACATCCTCGATATTGATTAGCCAGCGAACCAGTTCTCGCTTCCGTTGGTGTTGGGACGTCATAACTCCGAACAGGGGTAAACCGCTCCCCGCCCTGGATATATATTAACTACCTGTTTGCTCCGGAGACCCCGCGACACTCCCTCCAACACATTGCCAGCAGACGAAGACAGTGAGGTCAGGCTTATTGTATCGGTTACTTGCCTCTCGAGAATTTCACCCTTTAGCGAAAGACAGCGTTCAAAATGTCGGCTCTTCGGGATGCAATATCCAAAATCAAGCAGTCGGCCTCGGAGTCTGACCTCATACCCCACCGTCGCTCAACGCTCTCAAGTTTCCTTCAGGAGAAAGAATATGTCTACTCCAGCGATGACTTCAGTGATGATAACAGCGGCGCCTCCAGCAAGAATGAGCAGAAGCGTGCTGCTCGGCGCGAGAAGAAGGAGCAGAGTAGGTCCAGGCTGAGCGCTGAGACAAGAGGCAGCTCAATGGACAGTACGCGCTCAGATCAAAAGGGCGCCAATGATAGTCCCGCAGAGAACAACGATGACAGTCCTGAGATGAAGGCACGGTACGGTGATCTACCGATGATGCAGTCTAGAGACCGTCCTCGGGCAAATCATGCCAAATTCGAGTCCATCACGGATCAGATGCAGGGCCAGGAACTAACATTCCGTGCTCGTCTCCACGTTGTTCGACGTATGGGCGCAAAGTTTGCATTCCTGGTATTCCGACAGCAGGTGCATACTTTACAAGGTGTTCTACACACCAAGCCTAACCTGAGGTCCGCAAATATGATTTACTGGGCTGAGCGCATTCCGGTTGGGTCAATACTGAAGGTGAAGGGCCGCCTGAAGGCACCGGAAGTCCCCGTCTTTGGAACAACGATTCATAACCTCGAGCTTGAGATCGAAGAACTCCATGTTTCTGTGCGTCGAGAGGAGCCGGCGCCATTTAGTGTATATGAAGCCGAACTTGCCGGTGCCCATGAAGAGCGACTAGAAGGTATACGCCAGAAGATTCCCGATCGAACTAGGCTGTCCAACCGAATTCTTGATCTCCGCACCGATACATCACAGTCCATCTTTAGAATTCAGTCTGCCATTTCAACGATGTTCCGATCCGCTCTCGATGCCCAAAACTTCATTGAAATACATACCCCAAAACTTCAAGCAGCCGCCACAGAATCTGGAGCTAGTGTCTTTGGTGTGAACTACTTCGGTCGGCCTGCTTTCCTAGCTCAGAGCCCTCAACTCGCGAAGCAGATGGCCATTGCTTCAGATTTTGAGAGAGTCTACGAAATTGGTGCTGTTTTTAGAGCAGAAAACTCAAACACACATAGACACCTCACAGAATATACAGGGTTGGATATCGAAATGGCCATTGAGGAGCATTATCATGAAGCCTTGGAGGTACTTGACGGAGTGCTCAAGTCTATATTCAAAACTATCTATGAGAAATACCGGTTGGAGATAGAGGTTATCAAGCACCATTTCCCGTCCGAAGATTTGGTTTGGCTTGAAGAAACCCCAATTATTTCATTCGCTGATGGAGTCAAAATGCTGAATGATTCCGGCTGGGTAGATGAGAATGGGAACAAACTCTCGGAAACAGAGGACTTCGGAACACGAGACGAAATCAGGCTGGGCGAACTTGTGAAGGAGAAGTATCATACGGACTACTATATCCTGGATAAATTCCCAGCAGTCGCCCGACCGTTCTATGCCATGCCACATCCAGATGACGAAAGATTGACCTTGTCATTCGATATATTTGTTCGAGGACAAGAGATCGTTTCTGGTGGTCAGCGTATCCATGACCCCGACCTTCTGGAAAAACGAATGAGAGAGGTTGGAATTGAACCGTCCACCATGGAGGAGTACATGGAAGGCTTCAAATGGGGAGCTCCTCCGCATGCTGGTGCTGGAATCGGCCTAGAGAGGCTGCTGATGCTGATACTGAAGCTCGGCAACATTCGATTGGGCTCCCTCTTCCACCGAGATCCCAAGAGCTTCCCTCGTCACGAGCAACCAGTTACCCTCCGTCACCCAGAAGCATCAACCCTCAACCCACCATGGGAAGAAGAAAACAAACCTCGCAATGCGCCAGTGGATCCCACTCGGAAGCTACAGGCCTTGGAGGACCTTATTGCCAACTATGGCGATTCAACATCTACCTCATGGCTTGATGATAGATATAAGATTTGGCGAGACTATGCCACAGGTGCTGCGGTTTCCTACGTACCTTCACACGGATATGCAGTTATTGCCGGAGACCCCCTCTGCGATACAACCCAGTACCGCCGTATAGTCGTCGCTTTCCTCCAATGGTTGAAAAAGGAAACAAATCTTAGACCAATCTGGATCCTTTGCTCTGCTGACGTCGAAGAAGTCCTCGGTGAACATCTGGGCTGGCGAAGTCTTTCTTGTGTCGCCGAAGAACGAGTTGACCCTCAACGCAACCGTGCCGCGTCGGATGGTGAAATATCCCGCAAGATCCGCCGTGCTGAAAACGAAGGCATCAGGATCCACGCCATTACTCCCGGTGAAACCGTACCAGATGACATCAAGCAGAAGATAGATGCTCGAATTGATGACTGGCGCAACAACAGGAAAGGAACTCAGATCCATCTTTCGGAGATCACCCCCTGGCGCGACCATACTCATCGTCGATACTTCTATGCTACTGATAGCGAGGGCAAAATCTGTTCATTCGTTGCCCTTGCCCAGCTGGCCCCTCGCCATGGTATGCAGGTCAAATACAGTCTTGATTTCCCTGGCTCCCCATCTGGTTCGATTGAATATATCATTACACATGCCATTCAATCCGCTGCAACCTCGGGTGTGAAATCCCTTACTTTCGGCGGTGGTGCCATTCCACATCTAATTCCCGGCCATAATCTGAGCAGCGTCAAGGCAAAGATGCTGCAGCACACATATGATACCATTGTCAAGCAGTTCAAGTTAACTCGGAAGACAGAGTTCAGAGCTAAACTTGGAGCACATGAAGAGCCTGTTTATATTGCTTATCCGCGCCATGGGCTGGGCACCAAGGGAATCAGAGCAATTTTGAACTTCTTCGAGGACTAGATTTATTATTGATTTTCTTATAATTTTCCACTCATTGTTCTTCTTCCTTTTTGGGGTTGCTATTCTGGTGTGATAATCTGCAAATATCTTGTCTATTGTGAAATAAACCAATTTTGTATGGAATAATTGTTAATAAGTTATGCTTTCTATATGCCGATGACCTTTTCTCACCAGTTTTAACTTGGTATCCTGTGCGCAAAATCTATAAACGGGTGTTTCCAGGTATAGCCGCACTATGGTATCTAGGCCTAGTCCCCAGCCCAAGTATAGTTAAAGATGACGAGCCAGCCTTGGGACACCTTGCATGTCATGGATCATGTATAACAGCTACAGTGACCTCGGCATTCATAGAAAGACAAGAATACGACGTTAGATGACATGGATGACAGTGGCCAATGAAATGCCAGTAGCACAAAGGGACAGTAGGCTGACAGGGAAAAACGGCCCCCAAAGATTTATGCTTGTTCCTCCATAACTACTTATCGACGTCTGGGTAAGCCTTATCGACACCATCGGCATTCCTTATATGGGCCAAACTCCGGCGCACCCCAGAGTAGCTATCGCTAACTGGTAAACTTAGGCCTTCCCGAGCGATTGCACAGGCAAATGCCGGCGCTACCGAGAAGAAATAAGTATCGACGATAACAACCTTTACCCCCCGAAATCCTTCATGCTTAGTTATGAAGCACAGTATGAAAGCTCCCAACTTTTTCGGAAATATTGAGCGATGAGGATTCGATATGCATAACTCCACCGCAAAGTCGTTGGAGACATGCACGAGGCTATGCTAATATTGTTGGTAATATATAACTAGTAGGTGTGGTATGTATAAGGCTTTGTTCCCCTGCTATGTTATTCACCCTTACAACCTTTGCAAGAATCTTTTCATGAAATGTTTGGAGTCGAAATTGTGAACTTTCGATTTTCACACGCCTGGCTATTTAACTATTATCTTCCAAGTCTGAAGTAAGATTACAATTCTATATCACCTTTCGTTCAATTTTTGGGTGCTAACACTGAACGGTAGTTAGAGGGATTTACTTCATCAATGGCGATAGAGCTTGCTGGCGCAGGTGTCGCATCACTAACTGCTCTCCAATTAGCAGCTCGATGTGGAAACTATGGCGAGGCAAGACTATTATTGCAGACAGGAGTTGATGCAAACTTTGCCCCAAAGGGGACGGAATATCCATTGGCATATGCAATTGAGTCTGGCGATGCAGAAACAGTGAAGGTATTGCTAGCATACGGAGCAAGTATTCACCAAGCTTCGAAAAGGCATGGGAATGCATTGATTACATCCATCAAAAGGGGAGTGGAGGAGATATTCGACATATTTCTTGGAGAATTTGATCCCAACGTAACTGATAAAGTGGGGACACCTGCCCTTTACTTTGCAGCCGTCGGCGGATGCGAAGCCATGGTGGATAAATTGATACACCGCGGAGCGGACGTTCGTGCATGCCATAATACAGTACTCTCCCCCATTATGGGTGCTGGTTTAGGTGGTAATGGCAGGATTGTGAAGACCGTTTTGCAGAATAGTGCCCACACGGACCATGCAGCTTTATTTGCAGCCTCATCTGTTGGAGAGAATGAGTTAGTTGCTCAGTTTCTCCTTGGTGGCGCGGATGTTGACCGGTGCATATTACCCTATGATCGCGATCTACCCATTCATGCCGCTATGCTTAGGGGCCATGAAGCGACAGTTAAAATGCTATTAGCAGCTGGAGCATCCATTACCAGCCGATATTTCCCCAGCGTTTTCCTTGAAACAGCATCCCGAAGGCATTTTGGGGTTTCTAAGTTGGTTCTAGATGAACAACTCACCAGTCCTATTCGGCTAAGCCTAGGAACAAACCCTTTTTCGGACAGAAGTGACCATATACCGATTGCTTTGCTATTGGTAACTCTCAAAATGGGAGCGAGAAATGGAAATACTCCTTTGGCCTGGGAATTTGTCAAACCACATGGCCAAGCCACCGTGGACTTCATGGAAGACTTAATTACTCGGGACACCATACGCCTACCTATTGACTCCCCCAAATTTACCTTTAAGGCAGCTATCAAATCCCACAGCGATACTCTACTTTCCTTCTTACTGGATAGTTACGCAGCCAATATATCCGCAGATTTTCCCAACTTGATAGAGCTGGCAGTCATCGATGGCAGGGTCTCTACGCTAGAGTTATTATTGAAGAGGGCCGCAGGAGAGGCAGAATCAAAGACTTCTCGGTGGAAGCTGTGTCTCAGCCGGGCACTTTCAACAGCTCTTGAATGGAAGAAATACCATATGATAGAACCCTTGGAGCGTTATAATACTTTCACTACATGAGGACCTTCTTGGGCATATATCTTCTGGCCACGACAGCCTGCATCAATTGCAATCACAACGGAACCAATCAAGAGCTATTTTTCTTCAAGTTGGAAAAGATACGTCAATTGGAGTGGGAGGTGAGGAGTAGCGCTATCTTCTCCAGGATATAAACCCCGGTCTCCATTCTTCCCGAATCTCCATGAAAAGAATAGGAGTTAGCTCCCAGGTACAACAGGTAAATACTTTATGGGTGATAGCTATGTATATATATGCGGGACATATGGCATACTTGTCTACAAATCTCAGAACAATGTTCTTATGTAGTTCTGTAACCACGAGAAAGGCATAATTGCCCCCTCCATCTGTGGGGAACCCACAGAATATGCCTTCGTGACACCCTGAAATATACTAATAATACATAACTAACAATCGGAAGTGACGAAGTACGCTTAATCTGATATTTTTAGCATTAAGTCTTCGCACTGTGTTGACCATATTGTGATTTATGAACAGCGGGTGTAGATGTAAGTAGACTTGCGCCAAGAACCTGCCAAGCGGGAGTCCCGCGTTGTCAGAGCTTCGTCGCTGAAAGCCAAATTCAACCTCCTCAACCTTTCCGACGATTCCAGGCCCAATAACACAACTTCGGAAGCTACCAGGTTTAATGTCGTCGCAACCGTGAATCTAATTGTAGGGTTTAAACTTGGTTACCCACACAAGATAACTAGTTAGTTAGCTACCAGCATGTCCGTAGGATGCCATCCTTGCACCCTGGGTCTGGGTGCTGTGAAAGTAGAAAAGCCCAGTTTCTATTCCCTTGATATCATTTGAATGGTCTTTATTTAATTAACCATCGAAAAGTACAACAAGAATGGGTACAAATCTCATGTATGTTCGCTAAGTCAGTCCAGGGAATGACGCAGTCGAAAAGTGGTAGCTAAGCTTTCGCTGGCCAGAAGAAGTACGTATGCAAAGGCTGCCTAGTGTCCAATGGCTAATAAATGAATGGGCGAGACGATGGGCCCGTCTGTTTAAAGCAGCCTCCGCAGCCTGTAGTTCGGAAGTTGGGTAGAAGTACGGAGTACTCCGTAATGGTATCTCCCAAGCGTATTGCCGTTAAACTCACCCGCCGTTTCCCCCCTCCCTAACATTGCATTCTCAAGAGTCTGTGTGGATGTTGGATCCCTGCTTGCACCGTTAAGGTTCAACCCCTGATAGAGGCAATCGAGGACATCCGGACGAAATTAAAATGACTGGTTCGCCACTATCAACGGGGGGCAATCATGTTTACGTAGTCTTTGCAACACTGCGAGTAAACTAGGTATATTTTATGGAATCACTGGACATAGATATTTTAGCCAACGAGATAGCATGTTGCTAGATACAAAAATAGCAGAAGATTGGACGCGAACAGCAAACAATGGGCAAATAAATGTTGGATTAAACCAGATCACTCGCGTAAATAAATATCTATCAGACAGCCGCTTAACCCCACCGCACCATGGATAAGTAATCGAGAAAATAAACAAAAAAGGCGTGAAAGAAGAAATGAAAAATGTGACGTGAAAAAAGCAAAAGACATAGCGAACTCAAAATATGTTCAAAGCTCCTCCCACCAGAAAAAAATAAAATAAAATAAAACCGGAGTGTATGCACCGATCCACCACCATTGAAAGGAGGAAAAGGAAAAGTTCATTGCCACCTGCCGTAGCAGAGGTATTTGGTCCCGAGTATTTCCTAGGAAAGGAAGGCCCTGGCCATAACCCTTGGTGTAGAACTGAGATATATATATTTACAGAAGCGGCGAAACAAGCAAGACATCGGAGGACCATTGGCGGAGGGGGAAACAAGAGGTGTAATGTGGGATATAGTAGGTGTTGTGAATGTGAATAGAAGAATTATATCCATATCCCTCGGATTATAAATAGAACCCCTATGTTATTTTAGAACGAGATGGTCGGATGTCACATTAAGAGAGCCACCAACGAAAGAAAAACGAGTATGGGAAAAGTAGAAAGCAACCAGCTGGAAGTAAGAATGCTAAAACAAAACGAAGTGGGAAAAAGTCCTATCCCTGGGTATGGCAGTTTTATTTTGATTCCGTGGTGGTATTCGCAGCAGAGACCCCACTTATGGTATCTTGCTTCTCAATCTGGGCCGCAGAGATCTGCAAAGAATTTGGTTCAGAGCTCGGCGCAGGAACAGGAGCTGGCGCAGAAATCTGACTTGGAGGATCATTGCACGATTTTGACTCTGCGGCCTTTAGTTTGGCTTTAGTGTCCTCGAGCTCCTGTTTCAAAGCTTTGATATAAACGATGGCCATTTCAACTGTGCTTGCCTTGCTGATGGGCTGATTCGTAGGAGGTTTATCGGGGACTTTCGAAACGCCTGTCGAGTTACTATCGGCGGAATCCTTGTTTTGCTCCTTCTCTTTGGCTTTGTGAGTTAGTGAAGTTGGTAACAAGCTTTCAATCTCTTTGAGAGCGGAATTAATGCGATTTCGGCGACCTTGCTCGGCAAGTTTATGGTTCGTTCGTTTGGAGCTTAGATTTTCGGCAAGGGCTTCTGGGTAGGTTACTCCCGGCAGGAGGGTACCTTCGAGGATATGTTGGTAATTTGATTTCGAGGCAAGATGTAGAGCTGAGGTTTCGCTTGATACACCTGTTTGAAAGTTAGTATTGGAATGAAAAGTAAGTATATATAGAATAGTGGGAATATCAAGGGGTAAGGGATCAGTACCATCAGCACGAATGAGAGGTTGTATACTCGGGCTAATTTTTGGTCTCAGCGCTGGGCTCTGGGCAGCGCTCATTCCCTGGCGTTTCTTTGTCACTCGAGAACTCTGTTTTGAGTCGGAACGTTTAAGGCCAACCGGGCCGCTGGGCGATCCTTTTGCTTTTATTACTGGACTTGGGTTAACGGAGTTTGTCCCTTTTAGTTCTGATATTGATTCAGTGCGCGGTTTTAGAATCTGAGACGGTTTGGCGTGAATTGTCGGTGTGCTTTCACCACTTAGCGCTCCCTGGAGCGAAACCGGTTCCGGGAGTGATATGTCCTCCATGTGCTCCTCTGGCGCCGAGGCGATAACAACCGTTCCATTCCTAGAGAACTCTCCATCCATACCAGGAGAAATCTGCTGCTTCTGTAATTTCATGAGGGTTGCAGGGGTCGCTACTTCGCTCATGGTAGCTGGATGATCTTGTGCAGCCATGTACGGCGACTTCCCAGACCTAGGTAATGCGGGTGGTGGCATCAGTGGCTCCGTAAGCGGTTCGGGAGACACAGAGTCCAGACCAGATCCCTCATTGCTGCTAGAATTGCGCGAATTTGAAGTTCTGTTAGCAGCGGCTTGGGCAGAGAGTTTTTTTGCTCGCGCGCGGGCCTCGGCTTCAGTCTGCGGCCGGGAGCGTCCATTTTGAGGCCTAACCAAGGGAGATTGTCGTGAGAGTCTAGAGGCCTGAGACTTGCGTCGTTGTTTTTGGATAAGCTTCGGAGAATTTGTTAATGGACCTGTGGTTGCTGGATGTTGATGCGATATTTCTGTTGGCGATGACAACATAGAACTGTAGTCCATATGCGAGCCACTAGGGAAATTGAAGCCGGCACCGCTTGATTGTCGTGCCTCCAAAGCTGGAGATGTAAGTGGACTTAGATATTCCCCTGGAGTCGTGTATTCGGGAAATCTTAGCTGATGTTCTAATGGTGTCATAGCTGGTGACATGAGAGGAGTAAATGAGCTCTAAATGAGGTGTTAGTCATGGCTCCATGTTCCAAGATAGTCTGTAGAAGAGTAATATTTCAACAGAGATAAATGAGAGAGGCTTACCTGATCCTCTAGCCCTCTCGTAAATGGTTCATATCCTCGCTGGTGCCCGGTTTCGAGGCGAAGATTATAGTTATGTGGCCCGCCATGCATATCGGCGCTATCAGGTGTAGGTGGAACAAATGAGTGACGCTGGCCATAACTTGAACAATAAGCGTTTTGAGACTGTTGCTGTTGTTTCATATAATAGTGCTGCTGCTGCGGCATCGAATTGGAAGTTTGTATCTCCATTGGCGTAACGGGTTCACTGCCCGCCATTGTGACTGAGGCAGGATAATGCTGCTGCTGGTCCCGAAGTGGCTGGCTGGTAGCGATATGTTCCATCGAAGTCAACCCACTGATATCCTGCATTCCAGTCGTTGGGACGAGCGGCGGCGCTGTGGTCACCATATTTTGGTTCTGACGCTCGCCAGCATTACCGCTATCAAATTCAGCCAGATCAAAATTGAAATCGAGAAGACTAGTATAGTCATCCGTCGTGGTAGGAATCATGGCTGCGGTGGTTTCGTCGGGGACGTGCTCTGGCCATGACGGCAGAGACGGATCTTGATTCATCGCAACAGCACTTCTTTTCTTCCCTTAGCAGAGCAATAGACGAATTTTCATGCAATGCGACTGGGAGCAGACGTGTAGCGAGACAGCGCGCTTTGTCAACGTCGAGTTTTAGTGCTCCTCGACCAGATGTGCTTGGAGGGGTCTTGTTCTTCTGCTGCGAGGGTACGGTGTTCTCTGCGGGGGTTGGTATGTGCGAGCTGCTTCCCAGCAGTTGTTCTGGGTGTTCGAGTGTCCGTCTGATATACAGCGAGGGGCACACGACAGAGAAGAGGCAAGCAGAGCAAGAAAAATGGGCGAGACGGCGAGATATGGATACGCAGAGACGTCGCAGCAGGGCCCGACGATGGAGTGAAGGCGAAGAAGAAAAGGTGCTCGAGGGAAAAGAAACGGGCGACAATAGGCGAGAGGGACTGCAAATTAGATAAGCGGGTCAGGATAAAGTATTTTTAAGTACTTTTGCATATAAAGTTCGCGGAAAAGATACTTTTGGATACAAGCGCCGGCTAGGGCGCTAGGCCTGTGATGGGCAAGTCACATGGCAGAGCCCAGTCAATTTCCCGATCAGGCCTAGCTGCAGAAGGAAAAAGCAACGTCGGCTCAAGGATTTTGCTGCAAAGACGCGAAGGTGCAGGACGAACAGGAGATGAACTGTTCAGTCTGCCTTGTCCAGGGCCGTCAAGCACGTATATACATACAGTGCTCTACGGAACACAGAGGGAGGTCACAGAAGGACTTCGAACTTGTTCGAGAACGATCACGTCGGACGGGGACATTCTCGTTGTACGGCCAAGACTAGGTTTAATCTTTCCACCCGTCTCGTCTCAGGCACCAATGAAGCTACTGTAACTATAACTAACTCACACAAAAGTCGCAGCTTTCTTCTTCGCCAAACAAAAATTGATATACATCTCATATTGCAAATACTAATTGCAAGGACTGCACCCCACAGTATATGCATGAAACGTGGAAGAGCTGGACAGAAAACGCTGATTGTTATTACTTACTTTTCATTTACGCACCCTTGACTTGACTTGCAAGGCTACCCAGTGGCGCTTACCTCGGACTTGGCTCTTTGCACTCCATCATGAGGCCGCCCCTCGCGGCGGAAATGCAGGGTGCAGCTTCCGAAACCCACCATTCCTTGCATCAAGGGCCTTCTGAATGGCTCTGCACGTCACTAGTTCCTCTTGCTCCGAGAAGCCGCCCCACATGAATCATGCTTAAAACGCTAAACCTGTGTGTCTCAAAAGTCGAGAGGGTGCCTTGGGAAACACCAGCTCCTGCTATCCCGGTACGAAGTTCACCGTAGCGGGAAAGGCTTCTTGCTTTTTGCCTCTTCGAGCTCTGACCACCTGCGGAAGTCCAAGCGACAACAACGCGCGATAACCCAAATATATCTGCCACCCTTTGCGAAGTACAAAGTACAACGTGAGTATATACACCTTTCCCGTAAATATGAAATCATGTGTCAAGTCCAACATCAGGGTCATTTGCCACAAAGTGTGATTTTTGACAGCTTGTTCATACTTTATGATATATCGACTTATCACACGGAACTATTCCCCTCCCTCCCATCAGAACATCCCAGCAATATCGGATGGGGCGGTATCCTTCCTGCTACATGTCTCTCCCCTGCTGCAGACCCGCGAACCGAAAGTTTGGATACCAACGCCTCTAGTTAGTGCGACGCCACAACGCAGTTATAAGAAGGTCAAGGAGATCAGATAGTGAGATTTGGTCAGGCACAGAAAATCTGAAAAGCAAAGTTGTTTCGATCTCGAGGCTCTTGTGGCTAGTACCTAACTCCGCGGATCGTATTTAGCGAATTCTGTTCAAAACTGGGGTTTGGTCAGCCGTCTTTTTGCTTTTTGATTTGGTTATGACGCGCCTACAGCTTCGATTTTGGCCGCGCCCCTTTTATATCTTTTTTTATATCTTTTTGAAACTTCAAACCCCTGCTAATTATCATATACGCGAAGGTAACATCGTATACCCATGCTCCGTTGTATAAACACTCAACACAGATAGCTGGTATCTTTCAGTCCTGGCCCCGATGGAAACGACATCTTAACTGTGACGCCACAAGCTCCCAGATGCAATTTAAATCTTGCAGCACCCCTGAAAGGATGGAGATATCGGCACAATTGTCGCGATTGCCGCTGGCAGATATCACTAGAACTGCTTCAACTAACAGGCTAGCAAGCATATTGTCATACCTGCTCAATCTAGCGTCCGTCGCCAGATCTACAAACCGTCCCCTGTGACAAATGCGCCACGAAAAGGCAGTAGTACGGAATATAACATAGACAATTCTTGCTGCCCAACCTAATGATGGGTTCAAATCCCGCTACCTTGGGAAACGCCGAGGCTTTTTTTTTTTCTTTTATTACTTGGACAGAAAACAAACTTGAGCAATTGGGCACCTCCATCTTGAAAATTTACGATTTAAACTTAGGGGAAGTCGTTTACGTCGTGATGTGCTACTGCACCGAGATAACGGTGGTGGGAGCTTGATATGGAGCCACAGCATAAACTTGCGGCTAATATTCCCGTTCTAATAATGTTCTGATTACCAAGTATACTTTTGATTGCAGGATGCTACTGTACGACGAAGAATTATTATTTTTCAGGCTTGCAAAGCAGCCGCCGTTAAACGCGAACTAAATGGATAGCAATTGTCCATCCGTTTTCAAAACCCCCCATTTCGTCCGTTTTTCTCTCAAGCTCCTACGCAGAAAAAAGATAATATACGGTACTAGATGATTTCTGGTGGATATTCAGGAAATGTAAATTATCGGGTATACTCTGTACCAATCTCAGGTGGACCATATAGGCACTTGAGCCGGAAAAATAAAATAGAAAAGAAATGGGGAAATGATGAAGATAAACAATGTCGTTGATATTGAAATCCCGACACAATGGTGAGCTACGGAATGGGACGTTTTCAGACATCTCCGCGGGGTTAAACGCGATAGCCTCTAATCAATGTACTGCATAGGAGCGAGTTTCTTCAACAGCACCTCTGGTTGGTCAATGACTCAGCCTCCTCCACGCGCCATGTACATATGCGATCTGTGCGGCTCGGAAAGGTCTGGGGTGCCTACATAGGAATATATGATCGTCAGAGTTAATGTTAGCTATTCTGTGCCCCTCCATTTGTGAGGGTTAGATCATGCAGGTGTATCTGATATGACACATAACTACACCACAGGAGAGCGGTCCATGATCGCCAAGTAGACGAATATCATATTCTGTGGCCGTTGATTATCAAAGGGAAGAAAAACGAAGCATGTACTCCGTACTCCATATAGCCTTGGATATTCTTGCTAATCAAGCCTGTTTATCTTTAGCCAGCCAACTAGTTGATGTGGCTTAACGTTGATCTGACTATTTATTCAGAACGAATACAAGCCATCCCAGGACGACAGATAAGTTCCCATTTCTTATTCTTACCCCGTAGCTGCATGTCAGCTATGCCATCCCACCAGCAAGTAATTAGTAGACGCTATTGATTCCACCGCAATGCTATGTGCAAAGCAGAGGAATTGTAGCAATGCTTAATGTGGTATGATAGTTGAGTGTCGTTGAGATAACGACAACTGGGTTTCAAGACTCCACATAAATATACTTTGGGCTATTCTTAGATTCTATTCTTAACTTTAATTCCGGCTCGATATGATATCCAAAATCCACCAATCATACGAAGTAAGTGAGAATGTCCCAGCTCGAAGAGCGAAATGATCATGGATCCTTGGCCAACATTTTCCGCAACGGAAAAGAAGCCATCGCTCAGGGAGTAATAAATACGAAGATAGAAAAAAAGATACGGAGTACTGATTGCGCAATAAGATACGAGCCAGTGTCAAGGATTATAACTGTTCTGCGACACTAACGGGGCAGGACAAGGAATGCTTATTTCCTTCAAACAAGGCAGGTTCGTCAAAGCAATCTTGCGACAATTCCGGTGTGAGAAACTAACGAGCTTCTTAATATACGGGGTTCCGTACGCCCGATGTTCGATATTAAGTGAGTGTTTCTTTTCTTGTTTGTGTTCACTGTGCTAGAAAGCAGACGAGTCGCCGTTGAATGCTTGGCCTTCTCCTTCTTTCGTACTCCGTGCTGCCAGAGTTTTCTTGCTCTCAGCACGGAAAATTCCATTTTATTCCGCGGGGAGACACATCTTCGGAATTTGAAGTGGATCGGATCCGTTATTACTTCTGCTGGCTTTCGGACTGGTGCCGCAAGCTAAGAACAACCAAGTGATGTTCCCAATTTTTAGTGGACCCTCCAATCACTATCAGAGTTTGGTTGCTCGGTTGCTATCAGCCCGCTTGACAAGCTCATAACTTACAACCGAATCTTGAAAAAAAAAAGGAAGGAAGGGAAAGAAGGAAGGAAGATTTACTTCGTCTCCTCCACTGTCGATTCTCGCTCGCTCCTGAATCAGAACCGCAAAACACAACACAGTAAATCCTCTCCTGGTATGGAGCACACAAATTACCATTTCCGGGTGACAGGAAATTAATCCATAGTGCCTTCTCCTCATTTACCTTGTATATGTATAATATCCGCCATTCCTCTAGCTCTCCGCTACGGGGCTCCCAGGTTACTTACATCACGCAACAATACCCGACGTCTGAAAATGGATACCTGGAAAGATATTATGTGAACTGTGGGTATTGACAGAGAACCATTTCTGGCGTAAACTTTGCCAGAGACTTGGTCCCGCCTGGGCTAGATCTTGATAGGATGCCTTTGGATACACCTACTTTTTCCACGTCGGATAACCTCAGCAGACCTTGCTGTTTGTTCGCCAGTTTGTTCGCCAGCCTAATTCAAACAATTTGCTGGGCTCTCATGCGTTGGAAAATTACACGATTATATGCGGTTGGTAGAAGTAGCCAGAAATGGATCTTTTGAGTATATAGTATCGTGTTTGACAAGAGTAGTTTAACAAACTACTGGTGGGACAACGTTATCTACCTACATCTACGGGGTGGGTCACGTCAATATCTGTCTTGGATGTCTAATCTCTGGTCATATCTTCTATTATTAAGTTCTATTTATCTAACTATACCCACGAACATGGTGATGTGTATGACATCAAGAAAACTGATCTGCCATTCACAGGACTTAATGCTGGAAACTTTTCCGCGCCGTGGGGCTGTACGTCTAGCATTGAATTTACTGCGGCCTTTCTCAGGGAAATAATCTTGATACTTCTGCCTACTTTACCCACCGCGCGAATAGCTAAGCGCTAGAATATTGCTCTCCTACAATATGAATGAACAGTTAGAAGGCGATATGAGTATCTCTTCTAAAGCGTTGATGTCTCATAGGTGTGACAGGAAATATCAAGAACCACAGCTTCGGAGCACCCCAAATGCTGAACAATATTATGTTTAGCGGCAACTTGAAGGGCTGTACCTTCAAGATGTAAGCCATGAACGAGTTGCCATCGCAATAGAACATGTTTGATGATTTGAACCTCATGGATAGTCACTTTCAACTAATACTACCTATACTATATAATATACATGGCCTCTAACTTTACTAAGATGAGTTTACAGCAATGTACTACATAGAGATTCTAGACTGCCTACGAATCCATGTAATAATATAGCACAGTGTTATCCAAACTGTGCGAATCATCCCACAAAGTGGCTGATCTACCGAGAAAATTAGGAGCGTGTCGTATCAAAAGCCGGATGTTTGTTAGGGTATTAGCTTTATACATCATACCCTTGAAAAGGTACTTAGCAGAATCACAATCCCACTGTGAGCCTGTACCTACCTATCAAGGGTTTCCTATAAGCATGGCCATATAATAACTTTTTGACTGATATACATGAAAAAAAAAAATAGAACGCTGCTGTTGTGCCAATACATTGATTCTGTATATTACTTTCTGGGGATACATAAGGTATGGGCAATCAAAATGTACTATACACAGCGCCAACACCATATACCAGAAGCAATAAATTCATCACTTTTGAGTAAAATAATCAATTATACCTTGTATCTCTCTACACATAAAGGGAGCACCGATGTAACGCGATTTTTGTATCAGATACCAATCTCCTAGGAGGTTGCTCTTATAAAGATGTATGATAGAGTAATAAGTATAAATACCCCTTATTATTCCAGCTCAGTTTGTGATCACAGTTATAATAATCTCTATGTCTCTATCAACTCCTCCAAACAACGTGTTCTCTCGGTTCCCATTGCTATCATGAAGTTATCGCTCGTATTAACGACAGCTACCCTTATGCTTGCTTCTCTAACTTTAGCAACGCCGCTGAAATGCCTTCCCAGAAACCGTAAGTTATCTTCCCCAGGCATGTATTCTGAGGAGTAAATACGCTGATTAATCTTCTTTCAACCTTAATGATAGGCCTCTGCTTCGATGACCCGGAATGCTGCTCTGGCTACTGCACCGACCGATGGTGTTTATGAATAATGCACGTACCAAGACGTAACACGGGTATAGATTCGGACCCTATTGTAAGTCCCCTCTATATGCATGTTGCATATAGTATACTGATTGCATGGCTAATCAGTTCTTTGTCTTTTGTGATTAGCTTTTGCACTTTCAGATAAACAGAGCCAGGAGAACAGGGGTATTGAATGGCTTGTTGCAAACTTGAGGGTTAAACACAAACTGTGAAGTTTGAGGTATTACTATTGCTAGTTATAGGCCTTGACTGAATCTATCGCTCACTTTCTTCTGGTTTCTGTCAATAACACCCATCCCTTTCTGTTGTCAAAAGACATAAACGGTTGATGAGATAAAGTTGAGCTACGCTGTTTTGATATATTACATAATACAGTTACTCAAGAAGCTTTATCTCCTTGGCGCAGAAAAAGTGGGGTGATACGACTGTCTAACCCAAAGTAGACTAGTGTATGCATTGTAACGTCAGCAAAGCCTATGTCACGGGGTAGTTAACTGTTCACCTGTAGGCATCATCATTGCCAGCATCGTCTGCAACCGGATAGTGGTCACATCTTGCTGTGAGGAGGGATAACAGACATCCGGATGCGAAGGTACTGCTATCCAACTCTGAGGTAGCCCTTGAGCAGACGCTTATAGCTATGCAAATATCATTCCATAGTATCAGGTCTTATCGGCAAACATGCGTCCCGCAACCTCCGATTCGGTGCGAGAACGCCCCCGCAAAAGCACGACTCCAAACATAACCAACGCAACGCCCCCCAACGAAGCCCGGAACGTCTCTCCCGCAACATTCTTCCTATCTCGAGGTGATGAGATGGATGGATCTGACTTCAGTGCTCCAGGAACCCCAAACGAAAACACTTATGGAGTACAGAGCTTAGCAGATACAATTGGTGATGGGATCAGCGGGACATTGCCTCCGATACACAACGATGTACACGCGACCGCCGAGGGTGATATTTGCAGTCCACTGCTATCACCCACAGCCAGAGTGGCCGCACCTCATACACAAGAACAGAAGGTTGAAGACTCGTTAAAGCCTCCTCACTACCCATTGTCTGATAGCGGAATGCCGCTATCAGGAACTCCTTCGTTTATCGGCTCTCCAGGCGAACCAATTTCCCTGCCAGGTAGCCCAAAATCTTCCTCAACTCCGTCACTTAGGAATATTGATGATATGTCTGTTGTAGGGGGAAGCATCTATCAGTATGGCGGGCCTGATATGGACGAGAGTCAAGTTGAGTCGACGGAGCTACCGGACAGCACTTCCCAGTTGGTGATGCCTAGCATCAAAATCCCATCTCGACGCCCCTTTACAGAGAGAGGTAAAGCTATGGGACGGCTCAAGGTTCTCCTTGCCGGAGCACCAGGTATATTATAGTCCTCTCTCTCCAGTTTTAGGTCTAAATACTTACGGGTTCTGAATAGGTTGCGGAAAGACTTCGTTACTGAAATCTTTTATACAAGTTTCCGAAGATATAGTACATATGGATCCATTACAAGATTCATCTTTTATTGCACATGCAAGTGTGATAAAGTCTCGTCGGAAGGGATCTACGAAACCTAGGCGTACCAGAGAATGCGAGCCAATATCTGAGATATATGCTAGTACAAAGCCGTACCCATCTTGGTGGTCGGACATGGATGATTCTCGCGTACTCCGGCGAAGGAGGAGTTTGGGAGATGTTATACTGGAGCGGAATCTGTGCTTCGTCGACACATTTGCGGGTTCAAAGAGTGCCGACCAACAGACGGAAGTGATTGTTCAATATATGAACAAGCAATTCACACGAGCCGTGTCTGCTGTGCGGTCAGTAACTACAGATTTCCAAGGATTGCTTTGCGGAAATGGTGGTCCACAGGTAGACGTGATCCTTTATCTGATATCGGAGAGTGAGTTTTGAACCGAGAGCCTTGCTGCACACTTAATTATGAGCTAACTTGGAGACAGAAACCATGACTGCTGATATTCGTAGTATTCAAAAGTTATCCAATTATACGACAGTTGTTCCATTAATTGCCAAGTGCGACAATCTTACGCCTGAGGAAGTTCAGGAAATAAAGAAATCCTTTGCCGAACGGGTGCAGGATGCAGAGATGAAACTATCTTGCTTTGGTCCATTTGGGGAATCTTTGACAAATGACGATGCGTCGGGCCCGAGCATTCCCTTTGTGGCCTCCTCTGCAACCGCTAATGACGATGAAACGATGGATGCGAGCGTCCTTATGAGCCCCGAATACGTACAGCCGCTGGTCCCTTCTGACTTGGAATTTGTACTGGAAAAGCTCTTTGATCGAGACAACGCGGCATGGTTCCGGCACTCTGCCGCTAAGAAGCTCATAGAAGCCCAGCAGCAACCACGCTCCCGTGCACCATCAAACGTCCTTCCACGGATGTCTAGCAACTACGGTGTCTCGCCCCTCCCTGACTCACATCTCACCCCTTCTCTACCTTCCACGCCAGCCTCAGCTTCGCATGTGCTTGTCCCACGAGGCGAGAGGCTGGGGCTGTCTGAACATACGCTTGCGCGGATGACAGAACACACTCGGCGGGAGGAACAGTATGCTCAAGCGAGGCTGGCAAGGTGGGCTGCTGACCTGCAGCAAAGCTTACAAAATGAAAGAAACCGTTACGAGCAGCTTGGTCGCGGTGAAAGAGCTGTATGGCTGACTGAAAAGCTGGGTGAATGCGTGGCCGACGGAACCCTGGTGCCTCTCTCCCAGACACCAGGCTTCCCCGGTGTCGGGAATACATTGGACAAAGCAAGTGAGAAAGGGAACCTTTGCGTGCGGACGCAGGACGGCCGCCGGTTTGAATATCGAGTTGCCGCGGACAACATGAACGCGGCGGACCCCCTGGGTCTGCTGAAGCTTGGAGACGACATCTCACGGCGGGGATGGGTGTTGGTTCAGGTGCTGGGTGGTGTTGGCATTGTGGGCGGACTGGCGTTATGGATGGCACAGACCTGGGGTCTATCTGGCGTAAACGGCTCCTCGGTGCATCGCTAGACTGGATTGATGACTTACGTCGGCGTTCTGGAGTCCCTCTTTGCAGCTTCCTCTGCCATCACCTCACTTCTAGCTAGAATTATATTCACTTAACTATTTGCATATCCATCTCTCTTTGGTTACTTGTTGCCTTCCCTATCAGATTGCGGTGAAGTGCAAACCTGCCCGATCGGGACTAGCGCCGCCGTACCTCGTAGAACTGTATGGAAGGTTCGCTTGGACTCTTCCAGCAAGCTTTTGCCCCCCCAGAAGGGAAAAGGTGCAGAGCTTTATAAAGACCTTCGCTTCGTCGACTTCTCAACTTCTTCACTTTTCAACTTCAACCTCTCCAGCTCTCTCACGCCTCTCTACGCGCAGTCCGTTGACGACTGAATAGCTGCCAGCTACTCTCCCGCGTTCAATTCTTCTCATAGCTCTCGTTTTATGTAAGTCTGCGGAGCTCGTCGAGCTGCTGCCTCCTCCCACTTCACTGCGAGCGGTCGAGCTGACAGCCGTTGAAACAGACCCCCTTCAGTTTTTTTCACAGCACACACCGCAGCCATGTCTGAGACTTTCGAGTTCCAGGCTGAGATCTCCCAGCTGCTCTCCCTCATTATCAATACTGTCTACTCCAACAAGGAGATTTTCCTGCGAGAGCTCATCTCCAACGCCTCTGATGCTCTCGACAAGATTCGCTATGAGTCCCTCTCTGATCCCAGCAAGTTGGACTCCAACAAGGACCTCCGCATCGACATCATCCCAGACAAGGAGAACAAGACCTTGACCATCCGTGACACCGGTATTGGTTTCACCAAAGCTGTAAGTATTTGAACCTGAGCCACTTTGAAGAGTTTTTTTGCCTTTGGCTCAATTTGCTAACTTAATTTTAGGATTTGGTCAACAACCTCGGTACCATTGCTCGCTCTGGTACCAAGCAGTTCATGGAGGCTCTCACCGCCGGTGCTGATATCTCCATGATTGGACAGTTCGGTGTCGGTTTCTACTCTGCTTACCTTGTTGCTGACAAGGTCACCGTTGTCTCCAAGCACAATGACGACGAGCAGTACATCTGGGAGTCCTCTGCCGGTGGTACCTTCACCCTGACCCAGGACACCGAGGGTGAGCCCCTCGGCCGTGGTTCCAAGATCATCCTCCACCTCAAGGATGAGCAGACCGAGTATCTCACTGAGAGCAAGGTCAAGGAGGTTGTCAAGAAGCACTCCGAGTTCATCTCATACCCTATCTATCTCCACGTCTTGAAGGAGACCGAGAAGGAGGTTCCAGATGAGGACGCCGAGGAGGTCACCGAGGCTGAGGAGGGTGACGACAAGAAGCCAAAGGTCGAGGAAGTCGACGATGAGGAAGAAGACAAGGAGAAGAAGAAGAAGACCAAGACTGTCAAGGAGTCCTCCATTGAGGAAGAGGAGCTTAACAAGACCAAGCCCATCTGGACTCGCAACCCCGCTGACATCACCCAGGAGGAGTACGCTTCCTTCTACAAGACCTTGTCCAACGACTGGGAGGACCACCTCGCTGTCAAGCACTTCTCCGTTGAAGGTCAGCTCGAATTCCGTGCTGTCCTCTTCGTTCCAAAGCGCCCACCATTCGATCTCTTCGAGAGCAAGAAGACCAAGAACAACATCAAGCTCTATGTCCGCCGTGTCTTCATCACTGACGATGCCACCGACCTCATTCCAGAGTGGCTCAGCTTCGTCAAGGGTGTTGTCGACTCTGAGGATCTCCCTCTCAACCTGTCTCGTGAGACTCTTCAGCAGAACAAGATCATGAAGGTCATCAAGAAGAACATCGTCAAGAAGACTCTTGAGCTCTTCAACGAGATTGCTGAGGACCGTGAGCAGTTCGACAAGTTCTACTCTGCTTTCAGCAAGAACATCAAGCTCGGTATCCACGAGGATTCTCAGAACCGTGCCACCCTTGCTAAGCTCCTTCGCTTCAACTCCACCAAGTCTGGCGATGAGATCACCTCCCTCACCGACTACGTCACCCGCATGCAGCCACACCAGAAGCAGATGTACTACATCACTGGTGAGTCCATCAAGGCTGTTCAGAAGTCTCCTTTCCTCGACTCTCTCAAGGAGAAGGACTTCGAGGTTCTCTACCTCGTTGACCCAATTGATGAGTACGCCATGACCCAGCTCAAGGAGTTCGATGGCAAGAAGCTCGTCGACATCACCAAGGACTTCGAGCTCGAGGAGACCGATGAGGAGAAGACTGCCCGTGAGGCCGAAGAGAAGGAGTTCGAGGGTCTCGCCAAGTCCCTCAAGAACGTCCTCGGTGACGCCGTTGAGAAGGTCGTCGTCTCGCACAAGCTTGTCGGTGCTCCTTGCGCCATCCGTACCGGCCAGTTCGGCTGGTCCGCCAACATGGAGCGTATCATGAAGGCTCAGGCTCTCCGTGACACCTCCATGAGCTCCTACATGGCCTCCAAGAAGACCTTCGAGATCTCCCCCAAGTCTCCCATTATCAAGGAGCTAAAGAAGAAGGTCGAGACTGACGGTGAGAACGACCGCAACGTCAAGTCCATCACCCAGCTCCTCTACGAGACCTCCCTCCTTGTCTCTGGATTCACCATCGAGGAGCCAGCTGCTTTCGCCGAGCGCATCCACAAGCTCGTCTCCCTCGGTCTCGATGTCGAGGAGGAGGAGACCCCAGAGGAGAAGGCTGATACCGAGGAGGCCGCCGCCGAGCCCGCTGCCGCCAGCGCCATGGAGGAAGTCGACTAAGCTCATCGCCTCCGCTTGAAATAAAAAAAAAATAAACAAAAATCAACAATGCCATGCATGCAACAATACCTCAAGCAAATGAAAAAAAAGCCCCAAAAAAATCTCATGGAAAAAGAAATGTTGTCATGAATTTCCTATGTTTCTCCCTTCCTTCCACTTCCATCAATGTACCTCGATACCACCTACCCAGCAATTAGCACGCAACAATGTCCATGGAGGGAAAAAGACAAACAACAGATTCTGTGACCATCGTGTTGTCCTCCACCTCTCCGCCATCTTGTTTTAATTCGTCTACTTGATCCTGTTGCTTTTCAGTCTTCTGCTTTGCCTTTACAGGTGGCGTGTTGTTACAAGAGAGCTTTAGAAACTTGTATCAAGGACTAAACAAAATTAATACAGAGGCGACTTTATTTCATACCTACTTGTGCATTGAAATTGAATATTGTAGTTTGTAGTTTTTTGATAGCTTGTGCCGTAGGCTTTACCTAAGATCCCATAATCTGTAGGCTTAGTAGGATATCCGTTTTTACTTAGAATGAAGTGGGGAAGCGTAAAAGGACAGTCAAGTTGATGTACATTAACTATCATGATTCTCTTCGAAGGAATTTTTTTAATTTTAAGTCTCCCGCTGGTCCCAGGTCGTCATCATCCATCATAGTAACTAGCAACTAGTACCAAACCATCGCCGCATCAACTAGTTATCAACTTTCTCCAACCAGCCACTTCTAAAGCCATGCCCCTTCACTCCCAGCTATCAATCTATCAGTCAGTCATAATCGTCGTACGTACTTGATAGGAAAGACGCATGTTGTAACAAGGAAAGCAGTAAAAAAAAGAGGAAAAAGGGTAGAGAAAGGAGAAGCAAGGAAGGCTCGATCGTATGTGGTAGATTCACGCTCGACCGCGGAAGTAAAGAGGACATGGTGGGAGGAGTAAAAAGTAGAGTATGGAATAATGCCTATGGTTGAATGGTAGAGGGAGGTAGGTAGAGACGGGGTAGAGTATGTGTTTTGTAACGGGGAGCAAGGCAAGGTGAAGATGAAGCATCGCTCTCGGAATTAAAGTAGTGAAAATGCAAGATGATGGAAGGGGCATATGCGATGGGTGGAGGAGGTTACCAGGATGGCAGAGGTGGTGAAATTGAGAATGGGCGTAGGTGGTATAGTGAGCTAGAAGACCGAGGATAAGTATGAGAATAGGGGCAAGGGGGATGAGAATTGTGATGCTAAGAAATGATGAAGCTTGCAGGCTCAATGATGGCAAATGAAGCAAGAGTTAATACAAATGTCAAAAAAAAGAGAAGGAAATATGAAGACGCTTTTCCAACCGACAGAGAGAGAGAAAATGACCGGGTAAAAAAGGAGGCGCAGAACAAACAAGCAAAAGGGGGTAGTGGAAAAGCAAAGAATTGTACATCATAGGTGAAGACCAGGAAGGTAGAGGTGAGGAGGTCAAGTCCTGGGGCCAGGAAGAGATGCTGTCCATCCGGCCCCTTTGGGGTAAAGGGAATGTAGATAGATGATACAGAGGCAATGAAGTGAAGGTGGAGTGCTATTTCTTGCTTTCTTTTTCTTTTTTGCTTTAAAAAGGGGGATATTCTTGACGTGTCGACATAAGCATTAGCGTCAGGGTTAACATCAGGTCATGCTAGTATGTGAAATTAGAGAATTCAGATGGCCTGTGGCTGGCCACGGCCCTTGGGAGTGACATTGCCGCTTCCAGAGGCGCTGCCACCACGGCTGTTACGGGCAGGGTTGTTGTAGCGGGAGTCCTTCTGGAAACCACCGCGGCCCTGTCCACCGACGCGGTCACCACGGCCACGGCCGGCACCACCACGTGGGGCGAAACCACCGTTGCCGCCATAAGCGTTGGCACGAGGACGGCGTTCCTCAACAGTGATCTGTTCGGTTCCAATGGTGTGAGGGTTAGCGGCAACGGCAGCCTTGTAGGCAGCTGCATCGCTGAACTCGACAAAGGGCGCAGTTCTAGAGATAGGTTAGCAAAGACAATGTAACTAAACAATATGGCATAGTTGGGGGGTAAAGGAACATACGCGTTGACGGTTAACATCGAAGTACTTCAGTTTACCAAAACGGGAGAGAGTCTGGCGGAGGAGACTGGCATCGACCTTCTCGTTGACATTCTTTACGTAGCCGAGGACACCTTCGGTCTGGGCAGGAGTGTGCTGGCGTGGCTGTCTTCTGCCGTGCTCGGCGCCAGCGGTCTGCCATTCAGACTGAGCTGGAGGCTGGTTCTCAACTCCAGTCTCGGAGGTAGTAGGAGTAGACTGCTGGGTCTTGGTTGGGGCAGCAGCTGGAGCAGCTGGGGTTGGAGCTGGAGCAGGAGCCGCGGCGGGGGCAGGAGCAGAGGCAACGGCGGCCGGAGCAGCAGCAGGGATAACTGGGACGGCGGGAGTAGGAGTGGCGCCAGCACGGTTTCCGGCGACAGAGGCCCAGCTCATGGGCTTGGTAGGGACTGCAGCAACAGGCTTCTTCTCGGGAATAGGGGCAGGAGCGGGAGTAGGGGCCTTTGGAGTGACATCGGCGGGGGAAGGTTCTGGATCCTTTGGCTTCTCGGGCTGGATAGCGTCAGAGGAGACAGGGAGAACGGCAGCTGGAGCTGGCTGCTCCTCGGCAGGCTCTTCCTTTAAAGCTTCTTCGGCGGCAGCAGTCTCGGGTTTCTGTTCCTCAACGGCTTCAGGCTTGGCTTCACCGTTGACAACCTCCTCGAGCTTCTCGTCAACCTCCTGAGCAGCGGCTTCGGTGTCGGCCTGGCGGTCAATGGCTGCTTCGGGAGCGGGAGCAGCATCAGCAGCGGCTTCAACAGGAACAGCAGCCTGAGTCTCCTCAGCTGGAGCCTCTTCGGCGGCGGGGGCCTCCTCGGTAGCTAGTTCTTCATCCTCGTCATTCAGGTAGCGGATGATGTCGTTCAGGACGTAGTAACCGTTTTGCTGTTCGGCGAGAACGAAGGTCTGGACGAATTTGCGAGGAGCGCCCTGGTTGTTGGACATTTCACCGATGACAACAACGAGGATGTTATCAAAGGAAGCCTGGGAGTCCACGTTCAGAACACGGACCTTGCAGTTGTTGTAGTCCAGGCCTTCGATGCATTCCTTAATTGCCTACACGGAGTTAGTTAATTTTTTTTCAATGGTATATATATATGTATAATGAAAAGGAAAAAGAGACATACGCGCTGGCCGATGGCGACGTTGACCTTCTCGGCCTCGACACCCGAGACGAACTGGGACTTGCGCGAGTAGAAGAGGTGCAGCTTCTCCGGGGTGCGGCTAAGGGTGGTATAGTACTGCTCGACGAAGAACCAGCCAACCTCGTCCTTGGGGATGTCGTTCTTGGAGTCGTGGGCAGTAGCGGGAGCTTGTGTGGAGGTGTTGGCCTGCTGCTGTGCCGCATACTGTGCGTTCGAGGCGTTTGCCGCCTGGTGGGAGGCCGCATAAGGGTCTACCTGGTACGGGTTTGCCTGGTGGTGGTTGTGGTAGGTGCCGTTGGCGGCAGGGACGGTCTCGGTAGCCATGATGAGTGTTGAGACTGAAGGGTTTGTGTGTGTTTGTGTGTTATTTATTAGTGAGGGAGTCCGGAGCAGTCAGGAAGCGGCGTGAAGATGGAGATATCAGGCGGTCCAGAAGTCGATAGACAGCGTGTTGGAGAGTGATTCTAAGGAGAGTCTTCTGTCAGTTTTCATCTGCTTCTTCTGCTTCTATTCTATCTGCTGTCTGTCTGTATCTGCTGTCCTGTGGCTTTTGTGTGTGTGTTGTTTGTGACAAGCGAAGAAAAGAACAGCCAGAGAAAGGGAAGAGAGAGACAGAAGGGAAAGAAAAGAGACAGCAAACTGACCAGAAAGAAGCAGCCAGAGAGATCCTAAGCTGGAGACAGAGCCAGATACAGCGCGTACTGAGCAGACAGGAGGCCGCAGGATAATTAGAGGAAGATCGTAGGATCTTTGCGATAGAAGTGACAGCTAGAAGAGAAGAGCTTTGCGCGGGTGAAGAGTGAAGAGGGCCTGGAAGAAGAAGATAGAGAGAAAGAAGAAGAAGCAGAAGAAGAAGCAGAAGAGAAAGAGAGAAAAGGAACTGCAAGAAGGAGAAGAAGAGGAAGAGGAAGAAGATGAAGCTGAAGATGAGCTTTTGATGCTGTGAAAGTCGACGTGTTGTTGTTTTTTTGTCTTCTTTTTTTTTTTTTTTCTCTTTTCTGGCGGTTTAGTTTTTCTTCGGTTTCTTTAAGGCGGAAAAAAAAAGAGAAAAGAAAAAAAGGGCCGTGGCGCTTGTTTGTCTCTCTTTACTCTGCGCGAAGACGAAGAAGATAAAAGTAGAAGAAGATGAAGAAGATAGAGATTGATTGATAGACTGGCTTACAGAGGTCGAAATGGAGAGAGTCGGGGCTGCAGGAGTATCGGTTCCTGGGCCTCGCTTGTGCTGCGGTGACCGTCTCTGTCCTACTGGGGATATTTATTTGACAGAAAAGAAGCAGAAAAGAAGAAGACGATGATAATGAAAAAGAAAGAGGAAGACGAAGAGAAACGAGATAGATAGAGAGGTATCTCTGGCATTTCATTCATGGTATGTGGACATCATCTACAGCAACATGGATATTAGACTGCTCGTACACAAAAAAAAAAAGGAAAGGATAAGACTAGACAGATGGCAAGGAAAGGAGGAAAGGGAAGACCAAGAAGGCGGCAAGCAGAGGAAAAGGATAAGTAAGAGAGAAGACAGAATTGAGAGGCGAGAGGATGCGGACTGCCCGTCGTATCATTGTCTCGTGAAGAAGCGGGAGGATAGGAAGGTCAAAGGTCGATAATGGCAGTCGAAGGTAAATGCACTGGTAGTAGTGGTAGTGGTAGTATTATAGATGGTAGGTAGACGTAGAAGAGTCGATGTAGAGTCGATTTAGAATCGATGCGAGCAGTGGTATCGAGAATATAAGGATTAATGCAAAAGAGGTATCAACTGATAAGGCTGAGTCGGTGGTTGAGTAGGTCGTGATATGGTGGACATTCTGAAGAAGCAACCGGGAGACAAATGGATAGACAGCCGAGTTAAGAGGCCGACTTGATCATGTTCTTCTCGTCGAGGACAACTGGCTTGCGCATGACGGCGTCCTGGCCCGACATCCTCCTGCCCAGGGCCCGCTCGACCTTCGCGCTCAACGCGAGCTTGCTGAGGCTCTCTGACTTCTCGGGCGTGGGCACGAAGCGCTGCTGGCTGAGACGCTTGTTCTCGAGACGAGCCAGGCCGGCGCTGAGCTCCTTGATCTCGGCTATGCGGCTGTCTCCGGTCATCGTGCTGCTGGTTGTCTGGTTGCTGATGGTAGAGTACCGCTTCGAGTTACGCTGCGAGGCCAGCTAGACACGCCGTTAGCATCAGCCATCGACCGTCAAGGGAAAGATAGAGAACATACCGAGGGAGCCATGATGGGGCGTTGGGAGTCGAGAGACCGTCTCAACATCATCGTAGAGAAGGAAGAGAAGGAAGAGAAAGAGAGAGAGACAAGAGAAGAAAGCAGGAGATGTGCCTGATCTTATGATGGACCAACCACGCTACCAAAAACTGGAGAACCAAAGACAGGGAAGCTCGTCTCCGTCTTTTTTCTTCTTCTTCTTTCTGGTAATTCCTCTGGTTATTCTTCTTCTGCTTGTGTTTCTTCTGCTAATTATCCGTCGATGGGGATGAAGGGGGGAGGATATTAAAACTGTCGATCGTGCGACGGAGACGCTGCGAGCAACCTGTAACTCAGCACGCAGCGTAAAGTACGTATATTTTCCCCGAGCGGATCTTATTTCCTTTGGTTCCTTTTTTCTTTTCTTTTTTGGTCTTCGATGAAACTTGGTCTGGTCGTTTTAGCTGTCAGATGTAGAGAACAGAAGAGAAGAGAGGGCGAGGAAGAGATGAAGACTAAGTAGACGACGAGAGGAGGAGAAGAAGCAAAGAGAGAAAACAGCCGACAGGGAAAGCCGTGGGAAAGGAGACCGAGCAGGCAGAGAGCGAGCGAGAGACAAGGATAGAGACAGGGCAGAGGCAGGGGAGGGTTCGACAGGCGCTGCAGGCAAGAGACAGACAAGCATGAACTGCTTTCCTTAGTTGCGTCTGACAAGGGGTTGGTACTTACAGTCGAGAAGCAGCAGAGAAGACGACGACGACGATGAAGACGAAGATGAAGAAACACCTTGATCGAAGACTCGCAGCCTTGTACACAGAAGAACTACTTAAAGTGACTAACTGCTCACTAGTTCCTTCGGCAGCGTGGAAAGGAAGAAGCAAAAACAGAGAAAAGAGGCTCCATACGCCGTTCGTTCGTATATCTCATCGCATCTCGTCGACCAGAGCCTTCTCTCTCCTTCCTCTGTCTACTCACTCTCCTTCACCATCTTTTTCACTTCTACCTTTCATCATGTCTACTTCTCTCTTCCCTCTGTTCTTTCAATCTCCTCCACAGACGCCCTTCTCATGTAACTATGTAACTCCTCCGTATATGCTCTGTACAGGCCAGACCCTTGTCAGAAACGTGGACGAGAAAAAGCCAGGCCCTTGCGAAGGACGGAGGAAGAGGAGCAGGAGGGAGAGGAGGGGCCACACACCAGGCAGCGAGGAAAAAGGAATTACAAGACGCCAGAGTCAAGTTCTTCTTTTTTTAGCTCTCGTCTCTCACATATCTTCCTCTGCCTGGGTGGCCTGTTTTGCATGGGTCGACCTGAGTTTAGTTCCTTGACCAGGTAAACTAAGTGACGAGTCGATACGGGCTCGATGGGCGATTTCCGAGGTCTCCAGTCCACGGAGGACGGACACGACCAGAAAAGGGAAAAAGGGAAAAAAGAAGACGATGGGGCGGGTCGGGCTTTCTCCAGCATCAGTAAAGTAAAGTAAAGTAAGAGTGGTCAGTCAAAAGTAACTAGTTAAGGGGGAGTGCATGGGATGGGGATAAATGCCATGCGGTGGCGAGATGGATCCCAGGGCTTGTTCTTGTCTCTGGCCTTAGTCTCGCTGCTACCTTCTCCTTTCTCATGGTACGGAGTAAGCAGCAGCTGTGCTACCGTGGCTCATCTCGAACTCCTTTCTCCTTGAAAGCACATGACACTAGCCGACTATATGGGAGTATTCTGTACGTTTCTTTAGTTAGCTGGCTGTTGGTTATGGATATGGCTTCAAGACATCCGAAAAGGTACCTGAAGCATCGCATTTTGAGACTGATCTACTTACTCTCCGCTCCATCGTAACGCCTCAAAGCAAAGGTCGAATAAAAAAAAGGAGATAAAACATGTATCATTAACGGGGGTGCTCGAGACGTTGAGGCTAACGCTCCCTGCCATGATTGGCCTGTATACTGACTGACGGAGTGACGAGCGAGGGTCGATATCACAGCCAGGCGCCGCTCCAAGTGTGACATGGCGTTGCAGCCCTTCTCCCTTCTGCATGGAGTGCGTGTCCTCCGTATGTGTGATTCGACTCGATGTATGATGATCTTTGTCCTCTCTCTCTCTCCTTGATGAGCAGCCGAATCTACCTGAAACCAGCGATACGAGTGCACGCTGCATTCCCTATGCGGCCGTATGCATCGGGCATCCCGCAAGATACGGAGTACTTCATCTTCTTCCCCGTGCTCTGCATATAGTTATGTGTATTAGCTATATGTCTATCATCTCTATATTGACTTACAGGCTACTGCACAGCATCTCCCGCTCAATATCGCCAGCGGACAACTAGCGAGCATCAGAATGGTGGAGAGACCGTCAGGGCCTATATCATAATAATAATGATAATGATAATAATAATGATAGTAATAATATATAATAAATAACATGAGATGGTAATAACATATGTAAATGAAGAATAAGATGAATATCGAGGTTGCCTTTTGCCTATTCGGGAAAAAGTGACGTAGCTGCATCAAACTAAGCGAAACTTCGACTTCTTCGTCTTCTTCGACGTTTCAACATCAAACTACGGAGCATTTTCTTACTTGCGGCCCCAACACACAGACAGCAGAAGAGAAGAGAACGTCATAGCCATGCCGAAGCCCAAGACGCTGCTGAAAGAGACCAAAGCGAAGAAGAAACGAAAACAGGTGGTGTGTTACAGACTTATCCCCCCGTTCCCCCCGTTCCCCCTCGCCTCCCCTCCTGCCATGCAGAGCTAGCTGGCTAGCTGGCTAGCTATCAAAACTCGTGGAAGCCACCCAAGCTAATAGCTCGCGATCGCGCGGATCAACCCGACTTGCAGGCTCCGGAGTCGGCAGATGAGTTTCTCGCTGGTCAGTACAACGTACGGATACGGAGTGCTCCGTAGTTAATGAAGGGGAAAGAATAGGATGTGCTTGGAATTTACAGGCACAGTATCGATTGGAGAGGGGAACCGTTTAGCTGACTGCTGCCATATACTACAGAGGGAGTCGATCTTGAAGAAGCCGGAGAGAAATGGCGGGCGGGAGATCCAGTCAAGTCGATGCGCTTCTTCATGAGAGCCATTGAGATGTATGAGAATGGTTTACGTCGGTATCCTGCCTCGTTCGACCTGGCTTATAACAAGTATGTAAATATAAATATGCGAGAAAGACGAACGGAAAGACTCTGGATATTAATGTTCTGATCTGCTTATTAGAGCTCGAGTGCAGTATGAAATTACCCAGCATCCTAAGCTGGTCACTCAGTTACCTGGCCCGATCATCGACATACTCCGCATCGCACTCGATTCCCACCGAGAAGCCCTGCAGAAGGACCAGGATAACGCAGACATACTGTTCAACACTGCACAGGTGCTAACCAGTGTAGCTGAAGCACTTACGGAAGGGAAACGCGCAGACGAAGAGCAGACAGAAGAGGCGTTGAAGAGTCTAACTGAAGCCCTGGAGCTGTTCCAACGCTGTCTCGTTCTACAAGAGTTAAGATTCACAGAGTATGAACAGCAGCTGCAGATGGTCCGGGATGGCGGGCCGGATCACCAGTCCCAGCAGGATGAACAACAACAGCAACAAGAACATGAGCAAAGCGTAGGCGACTCGAGAAGAGGTTCGACGGAAGCAGAAGAGTGGGCGGCCGTGGTTGAACCGGTGACAAAGAATACACTTATTGATACCGCCATTGCGCAGTTGGAAGCACTGGCTACGCTGTGTGGGCTGCTCTCCTCCGACCATGGAAGCACTCTCGCCTGGGTAGAAGAGTATTCCTCCGACCTCGTTCGAGAGAAGATCGCCGCATACGTCGAGGGTACAGACAGGGCCAACGAGATAGCCATCGTCCGTGCAAAGTTCCTCTCCATCCTGCTAGAAATCACCTATCGAAGTGGCCGCATCGACCTAGACACGTATAAACAGGAGCTCGACTCCGCATGGAGCAGCAACAACGTCGATGTCTCGCATGATCCTGCCGGCCTTTCCAACCAGGCAGAAGCACTGGTAGGGTTCAGCTCGGCCATGGCCGATTCCTACCCTACCCCCAACATTGACGGATTCGAGAGATCATTGGATCTGCGATGGCAGGCCCTGGGAGTCGTCTTGAGTCGGCTAGCAGCTGCCTCAAAACTCGCTGGGCCAGACAACCTGGCGAAGATACATATCGCTCGAGGTGATGCGGAGATGTTTCGGTGGAGGCTAGGCCAAGTCCCATTCAGTTATGCACCAGCCAAGGATAACGCAACGACATTGCTCAAAAATGCAGAAACTTATTATCGTGGAGGGGCAGCCACTGCAAAAAGAGACGGATGGCCGGAGGCAGAGCGCGAAGGTACAGTAAAAGAAGCCCTGGCTAAAGGTTTGGCTGGCGACTCAAGTCAGATGGGGAGTTTGGCCATTGACTCCAAGGGATATATGATGCGTGTAGCCGACGACATGGCCGAGGACGGCCATATACCGCCTGAGGATTTGAGTAAGCTAATGGCAGTGTTGGATCCAGACGAGCTGATATTCTAGACTGCATCCACGACGTTTTGGTGGCTTTTGTTCTTTCTTGGGTACTTAAAATATGCATGCGATCAATAGAGCCGTGCGGGGGTGCAGGATATAAAACGAGCATTTCACGAAGGCTGCGAAGGTCTTATCTCTTCGTCCATTTGCTCTGCTTCTTTCCGTAGAATGTTGTCTTCATCGAACTCGTGCATTGACTTCACTGCACCTTGTATATCTCCGACCGCGGCCTCAAGACTGCTCAGAAGCTGCTGGATCTCCTGCCTCTGAGACTCGATCTTCGATGCAAGCTCAGCGTTTTTTTTCTGCACTTCTTCCGTCTGAGAGTGTAAAGACGACTGTGTCTTTTCAAGAATAGGTGCTAGATGAGCCTGATACAGCTCTTTCGCAGTCAACGTATGCGCCCTTTCTAGATGTCAGTATTCTTACCGAGATCGTAAAAATAAGTAACAGCAACGACTCTACATACGGCGCACTATCGGCTCCTTCACCATTCTCTCTGCGCAACTTGGCCTCTCCCACAAGCCTGTCCAGCTCGTTCAATCCCCTAACCACCTGTCTCTCGTGTAGGATATCGTCAAACTCCGCCCTCGCACTCTCCTCCAATTTCGCGTTCAGCTGTCTCCATACTGACTCCAGGCTGCGCGGAACTTGCTTTGCAGGTGTCGGAAAGCAGGCGGAGAAGTTGGCATACGAATTTGTGCGGATGGTATGTAGCAGGGCCTGGGAGAAGACTTGTTGTAGTCGCGAGGCGCGTGGGCCAGGGGTCAGCGGGACGGGCGCGGCGGGCGGCGGCGAAGGTGACGGTTCCTGGGGTTCAGTCGGTTGGGCGGTACTTGTAGGGTCCGAGTTGGATGCTGGCGTTGCCATTGTGTCGTTGGCTGAAGCGGTAGAAGTTGACAAACTTGGGTTGTTTATCTAGTTATTTGGTTTGAAGTTGAAAAGGCCTGAAGTTGGTTAACTACTCGAACGCGCAGTCACGTGTTTATATAGATTTCCAGTTGCTGGGACGAAAAGGGAGAAGACAGGAAGACGAGAAGACGTTTAAGTGATTGGATAGAGCAGGTGGAAGGAGTTCGAGGTAGAGCATTCGGTGTATTATTCCACGGCCGGCTATCTAGAAGATGGAGACCCGAAGATAGGTAATTTCATTAACAGCCCTCATCAGACGGACAAGGAGACATTAAAGACATTCAAAAGTCAGGGGGGAAAGCACATAAACTCGTGAATTAAGAATAGCAAATCAAATTGTTTATCCCAAGGAGAAAGATCAAGAACGCCGGCGCTGCAGGGGTGAAAGATCGAGGGTGAAAGGGAAGAAGTGAAAAGACGTAATTCACAGATTAGTAGTTCTGAGAAACGAGGCCAGGGGCAGGGTACCCGGCTGCCATCTGAGCCTGTTGCTGCGCCTGCTGCTGTGCTTGTTGCTGGTGCTGATGTGGATGTTGCTGCTGCTGCTGATGGCCGTGAAGGGCCTGGTGCTGAGCCTGCTGAGCTTGCAGCTGGTTCAAGTCGTTGAACCAAGGGTGCCGAAGAGCCTCTGCGGCACTGATACGCATCTCTGGCCGTAGCTGAAGCATCCTGCTCAACAAGTCTAGGCCCAGCTGGTCAATCTGGGGCAGAATGAGGCGCAAATCTTGCGTTGCGTAGACGTGGAAGTTTGGCTTGTACTCGGGGAACTGCGAGATTCCCGGCCAGGATCGTTCGGACGGGGTACCCATCAGCCTGAAGATCTTCTGAAGCTGGTCCTCGTTTGTCGTGCCCGGGAAGAGAGGGCGGCCGGTGTACATCTCGGCCATGATGCAGCCAGCAGACCAGATGTCGATGCTGGTGTTGTATGTCCTGCTTCCGAGGAGGACGTCCGGCGCCCTGTACCAGAGGGTGACAACCTCATTGGAGAAAGTATTGACGGGGATGCCGAACGCTCTTGCGAGGCCAAAATCAGCAAGCTTGAGTTGGCCCTTGTTGTTGATCAGAAGGTTCTGTGGCTTAAGGTCTCGATGCAAGACTCTGTTGTCATGACAGAAGGCAATGCCGCGCATGAGCTGGTGCATGAAGGACTTGATGGTAACGTAGTCGAGCTGGCCGCGGTCTCCCCGGACGTCCATATACTTCTTCAGGTCCTTGTCCATATATTCGAAGACGAGCATCAGCTTGTTCTCGGTGTGAATGACGTCGTGCAGGCCGACGATGTTTTCGTGCTTGAGCTCCTTCATGAGCGAGATCTCCCTGATGGCTGTTGACGGAGTGCCTTCTTCCGAGTCCAGGTGTATCTCCTTCAGCGCAACCATCTCTCCCGTCTGCCTATTGCGTCCTTTGAAAACCTGGTTTGGTCAGCCGTGGTCCGCTTAGTTTGTATGTCATTCATCTAGCCAGCTGTGGGGGAAAGCAGCACATACTGTAGCATAGGTTCCCTCTCCGAGCTAGAAAACAGTTAGCATTCATCATATCAAGCATATTAAGCTCGTTGCAGACGTCGAATACAGCATCTACCGGCGCTGCTTACCTTTTCTAGCTGCTGGAATGAGCTGGGCTGGTGCCGCTTGTCCATGGCGGCGCGGGCTGCTGAGGGGCGAGGCGAAGAGGCTGCCTGACGAATATCGATAAACGGGCGGCGACGAAAGAAAGTCGCAGGAGAGACGAGGGACGAGGCGATGCTAAGGTAAGAGACGCTGCTATCACTTGCACACCGGTCGTGACGCTGTGAATTGGTCGGCTTGGTGGTGTTGGTGTTCTTGTCCATGCCAAAGACGAAGCTGATCAAGGTCGGGTTAAATAATTAGTGACTGCGGGAAGTTTTGAAACGCCAGGCAAGGGGGACGATGATATTTTTAGCCACCTCGAAGCGCCGTCAGTCAGTTAGCGAGTTAGCGAGCTGCTCAGGTGCAGGAGCTGATCTACTTGGGCGCTTAGAATTTTATTTCGGACTGTCAGTATACATAGTAACAAGTTTTATGTCTATATTTATCAAGGAAGGCGCCTAGGGATGAGCAGAGAGAGTAACTCGGTAGAAGTAGAGAAGAAAAATTTACAGCGCCGCCAGCCTGCCAACGACATGAGGGAGGATGTCTTCCGCTGGCTGGCTGCATCTCACTCGGAACATGTCACCAGAGCTGGGCCGGATGTCTTCAAACAAGAGGTTTTCGTTGCGAAAGCCGCCGACGTTCAGGACTCCCACAGCCATGCCTCTGTTGACAGCCCGTTCGACGAGCCGCCACGCAGAGAATGTAGCCAGACTGCTTCCGAGGACGAGCAGCTTGCCGGCTTCATCGACGGCTTCTTCAGCAGCCAGCTTCACCTCATCGTCGACAGATTGACCGAACATGACCACGGCCGGTTTGAGAATGCCAGCGTTGGACACCGAAGCCAATGCCCCGTCCTGGTCTGCTTCTATTATAGCGGTCGACCCGTCTGGCCGCATCCTCGGCGGGCTTTCCAGGCATCGAGGACAGGCTGGGTATCGAAAATCCGAGTAATGTGCGTTGGGCAGGTCGACGTCGCCGTCCGGGTTCAGCTTCAACCCGCGCTGCTGCTGCTGCTCGATATCGTCCGTCTCCAGAGCCCCGGAGCGAGTAATCTGGTAGAAGAACTCTGCCCAGGCCGGGTTGAGCGTAGCCAGCGTCTCTTGGAATTGTTCACGGGGTATCTTGTGGGCGCAACTGACGCAAATTACAGATCTCAGGTCACCGTGCAGCTCAACTACGGGCAGCCTGGGATGAGCACGGCCATGCAGCGAGTCGACGTTCTGTGTAATGACGGAGCTTATGTAGCCTTTACTGCCTAGCTGACCGATAGATTCGTGAGTGATATTCGGCTTCGACTGGCCCATTGTCGGCCAACCGATGAAGCTCCTGGCCCAGTACCGTTGCCTGGCCGCATGCTTGGTGGTGTACTCGTGGAAGAAGATGGGACGGTAGCCGGCTTTGCGACGATATGTACCCTTCTCGCCGCGGTAGTCTGAAAGGCCCGAGGCGACTGAGATGCCTGCACCGGTCAGGAGGACTGTCTGCTCGTTGCGGCCCAGGTCGATGCCTCTGAGTAATAGCGGCGATGGAGCGGCGAGGAAGCGGGCGAGCGCGTCAATGGCACCGGCGACGGTCGCGGCGGAGGCTGGCAGGATCGTCGGAGCTGCAAACGGAGCCGTGAACGGGATTCTCATGCGGTGGCTCATCGGTCACCTCTCTGTACTGTGACGTGGTGGTTCGTTGGTTGGTTAGGTAGTTAGTAGTCGGTCATGGCTTGCGTTGGTGTTATTGCAGGCCCAGACCAAGTTCGGTGTTATTCTGTAGTTTATTTGATATAAGCATAACTCGACGACTTCCGACTGTCTGTGTATGATTTTATCTATAGGTGTATTAGAAGATGTATAGAATATATACAGGTCTATGTCTATGTGCTATTGATACATATTATGTGCGGTCCTCTCCAAAAGAGCCAAGTGTCTGCTTGACGGAAGCTATGAAGGCATCAATCAAATCGTCCTCGACGACCCCCTTCTGCCAGGAGAATCCCAGGACAAGACAGCCATCGGCGCCGGTGATGACAGATGTCGAGATGGCACATCCAAAGACATTGGCACTCTGCGTAAAGACCATCCTCTCAATCCGTGGACTTGTCTCTGTCTGGTCATCTGAATCTGCCTTGAAGACGCCGATGTTGGACACTTCAAAGCTCTTCTCTCGCTCCTTGCCGAGCTTGGACAGGAAGAGCTCGTTGACATAGTCCTTCGCGTATTTGAGCATACCGGTCAAGCTGTTCTTCCCCCGACGACTGAGTACTGCGTCAAGTGTCTGCTTTGATCGCCTGGCTTCATCCCAGGAGAAAGCGTTGTCACTCTTGCACACGTTGTCTCTGCTGTACTCTTCATGGTAGCCATGTACCCAGACACCAATTGAGTCATCTGTGATGCTGGGGTCTGTCAGCCAACGTCTGGCGGAGATGGCGCCCTCACAGGTTAGTTTGGTGTATTGTTCTGGTATTTGTTTGAACAATGCCTGCGCGAGTACTGTTTGCAGTCCGGCAGTGACGGTGGCCTTGTTCTCACGGCACACCTCTCGAAAGACCGTTGCATCCCGCTTAGACACGACCAGATGGCGGATACAGTTCTGCAAGGGAGTGACCATCTTGGACCCTGCCCAGAGAGCCGGATCTCGCGCTGGTGCCCATATTTTTGCGCGGAACCAGACGCTGAGGATGAAGAAGAACGACATTGGCATTGGGCAGGTCTCCTCCAGGGTCGGTAGCAGAGGCGTCTTGGGAGACTCAACCACACTTTTCACGGTTGAAGCAGCAGTAGAGCTGGAGCAGACACTCTTCAGGGCCACCAGGAGCGACTTGTGGAAGGCCTTTCCGGACGAACCGTCTCCAATAGCATGATGCCAGAAGTATGAAGCAGTGAACCGTCGACTGTCTTTCGGACCAGTCAGGATACACAGTCTCCAGTAAGGTAGAGGGGCGGCAAAGGATATATTATGCTGTTCGGTCAGCAGCTCATCCAGCTCCGTATCCCTTTCGTCTGCTGCTGCATTGAATTCCGCATTTCTCTCCCGGAAAGAGACACACTGGTCGACGTCAACCTCTGGCAGCCGGACAAAGTATGGCTCAAGCGAGTCTTCGGCTAAGGGGATGGCAGAGAGCGCTGGGTGCTCTTCTATCAGACTCTCGAGGGCCGTGTAGACGCAGTCCTTCACCGGCAGCTCGCAGCTCGACGGGAGCACATAGCTTGCTGTCACCGCGACATTGGTGTAGAATCTATGCGGATTGCGTGCAGTCGAGTATTTCTCCAGGCGGCCTAGTCACCGTCAGTATACCAGCTTCTTCTTCTCTTCCAGTAGCTATCTTCAGGGGCTTTCTCTTACCGGCCGGCCGCAGTTTCTCCAGCTTGCTCTCGTCCATCGCTGCCCCTGGATCTCCATGTCTTTCCTCTGGCTGGCTCCCTCTTGCCTCTCTCTCTCTTTAGTTATATTTCAAACGCCGTAAATCTGTCTGCCTGTCTCCCTCGGCTCCTCGTATTCTTCCTCACCCTCGTCTGATCCTTGCGCGCACTACTAAAAAAATAAAAAAAGAAATCTTCCGATGCTCCTTGGAACTAAAAAGTTGCTTATTCCGAATCTTCAAGCTGCGAGTTGATAGATATATTTACTCCCTACGGCGCATCCAACGACACTATTTAAATTAACAGAATTTAATAAAGAATAATACATAAATAAAAGAAAAGAAAAGAAAGAGAACGAGGCTTTCCTTTTTCTCCCCGCCTATCACAGCGACCGCCAGGCCATGATCAGGACGCCAGCCGGCTGCGGGAGGACCAGATTTCGCTCAGCTTGCTCGCTCTGCGCCGTCTTACGCCCACGGCCACTGGAAACACAGCAAGACAGCGACATCCAGCTACGTGGCTTCAAGACATCGCTCAGGTCGCACTGCCTCGTCCGCCGATATTATAATTCTCCTTCTTTGTCCTCGCCGTCTTCTTCGTCTGCCACCGTTGCTGCAACTCGACCTCAAGCGCCGGTTTACCCCCCCGCGGCAGCCTCTACTCTGTCTCTTACAGCTCGACCAGCTCGACCAGCAGCCGCTCTCGCACATTCGCCTTTCACGATGGGCGGCCAGACCAGATCGCATGGACATAGCCATGGCCACGGCCACGGTCATCACCATCACCATCATGACACCACATACCTGACCTCCAAGAACAAGCAGGATCCGGGCGTCCGCATCACAAGAATCGGCCTGCTCGCCAACCTGGCCATGGCAATTGGCAAGGGAGTCGGAGGCTACGTCTTCCACTCGCAGGCCCTGGTGGCAGATGCATACCATGCCCTCGCGGACCTGGTGTCGGACTTTATGACCCTGGGGACCGTCTCCTGGTCGAACAAGCCGCCGTCGTCGCACTTCCCGCTGGGCTACGGCAAGATCGAGACGCTGGGATCACTCGGAGTGAGCGGGCTGTTGCTCGTCGGCGGAGTGCTGATGGGACTCAATGCTGCGGAAGTCATACTCACCCAGTTCTTCCCGGACATTGCGGATGCCGCTGCTCATATGGGCTTGCTCGGCCACGGCCATTCACACGGACACTCCCACTCCCACTTCCCGACCGACCAGGCTTACGGGCCTAATATCAACGCTGCCTGGCTTGCTGCAGGCTCAATTGTCGTCAAGGAGTGGCTTTATCATGCCAGTAAGCAGTTTATTAAAACCACTATATACAAATTGGTCTACGGAGTATGCAAGGCTAATATAGATATTTGACCAGCTATGAAAATTGCAAAGGAGAGGAAATCCTCTGTCCTTGCATCCAACGCCGTCCATCACCGCGTCGACTCACTCACAAGCATAGTTGCTCTGTTGACCATCGGCGGCGCACATGTCTTCTCTGACGCTACCTGGCTGGACCCGGTGGGCGGTCTCCTCATCTCCATCATGATCATCAAGGCAGGGTTCGGAAACACCAGAGCCACTCTACTAGAATTAGCCGACGCAGGCGTCGAGGAGAGCATGGTAGACTCCGTCCGCAAGTATGCCGCCCAAGCCATCGCCACGCTCCCGGACGGTACCGGTGTCGAGCTGCGGAACATCCAAGGCGTCAAGTCTGGCCCCAACTATCTGATGGAAGTCGACCTAGCTGTGCCTGGTTCGTGGTCCGTTTCTCGGACTCGTGAGGTTGAACGGGTGATTCGGGAACGTGTGGGAGCTCGTGTGAGAGGCGTTAAGCGGCTACGAGTCCGGTTCACTCTCGATACAGAGAAGGAGCTTGATTTTGCGGAGGAGTTCATTGCGCCAGACGTCAGTCCTCGAAGCAGCCCTGAACCTGAACCAGAGACCAATGGAAACGGCACCATAGCGACAGGATCACAGCCACAGCCGCAAGTTAATGGACATCGGAGACAACATTAAATCTGGTAATCTTACCTATTCTACATGGCAGTAATCACCATCGACACTGTCAGCACCAATAAGCTTGACTTCGCCGGAGGTGATGGTCAGGGGTATTTATTCCTGGCTGAGTTCCGGCAGCATCTCCTCGCTCTGTCCTATAATAGGGACGGTGAGAGGTGCTAGATGGTCGATGTATACATATGGGCATATATATACATCTACCGACTCTGAAGCTATACTCCATAGCTCGGCTGAAGCTACCGTCTACTAAAACGTCTAGCAGCAACATTCAGCATCATCCTCAGCAAGGAAAGGACCTGTTTTTTTATGCATGATTATCTTGTAGTAGATAGATGTATTCCGTATCTTGGGTAATATAATGATGAAATTATTAATTGGCATCTAGACTATGATTCAATAACTACCTTACAGCTGCCAACTCCTCCCCTGCTCCTATGATATCATCCCGCCCTCACAGCCAACACAACATCCATCTATTTATTTACACCAGTTTCAATCAATTAGATGTAGACATACATACTACCATCTAACGATTGTGCATTGTTTTTATGTTGTAACGAATAATAATAACAATAATAATAGAGGAAGATGGGCTCTAACGACGGACCGCTGTATATCGGCTTCGACCTGTCAACGCAGCAGCTCAAGGGCCTCGTCGTCTCGTCCGATCTCAAGGTCGTCTACGTCGCCAAATTCGACTTCGACAGCGACTCGACAGGCTTCACCATCAACAAGGGCGTCCAGACAAATGAAGCAGAGAGGGAAGTCTTTGCACCCGTTGCCATGTGGCTGCAGGCCCTGGACGCGGTGCTTCACGATCTCAAGCAACAGGGACTCGACTTTGGCCGGGTGAAGGGCATCAGCGGTGCCGGACAGCAGCACGGAAGTGTCTACTGGAATGAGTCCGTGGATCAGATACTAGGCAGCTTGGATGAAAAGAAGACACTCGAGGATCAGTTGCAAGCAGCATTGTCTCATCCGTATAGTCCCAACTGGCAGGACGCCAGCACGCAGCAGGAGTGCGATGAGTTTGATGCCTTTCTCGGGAGTGAAGAAGAGCTGGCGAGGGTGACGGGCAGCAAGGCTCATCATGTAAGTTTTCTCCTGATGCATGAGTTGGTTGACTGTCTAGATAGTTATTATATCAGGATGCTAATATGTAGTTGTATCTGGATAGAGGTTTACTGGACCCCAGATATTGAGGTTTCAGAGAAAGCATCCTGACGCATACCAAAAGACGTCCAGGATATCTCTGGTTTCGTCCTTTTTGGCTTCAATCTTTCTGGGAAGAGTGGCTCCGTTTGATATATCAGATGTCTGTGGTATGAATCTATGGGACATACCATCAAACCGATGGAACGAGAGTCTTCTCAAGTTCTGTGCTGGTGATGCTGGACCAGAACAACTGAAAAAAAAGCTCGGAGATGTACCTCACGATGGGGGCCAGGAGCTGGGTAAAATCAGCACCTATTTCGTCAAGAGATACGGCTTCCATTCAGACTGCGTCATTACTCCGTCGACGGGAGATAACCCGGCTACTATACTTGCTCTACCACTGAGGCCGCTGGACGCCATGGTATCACTGGGAACATCGACTACGTTTCTCATGTCGACTCCGCAGTACAAACCTGACCCGTCTACGCACTTCTTCAATCATCCAACTACCCCTGGATTGTACATGTTTATGCTCTGCTACAAGAACGGAGGACTCGCTCGTGAGCGGGTGAGAGATGCCATCAACACAAAGTCCGAGGGCGCCAAAGGTAATGATATCTCGAATTCCTGGAGCAACTTTGACAGAATACTACTGGACACTCCTCCAACCGGTCAGAAAGCAGGCTCGGACCCGATGAAGATGGGTCTCTTCTTTCCCCGGCCGGAGATAGTGCCTAACCTTCGAGAAGGAGAATGGCACTTCAACTATACCCCAGGTCAAACAGACGTAGACCACCAGCTCAAGGAGACAGACGCGGGCTGGAACCATCCATGGGACGGTGCCAGAGCCATCGTCGAAAGCCAGCTCCTATCCCTCAGGCTGCGGTCAAGGGAACTCGTCCACAGCCCATCAGACAGGAAGGACATCCCACCACAGCCCCGACGAATCTACCTCGTCGGCGGGGGCTCTCGCAACGCCGCCATCGCCAAAGTGGCGGGGGAAGTGCTCGGCGGGATAGAAGGGGTGTACAAGCTGGACGTGGGCGAGAATGCGTGTGCGCTGGGAGCAGCGTACAAGGCCGTCTGGGCGCTAGAGAGAGCACCGAAGCAGACCTTTGAGGATCTGATCGGGCAGCGATGGCGGGAAGACGAGTTTGTCGAGAAGATAGCTGACGGTTACCAGCCGGGCGTCTTTGAGAAGTACGGACAGGCCGTCAGGGGCTTCGAGATGATGGAGCAACAGATCCTCAAGACGGAGGCAGAGAAGTAGTTTACTACTATAGCCAACTTAGCTATCTATCAATACCTTCTTTGAGTGCTGGTATAACTATCAAAATGCTAAAATCCCGATATCAAACTCGGTCTTCCTCGTAGTCAGAGCTTTGCCGTAGTTAAACCACACCCATCGCTGGGCCAACAGCTGCTGTCACAGCCTGACCATCGTCCTCCTGCCGCTACTTTTCTTTTTCCTCCCTCGTCTCCACCAAGACGGCGTTTTCTTACTATGTATAACCAGGCTAGATATTCTGTGTGTGCGGTGTTGTGTCATAGTTAATCGTCTTTCTTGGGTCCCGCGGCGGCACCACCAAAAACTCACCACAAACTCACCCAGACTAATATTTAACGCCCGCCGAAACCTTTTGTCCACCTCTTGCAAAGCAACTTGACGTGAAGGAGCAGCCCGAGACGAGCAGGAGGACAGATTTTGCAGACGGATATCTATGAGATGAACAGCCGGATCCTTTTACGACCTTTACAGCTCTGCACAGTTGGGTGACTTGAGTGAAATTACCTGCTAGTTAAATACGTGGGAAGCGAGTCAGATAAGAGGGACACTTTTGACCGCCAGCGGAAAACGGAGCACGAGAGAGCCCGCGGGCCTCGCTGGGAGCAGCCATCATGGAGGAGCAGGTAAGCCGTCGGTTCTCGTTTGCTCGTCTTTTGCTCTTTCTTTCCGCGGGGATGCTCGTCTGCTGCTGTTGGCGGCGGCGGTGCTGGTTGTCTGGCTACTGCGCAAAGGTGCTGACGGTGGTGTTGACTACTAGGTCGCGAATGCCATAGAAATCGCCGGGAACCCAGCTTCAGACCAGGCCCTCAAGGCGCAGGCTTTCGAATACATCAGCCAGCTTCGCTCAGACCCGTCGGGATGGCAGCCGTGTCTCTCGATCTTTACAAAGTTGCCCCGTCATTCGGAGATAGTACGGCATGTGGCCCTGGAGATTGTCACCAGCGCCACGCAGTCTGCCCAGGTGGATTTGCAAGGGCTTGGGTTCATCAAGGACAGTCTCATGTCCTACTTGCAGGAGATGTATGGGGCCGGAGCTACGAACGAGCCAGACCAGGCGAATATCCAGAACAAGCTTGCCCAGACGATTACCTGTCTCTTCTCTGCCCTCTATGCCAACGGATGGGACACATTCTTCGATGATATCCTGCGCCTGACCTACAAGTCGCCTGAGAATCCAGCCCGAGACAACGGTTTGGGGACCGTCTTCTTTCTCCGTGTTATCAATTCCATACATGACGAGATAGGTGATGTCCTACTCTCACGTTCGCGGGCCGAGCAGGACAGGGCAAATACACTGAAGGACCTTATTAGGGAGAGAGATGTGCAGAAACTGGTCAACTCGTGGCTGGAGATTCTAGGGCAGTGGCAGGATCAGGACAATGTCATCACGGCCATGGTGCTCAAGGCAATCGGGAGCTGGGTAAGTTGGATCAATATTTCCCTGGTCGTCAACCAGGGCATGCTTGATCTTCTATTCCACCAGCTCGCAAAGGCTAAGGACGTAAACCTAAGTAATGGAGGGGAAAGAGTCCGGGATGCTGCCATTGACGTCTTTACGGAGATTGTTGGAAAGAAAATGAAGCCGTCTGATAAAGTGGACATGATCGTTTTTTTGAACCTCGAGAGCATCGTCTCTCAACTCTCCACCAGCCCGCCTCTGCACGAGTACCGGTTTACATCAAAATATGACACCGATTTAGCTGAGACGGTTGCAAAGCTTGTAAATATCACAGCACTGGATATTGTCAAAGCCCTGGAATCCGACGGTATTGATGTTGCAACTAAGGAGAAGGCCGAAGCGTTGCTACAGGCCTTCCTCCCCCATGTCTTGCGTTACTTCTCCGACGAATATGATGAGATATGCTCGACAATCGTTCCTTGTGTGAATGACATGCTCACTTACTTCCGAAAGGTTGCAAAGAAGAACCCTGAATTGGCATCTCAGCAGAATCACATGTTGCTACCAATTCTCAAGGCTATCATTCAAAAAATGAGATACGACGAGACTTCAAGCTGGGGAAGCGAAGATGACCAGACAGATGAAGCAGAGTTCCAGGAACTACGACGGAGACTCAACGTTCTACAGCAGATAATCGCATCAACAAACGAGCAGCTCTTTATCGAAGCCGTCACTGACGTCGTTCGCTCGACATTCTCTAGTTTAAGACAGCCGGGGGCACAACTAGACTGGCGTGACCTTGACCTAGCTCTACATGAGATGTTCCTCTTCGGCGACCTTGCAACAAAGGCCGGAGGACTCTACAATAAGCATAAGCCCAACAATCCTGCCGCGGAACGCCTGATAGAAATGATGCTGGTCATGGTCGAGTCCGGTAAGTGCATCTTTTCCATTGTTATAGTCAACCTTTGCTGGATTGTCGCTGACGATAAACTATAGATGTCCGCTCGTTCAACCATCCGGCCACTCAGCTGCAGTACATGGAAATATGCGTGCGTTATAGCGCATTCTTTGAACATCATTCCCATCTCCTTCTGGGTGTTTTAGAAGGGTTCCTTCGCCTTGCCCATCATCAGATGCTAAAGGTGAGGACCAGGTCGTGGTATCTATTTCACCGTCTCGTAAAGCATCTTCGGGCTTTTGTGGGGAATGTTGCGCAAACCGTCGTCGAAGCTCTTAGTGACCTTCTCACCATTAACGCCGAAGTGCCTGGCGATAACTCTGATGGTGATGACCTGTCCTCTGAGGATATTGGGGGGTCCCGAGACACAGTTTTTACTAGTCAATTGTACCTTTTCGAGGCCATTGGAACTATCTGTTCAACAGCGTCATCGGTTGAAAAGCAAGTGTACTTTGCACAATCAATCATGAACCCCATCTTCATGGACATGGAAAAGAATCTACAAGCTGCACAAGCAAACGATGAACGTGCCATTCTGCAGATTCACCATGATATCATGGCACTTGGTACCCTTGCCAAAGGTTATTCTGACTGGACGCCAGGATCAACGTCCCCCCAAGCACCACCCCCTCCGGAAGTATCAGAAGCATTTGGACAAGTATCAGAGGCAACACTAGTTGCTCTTGAGTCTTTAAAGAGTTCTTTCACTATCAGAACTGCAGCTAGATTTGCATTTTCCCGACTCATCGGCGTTAGAGGATCGAGAAATCTACCACAACTACCTAGATGGATCGATGGTCTACTTACCGCTACTTCCTCAAAGGATGAAATGGCACTATTCCTTCGGCTTTTGGATCAAGTTATCTTCGGTTTTAAGTCGGAGATTTACTCCATTCTCGACACTTTATGGACACCTTTTCTTCAGAGAGTATTTTCTGGTATTGCCGAGCCAATAACAGGCACAGACGATGAGATTCAGCTAGCCGAGCTAAAACGTGAATATCTTAACTTTTTGCTCATGATACTGAATAATGACCTTGGCTCCGTGATCATCAGTAGCTGTAAGTCTTCTCCTTTTAATCTTCAGTCAACATGCTCCCAACTAACATCCGCTTAGCGAACCAATCCATCTTTGAAACCGTCATTTCAACCATTGAGCACTTCGCGAAAGATGCAGATGATTTCCCAACAGCAAAAATGGCATTCCTTGTTCTCGCTAGGATGTCTAGCCTTTGGGGAGGTCCAGATATCGTGGCTCCGGTGAATGGCACCAACACTACCCAACAAGAAACCGCCCTGCCTGGGTTCGCCCAGTTCATGATAACCCGCTTCTCTCCTCTATGCTGGGCATTACCAATGAATTCCTCGTTTAATTCCAAAGATGCCCAGGCAAAGCAGGTCCTTGGAGAAGCAGCAGCGATGCAAAAGGTGATCTACTCAAAAACTGGCCCTGAGTACCTTCAATGGCTCCGAACGTCTGAATTACCAGGAATGGGGATGGGAGAAGACCTGATCAATGAATATGTATCATCTTTAGAGCAGCTAGATGTAAAGGCTTTTCGGCAGTTTTTCCAGGTAAGCTAATAACCCCTCCCCAACATTCTTCCCATAACCGTGGCTAATCGGGAAACAAAATAGGCATTTATACAACGGTTAAGCGCATGATACTAGCGATATCTTCCATGTTCCATCTGCTCCATTTATCATCTCATCTATCGCATTTGCTCGAACGATTATTGGTGGAAGCGGCCTCTTATCATCAAAAATAAGAAAAAAGTTACATTTGCTCTTCGCTAAGCTATTAGCATACGGAGTGTCCTGGATCATATACTTTGTTGCAACTACAGTTCACCTTGCTAACCTCCATATATCCTGCCATTTCTTCGCCACTATAACTTTTAACCAGTTATCCCTCTCCCCGATTTGGGAATTCCCCCAAGACCCTGTTTAATCAAACAAGCGATTTACGAGGCATATTCGCTTTTTGACCAACTTAAAGCCATGTTTTGATGTTTTTGCTGATTCGCCAGCCTTTGATCCTGTTATTTTCTCGCTTCACTTTGAGAACCTTCTTGTCTGCTACACGACCGTCGTTCCATTCAACTTGCGATTGGATGTAGCTAGGAAGGACAAAGGATGGAGAGCTTGGCAATGCAAGTTAACAATCGATGAGGTTAGCTTAAATATCAAGTCAATTGAAAGAAAATTTACAATAGAATAGAATACTAGGCATTGCGATAGGTATCCATTTCAACTAGCCATGTAACAAGAAACCCCACAAGTCACTAACTTGATCGTGCCATTACGAGACTAAGAAACCTTCAAATAACCATGGGATACGTGCAGACTGCATCTCAAGCAAATAGATACTGAGCAGCAAAGTTCACATGGTCCGCGGCAAACGTGGCTATAGTGTAGTAACTATGGTCATAATCAGGTTGGAAACGTAGGTATATCTCGGAGTCCACACCAGCTTCCTTTGCAGCAGCAAGGAAATTCTCTGGTAGAAGCTGCTTTTGGTTATAGAAATTATCACCAGTGCCCTAGAATTGTGAGATTTATTAGCTTGGTGTTGCTATATTTTCATAATACTGTACTCGCACAAAAATATATATAAAATGATAACTACCAATGGCGACAGGGAGACTACATACCACGTCAATCAAGATACTGAGAGGGCCCTTCCATTTTTTGACTAGTTCCGTGGCGTCATGCTCATTCCACTTGTTCTTGTCACTGCCGAAATAGCCCTCAAAAGCCTTTTGACCCCATGGACAGTTGATGGGGTTTGCGATTGGTGCAAAAGCTGAGACTGATTTATATTTCCCAGCATTTTTTAAAAACTATAACCAGATCAGTTAGATCATGTAGTAAAGGATGTGTTGGAAAGGGGCTAGAAGCTGAAATCCATACAAGAGTCAGGGCACCATGTCCCCCCATGCTATGGCCGGTAATGCTGACTCGACTGGAGTCTAGCTGTGGAAACTCGGTAAAGGCGACTTTGGGAAGTTCTTCCGTAACATAGGTATACATTTTATATCCCTGATCATATGGAGCTTTGGTGGCATCAACGTAAAATCCTGCTCCGGTACCAAAGTCATATGCATCATCTTCACCAGTAATACCCAAGCCGCCTATGATAGCTCAAAGTTAGCCAACTAGTTACCAAAAACCATGTATGCGGGATCTTCGAGGGTCGTACGAGGGCTGGTATCGGGATATACAATAGCAATTCCCTTTAAACTAGCTGCATTTTGAAGAAATCCTTTCTCCGAGCAGTTATCCGGTGTGCAAGTCAGTCCTGATAGGAAGAATAGAACTGGAGCCTTATATCCAGAGTCCGACAATGCTTGTGGCGGGAGATAAACGTTGAACGCCATTTCACATTTGGTAGAGGTGGCATTATGAGAGAGCTTCAATAATTTCCCCCCAAATGAGGAGATGGTGGCTTTAGTTGTGACTGCCATGCTGTTGGTAGATCAATTCGTCACAGTTTCCAAACCTGTCGCTCTTCTTCCGGTATGGTTGATACGTTGTTGCTTTGGTGTTTGTAGTTCAAAGGTGAATATAAAGTTGGCAGCTCGGTGGTCAGTGCGGGGCTTCCTTTCCCGATTCTCCCCCGCACCACAAAGTGTCATTCGTCTTGAAGTTGATAGTTAACCAAATACAAATGGAGAATCAAGTTGATATAGAATGAAATACACTTGATAGCTTATATATATATGTACACGACTAATAAGCCTTCCAATTGCTCCAATGCAAAGCTCTTCCAGCGTCTGCTATGTCAAAACCATGGGTATATTCTAAAAGCATGAGAGCATTATCATAAACGTAAGTAAAAAGGAAAGGGCAGCAAAATACATCGCTTATTTCAAAAACACTGGAACTCCATACACAACCGGCGCTGCTCCATTCAAGTATTTGAGAATACAAGTATCTCGGGAGCCAGCTACAGCTGTGTCCAGGCCCACTTGACCGGTGTATTTAATACCTGAGGGAGGTGGAATGGGCTTTTTCGAAGTCAGGGTCGGGGTTGGAAAAAGGCCCCACTGCTCAAACACAGAGGCAGTGAACCGATCAATGTCCTTATCAGTCACGTCCCAGAGAGTTGCCACCAAAGCCGGCGTTCCAGCGTGCATATAATTCCATGGGGTTCCGTATGGCTCGAAGTCACCAGCCTCCGTCATCGCACCACTGCTGCATCCCATAAGGAAGGTCACAGAACACTTATCTAGCCTTCGAATTGTACGGCCACGGATATACTGAGCACCACTGCCATGTCCGAAGTATAGCAGGATGTCCTTAGTTTGCAATGATGCCTCAAACTCCTCTTCCGTTGGCGCCGTCTTTACTCGGCCGGCCCAACCCTCCAATGCAGAAAGTGATTCCTTGAAGAGAGCTTCCGTGGATTTGAGATCACCGGCTGGATTCAGTAGATAAGTGCCGCTATTTCGACTAGCATAGAACCCGAATTGGCCACCTTCATGCCTCTCTTGGGGTGTAAGTCGTAGTATCTGATCTCGCACGCTGTCGAGTGAAGGCATGCGCGAGACAGAGCAATTTCTCAGGCATTCCATAGATTCCCAGGGAAATGCATGGAGTGACTTGTCAAGAATCAAAATCGTGTGTCGGGATGGTGTTGGTGTTTGCTCCCACTTGCAACCATCCGCGTACCGGTGCAGCAAATCTAGCGTTTCCACCACCATCATGTCAAAATCTATTTCTTCATAAGCGTTTGTCTCGCCATGGAACTGAAGAATATCAACAATGTAATATAACAGATCCATAACAGCATCTTCTGGATTCATCTCATCGTCAAGTCTGCCGATATTGACAAAAAGCTCCATCACCCAGGGATCAAAGGCTGGGTATTTAGCCTTGGATTTCCCTCTTTTCTCCTTTCTTGACGGAAGGTGCTTGTCAAGGATTTTGCCGAAGGAAGCTATAAATTTCCCCAGAAGCAGATCATTCCTAGGAGCCTGGGAAAATATGCCACGGAATCCTCCAAACCATATAGTCTCAATGTTTTGCAAAAGATCTTGTAGCTGTTTGTCAAGATCCTCTCGGGTTTCCCACCACGCTTTCTTTTCCTTCTTACCAAGTGCTGTGCCCGTATTATGAGCGCTTGCATTGGCAAGGCGAACGATTTCTAAAAGTTCTGCTTTTCCCTCCTGGAAACTAAACGTATTATCGTCCATGTCATCCTCACCACCTCTTTTGAGCGGTAGACGCAAAATCAGCGGACATTGGCCAGACCGCAGTTTGGATATAATAAATTCATCTTGACTGGGACAAAGAGTCATCGATATGACATCCCATTCCTCTGGGAGGATATTAATGTATTTTCCCATGAACTGACCCTCCTCCGAAGGCACTACATCCAAGTTAGCCGATGGTAGGGTGGGCCAATCTAGACGGCTCATCTGATTAGATAGCTCCTTGTCGGACACAATTGACAGGCGATCGCGCGAAAATGCAGAATTACGTCCCATCTCTAAACCCACATTAGTACAACGAAACTCGAGTTTATGTGCAGGACAACATACCAATAGAATGGGCAATGAGGCATGGATCTACATCAGAATTTCGTGCTGCCGACGTTGCAAAGGCTAGCATTGACGTTCGACTTCGAAGATAAGAAGTTTCATGACCCTCCTTACTAGATCCATGTCTAGATATTGGCAAAGAGATGTCTGCAAGAACTTTGCTAGCGGTGGACAGGGTTTCCGAAAAGTCGCATCCGGAATTAGTGCCAGACTTCGCTTTCTTTCCCGCCCGTGGCTTTGATCGTGAGCTTTCTTTCAAGCCTTGGCCCCCCGGATGTAGCGATGGAACTGAAATAGTCGACTCCGGGAGAACACAGTAAATGGAATGCCCCGAGAGCTGCTCCACCGCTATCCCCAGCATATAGTGGACCCTACATAGGTTATGGCTGGAGATTGCCGTTTCTGTGCTAAGGATCTTATCGGCTTGGTCAAGTAAATCTATAACTTGCTCAAACTGTTGAGATGCAAGTAAAAGCATGGCTTGTTTCCTGAGGAGGCTGCTTTGAAGTCGTGTAGCGAAGGTTTGATTTTTTATAGTTTCCGATTCGGTAGGAATTGGCGTTTTTGACCGGGCGGCTGCTTTTGTTTGGCGTGGTTTTCTAACACTTTGAGAGCGCGTAGCGCGGGTAGTAGAACGAGTGGTCGATTTTTTGGGGGAAGAAATAACCATATTCCTCGTTTCTTCAACTATGCCCTTCATGGGATCTATAAAGGGGTCTAGAGAATCCACAGCATTGTCATTGGTAAAGCCCAGAAGAGCGTTAATGGAATCAGAAACAACGCGATAAGCGCATTCAGCTTCCTCTCGATGGACATGGAGGGATGCTAAATGCATATTGACTGAAATTGACTGGAGGGAATTGCATCCTTCTTGAGCGAGATGTTGTACTTTCTCAAGGAGTTCAACTCCTTTGTGTGTACGACCCCCTCGAATAAAACGATCACCCAGCTCTGCCTTAATGAGGGAGGATAGCGCTTGAGCATCAATAGCATCACAAACCGCTATTGCTTGTTCTCCATGGTAGACTGCATCCTGGAAGATTCCATTATGATCTGATATCCTTGATAGCTGAAGTAGCGCTGAAACGTGAGAAGACAAATACGGCCAGTAAATTGAGCCCTCGAAGTGACATTTTGATGGTTTGCTGCCATTCGTATCAATGTTGAGAGTTGCTATACCATCTGCTAAGGAGTCAGGGTCAGAAACCTTATCCTTACACTGCTTGCCGGACTTTGCTTCCACATATTTCTCTAACCTAGCCCATAATCGGCTACTGAGCTTGACAGCACGCTTTGCATAGTAAGCTGCTTCATTGGGATATCCATCGCCGTAGAAAGACCGAGATAATATAGTCGCAGCGTCCGTTGCCAGCCGCTCAACCACAGCCCTCGTTTGGAAACTTTCCTTTGAAAGGTCGCCTGAAATGCTGTCAAATACTGGTTGAACTTGGAATATGCGTTCCATGCTACGTGATCGTTAGTGATTAAATCTGTGAATATGATGGTGTATTGCTATCCATACCTCTTTGAATGCTCCCCTCTCTCTAGACTATATTCTGCAGAGCTCAGATGCCAGGAAAGTAGGACATGAGGAGATATTGTATGTTCTTCAATAACCGCCTTAGCTCTTGTAAGCAGATGGTGGGCCTTTTCTGAATACCCTAGCCGACAATACTGGAGTGCCATGGATGAATAACAAGCAACCATCATTGAGAAGTCGGGTCTATCTTGCAACATAAGAAGTTGACTGATAGTAGCAAGGGCGGATAGCCTCAATTTCCACAGCCCTCTGACTTCGAGATAATCTGATAGACCTCGTAAATGATGGATTAAAGAGAGGGGGTCCCCGATCCGGCTCTGAACAGCCTCCCACGACTCGCAGCCTTGGATAACAACAACCCAGGTCTGAATGGCGTTCTCAAAAACATTTAGAGGCGTTGCACCCGAATAGAATGCCACGGTAACCATCAATGACGCCTGAAGATCATCCCGAAACAGAACTAAGTCTTTATCTTTAGACGGTAAAATGGAAGAAGATAAGCACTGGGCTGCTTCGGTAAGAAGAAATTCGGAGAACTCCTTGCTACAATCCGCATTATTTTCTAGTAGGAACTGCAGGGTTTGATGTATAATCCTTGTCCGGCGGATTGGGTAAGTATCCAAGGGCAATAAAGTGAGGATTGTGGATAGTAGCGATGGAAGGGATTCAGTCACTAGAGTCGACGTTGTGAGGCTATACAATCCCATGAGAATGCTCAGCTGTTGCTCAAGCAGAGTTGCCCGTTGGCATGATTCGAGGTCTTCAACGTCATATATGACTGGGTTTGTCCGTGAACCATGTTTGATTTGCTCCTTAACGTAGCAATTTAAAGCCCGGCCGAGTGCATATGCAGGTCCCTTAGGGTCTTTCCAGATATGACGCGGGTGTTCCTTAGAGGACAATTGGCAGGCATTTTCTAACACCCCAGCCTCAAAATGGGCGTGAAATGCTGATATATACGCCTTGGACGATTTTTTTGACAGGCCGATATCCGAATACAAGGCTGCCTGCCTCTCAAATTTAATGGCGAGTAGCCCCGATGTTTGTTCCTTAAGAGCGGAATGTCCCAGGATACTAGTAGCCTGTTCCACGGGTAAAAGCAGCTCAGCAGGGTCCTTAGCAAGGTCTTTATACTGCATATAAGTTGCCCAATATAAATTTGATATTCTCAGTAGTCGCACTGATGCATCGCTAGATGGGCAGCTCTCTAGTTCACAAAACGGCCCAAGTTTCTGTATTAACTGACTGAGGGAGACACAGACGGGGAGGAGAGCCTCAACTTTGGTCCATGCCAGCGAAGATCCGCCTAATGAAAGTTTCCCAAGAGCAATAACTGAATCTATCGCCGCTAGAACAATATTGCTAGATCTTTGTAGATACCGAGTCACTGCATCCACATCATCTTGTTGGTAAGCGTGGGCTGCCGGTGCTAGGTATCGTATAAGAAACCTGAGAAAGCTCATCAAATAACCTAGCGCCGAATCATAGGTTGCAGTTGGGGCCTCCAATATTCTGGGCGCGGATTCCGTCTGAGATATATATTTCATAACCGCTTTTTTAAGTAGAGCACTTTCCATGAGTAGCTCGTCCAGTTCAGTCTGGTTACCCTTCATGGACGCAGTCAAATCCGTTGCAGCTTTATTGACAGCCTCGAAAATTTCAGACTCTGAAGTAGACCGTGCCTTTGCCGATTCAACCTTTAGCAAAGCTCTTCTACACTGGCATATTGCGCGTTGCAATGGTCGTGTATCCGTGAGCGACGTAGAAGAAACCTCACAAAGTTCAGCTGCGATTTCTAGCCGCCCAGCGCTGTAAGCTATTTGGCCAAGTGTTTTTGCAACTGTAGCCATTGACGAAGATTTGTGTTCGCCATTTACCAGGTACTTGTATGACTCCAGCCGCGCGTTCAACTGTTTAAATGCATCCTGAATGGCATCAAACTCATGCTTTTGTGAATTAGGGCACCGTCGAACATAAGTTGAAATGAATCGAGAAAGGGGACCCCAAAGTTCTTTAGTTAGATCGCATTTATGGCCGGATAATTTCCACCAAATGGAGCGGATTTCCAATGCCAGGAACTGCAACAGCAAGGGGATTGTTGGGTTTTCTGCGCGGGCACCGGGAGCTTGCTTTTCCTCGGCAGGAGAGAGTATGATTGAGAAAGTTAGAATATTTTGCGAATGAGATTGGAGTTGTTGGGCTGCCTTATCGTCAGTAATGCTTCCGATTTTATTTGCCGCTAGAATGGTATTGCTAGGGCTACATGGGTTCCCTAGACGAAGTTGCTGAAAAGCTTTATGACTCGTGCTGAGGTTCCCTTCGGTTATAAGAACTTTAAGAGCATAGGATTGAAAGGACATCAAAAGCTGTAAAAGTGGTCCGTTTTCAGGCAGGGCCCGAAATTCCAGAAGCGATTCCAGCGAAGAGTTCTGCAAATCCATATACCTTTTCTGCAGCCCATTGGTTCTTTTTGTCCGCTCCGCTTCGATGGCAGCCTGAATAGCAGATTTCAGCATCCAGAGTCCCTTTATGGCCAATCCATGAAGTCCAAGGATCAACAGCTTCCCAACTAGTATATTTATTCCCTGGCCGAGGTGAAGGTTGTTAGGGTCGAAGCTGTCTTCGGAAACTCGAATATCGCAGAGAGCCTCCAGTGATAGCATGGCACATTCCGCAATTAGACTAATTCGACCTTTCCCATTGGATTTAGTATAATCCTCGGTAGTTCCCTTCAGGTTGTCCGCCTGCTGCACCTTTGGGTTAGACGATGTTGGCTGCAACGGCATTTTCGTTGGGCTGGTGGTCCTGACTCGTTGACTTCCATTTTCTCCAGCTGTCCTAGCATTGCGTGAGCCTGAAGTTTTCTTGATATGTTCGGAGAGCAGCTTTGATGCGATATTGAACACTTCGGTCGCAAGAACAAGCTTCTCGTGTTTTGACAATACCGGCAGCTTGTCGTCGTTCGCTGGATCTAGAGGAGCAATATTCTTCGTAGCACCTCGCGCCTTGACGGGTCGCGTAGATTTTGAAGGCGGCTTGCTTGTCGTCGCTCGTTTCGATGGTTTCGCTTCCTTTGGCAGTTCATCGTTCACAGCACCTATAAGCAGCTGTCGCAAAGTGGTCACGGTTGTGCTCGAGCATTTCGACGGGTGCTGGAGGTCAAGCTTGACCGAGTCGGTCAGTGTAGGAAGCAATATCCCACCCATTATCTCGTATAGATATCAGAAACCGTGGATCTCTGGTGTTCCTCGCACGCGCATCCCATCGTCATCTCATCCTTGGTGTCTTCTTTGCCGTCCAGGATGAAGCTTCGTTGTTGGCTTAAACATCAAGCAGATTTGGTTGCCCGGCAACGCCTTGCTTATATAATAAACACGTGACTATATTTTAAGGCTCCAAGGTTTTCGAAACACGAAGCGTGAAAGATTCAAAGGAGGACGAGGACATCAAATATCAACCAGCTATTTCTCCTTGCTCTCCGTGATTCCTGGCTCTGATTCAGAAATCACGTTCGCACCGTCAAGATGGCCACTATATTGTCTAGGTCGCCTCTGAGGGCGGCAATCCTATCGAAACGACTCGCAATTGTTCCTCGAACAAACCCTAGCCAATCTCATTTCACACACCAGCAATACCAATGGATCTCAACTGGACAAATGACACCCAAAATTGCCGATGCATCGATGTGGAATTCGGTAATACCTAAATTTCTACGGAGTGGAAGTCAGAAAGGACCGAAACATGGCGCAGATGTGGGAATCATGGAGCGACATCCTTCAGTTTTCTACATCCTCATGTTCATATTAATTGGGTCTCAAGCAATCCATCTGCTTCAACTTAGAACCTCCCACGAGAATTTCTTGCGAAGTACAAACTCGAAGATTCGCCAACTAAGCGAGGTCATTGATAAGCTCAAAAACGGCGAGGACGTGGATGTGAGGAAAACCCTTGGTACAGGAAATAAGGCCTCCGAGGATGAATGGGAAGAAGGTACTTATATTACCGTTGTTTTGTCATAATCGGCTATCTGAGACCAAAATAATGGTTATGCTGACTTCTGCGGCTAGTACTGAGGGAGATCGAACAAGAGGAGCTGGATTGGAGGTCCAAGCTTGATGCCATACAATCGAATGAAAACCTTCAGCACTCCGATACTACTGAAGACTCAAGCACGCCGAAGCGCCCCCCACAGTTCTACTAAGCCCGCCCGATAACTTCTCTCTCCTAGGCAGCTCCAAGTCTCCTCTCAAGATCCAAGGTTCCGTCTATATTGCAGCCACCTGAACGTGATTTTCCGCGCCCATTTTTACTGAATCACGGGATGATCCTCGCCTCTCTCATCAATTCCAGGACGTTAACCCATGTATCTCGTGGACTCTCCTCTTCCAGAAAGCCCGTGGATCTCAACTTCTGAAGATCGAGGTGCCGGTCGAAATTTAATTTGGTCAAGCCCCAGTTCTCCGAACCGTCCATAGATGGGGAAGCAATGTTCCACGTCTTTAGACCATACTCTTGTATCATACTCTTATATTCTACCTCATGGGATTGAATATATCCGTCCGGTCCTGGTGATGACGTTTTGCTTTTTTCATTATCCACTGGTGGCCCCGCGATAAGCCCAAACCATTCGCAAAGAGGTGGCCATTTCATCTCCCAGCTCCACGGTGTCTGCGAAGAAGCTACATTGAACCCTTCCCCTTTGATCCTTGGGTCAGGGTGCAGGGACAAGTGAATGGAAGCTTTCGCGATCATTTCCGCCCCAGCGTCGCTTGACAACGCTTTCCATGTTCCGAGGCTGCCGGGAAACGGGCATACCGCGCCTTTCCCGTTGATGAATTTATACAATGATAAGAACATGGCGATCGGGTAGACCGCATTATACGAATTCATCCTTGGAACAAATCCTAAGATGATAATATTCTCAGCATATTCCTTCTCAGACGGAAAATGATGCTTTTGGGAGGACAAGCCAGCCGGGTTATCATACCTATAACTTCATCAGGCCTTGTTTCACACCACTTCCATGACTTGTCCATTGAATATTCGTGCATCCATTTCGTCCACACTGGGTAGTGAAGCCTATCAAGTAGTGACTTTCGCAATGGGGGCAACGTTTCCGCAAGAGGAGCAGCGTGGTAAAACTCATCAGTGAAGCATACACCATATATAAATGTCCCATATTGAAGGTGAATAAACTCGAGCTTAGGAGCAAGGCTTCCAATCACCACCACAGTTTTCTGGAGGGATTTGAGGCTTGCGGCAAATGGTTCATCGTTATCATTATTAGATGGAGGATCTTGTACTGGCGGTCCAACGAAAGATGTCAGTGCATTCTACCGCAAAAGTTGACTTTGACCTACCGAGATAATAAAGATGTGTCACAGTGTGTACATCTATCACTTCTCTCCGAAATTTTTCCTTCAGTATCTGCTCCTGGTCATTATGTATATCGAAACCTGATATAAGGCTAAAAGCTGGATATTCACGACTCCGAGGCCAGTAGGAGACCTCTTCTCTGCTCATCGGCTTCCTGGTCACTCCTGTAACACGGCTCCATGTGCCGGCTCGTGGATAGCCCTGCAGCAGCTGATTGACGAATGACCAGCCTGATATGCCCGATGCACCCAGAACTAGGGCATGTTTGGTATTTGGAGCTGCCATTTCAGATACAATCCCAGGGCCAGCAGATTATTTTTCCCCGTCAAAAGAATGTACGGTGGCCTGATCATTGTCGGTACGCCTTTGCGAGGCTTTAATGTGCAGATGGGGAGCCATGATCTAATCTAATCTCGGCGAATACGAGCTTCACGCACATAAGGATTAATGAAGGACTCAATAAATCAGTACATCTTAACGTGCATGGTCTATAACTACATAAGCAGGTAGAAAGTGTTGATCTAACACATGGATATACTGTTTAATACTACCTGTACTTTGTAAATGCGAGCGAAGGAAGGAAATGCTCAGCCGCCGGCATCAACAGGGGACTGCATATCGGCACAGCCTATTGATAACGATATACACAGGAAATGCAGCAGCGCACAGTGCAGATATGTATGAAGCATTGAATAATTCCTTGATAGCCAACTAGAGCGATGCTATGAACAGCCACGAAATCCATGTTGCCTGGCTCCATTAACGAATGACCTGCTGCGGGTGGCTGAGCCTCCTTCGATCCGATTTCTAGGCGCCAACCAGTTAAATACTTCGTTAAGTTACCGAACTTGACTGGCTGGCTAGTTAGTTAGTTAACTACTGCTATGCGGCGTAGTTCATCACTGGCCTCAAGGCTGAACTTGACGGGCTTGTAAGTATATCGGGCGATGAAGAGCTATGTGAGAATCGCCTTGCAGCCTGTTCATTCTAACCATGGACCAGATATAACTTCCTCTTCTTCCTCGACCAGCTGAAGAAGGTCGTTCCATAACCAGCTAACTATGATGCCGCATCTCAACGTCAATTTCTTTCAAAGGGCCATGAACTCCATTTGCTGTGCTGGAATATCAAGAAAGAGAGAGGTACCCGAAGAAGCACAGAAAGGAAAAGACATGGCACTGCTAGCCAGCATTGAAGATGGCACCTTTGCTACCCTCAGTGATACCCACGTTATTAAACTCTTTGGAGCCACCTTCGACTGGGAGCTCGGCCGCCTGAAGCACGCAAAGCCCACGGTGGAATCCTCGAAGACAACAACGCTAGGGAACCTCGACGATGATGGCCTTACTCCTTCGCGGCTCTTATTTGGAGAAGATTTTGTAGAAGTCAACCGGACACTTGTTGCAATGCTCGCCTTGAAGTGGCTATGGTCTAATGATTACGACTCGTTCACCCGTCACCAGAACCAGACGCGAAAGCTACAACCTGAATCATTTGAGAGACTGCATGCCATTTTGTCTGGGGGCCTTCCGCACCCACATGAGATATACGCTCTTCTCGTCGCGATTGTGGTCAACGACCTTGGGAAAAATGATACCCTTGAAATGTCAGTGACGGAGACCACTGGCCAGACATACGATAACCATGACGAAGTCCTTTTAGCGGCTGCTAAAGCTCAACTAATACCCTCGATCAACACGCTTAGATCGGATATGAGGTCAGATCTGATGCTGGGGCTTGAAGTTGGCTCAAGCTTTAACCTAGCACAGTTGGCTCAGGGGGAGAATGTACCCGCAAGTCTCGAAAGCATATATACGATGCGTGACAGAGAGAGGGCATTTTTTCTGAAATATATGGAAGTTCTTTTGGATATTGCAGGAGCTGCCGGCCATATAGACTCTCGAAGTGCAGGTGCGATGGCCGAACCGGTATTTCGAAGCTATCTCGCGGTATACGACGCCCTAGTTGGAGCTATTAGTGGGATCTTCTCTCTAAACCAAGCATACGATCATGTTTTGACTTGCCGGGCAAGGATTCTTAAGGATACCGGGTTCAGGACGCTATCGGCTCGCAAACCGGATGAACGAGCTTTGCTACGACTGATGACAATGGGGCGAGTGGCTGATATATCATTGGCAGCCTACTTCTCAGAAGCATTTGACAACTTACCAAAACACATAAGAAAGGACTTGGTTGATGGGTTAGGCGCTGATGGTCTGAATATGAAACCCGCTATCCTACCGTACTATGCCCCTGGATTAATTGCAGAGGCGCTGAGAAACTGCACTGGCAGCTCAGAAGATACAAAGAGGCACGCTATAGGGGCGTTGATGCGGTTTCTTGCCCGGGTTTACAGAGAAACAGCGCCAAAAGCACTTGAGTACCAGCAGGAAACATCTCCAAATGTGATTGAGGTTGACTTGTCCTTTACACAGATGGTAGTATCAGGTGAAGATTTCAGACTAGATCCCACTGTATTAGATGCAGTGCCAATCCCTAGGCGGCAAAGACATGAATGAATCAGAACTATCTTATCACTTGATCTTTCAGGGTATATCTCCAGTTCCTCCATTTCGAAGGACTAACGTATCAAAAAGGCTTCCATGGGGCTTCGTCTCAAGATTTACCGTAATTACCTCAAGTCAGTGCCATAGTAAAGGCAGCTGATGGAAGCACGGTCCCCCCTGAAGTTATTCAAACATATTGCATGGCGAAGAGTAAAAGGAGATGAGAAAAAAAAGTCTCACAGACGCTATGGGCAACATGCATCGGAGTGGTTATTTGCAAAACAAAGGAAAAGAAAACATTATGAAATGGTGGTAAACCAACCCCCAGAAAGACGAGGGGGATAAAGAAAATAAAATTAAAAGCAAAGAAAAGAACCCAGCGGAATAACAGGTCCCTGGCACACATGAATGTTGATATCAAAATCGAAGAACGCGTAACGCCGTTAACCGTCGTACTCCTTACGAGACGGTACAAGCTGAGATCGGCGCGCTTCTGCCATCAGCCGATCCTTCTCACCAACGGCGTCCCAGTCTGGATCAGTACGGTGTGCATATGCACGCTCAAGCCAGTTCTCCCACGCCTGGGTTTGCGGAACCGCACCGCTTACAACGACCCAGTTGATCTCCTCCGTGGCGTGGATAGCATACCAGAGAGTCCGTGTGAAGCTTGGCTGGGCGCCATCGCTTCCAATCTCATGGGCCCTCTTGACGTTGTCCGGAGTAACGTCTTTCCAATCATAGCGAGACATATCCCATATCCAACTCTTAGGCATCAACGATGATCCCCAGTACATGGCGTTCATGAGCATGTAGATTGCGGACACAACAGCCTGCATAGTCCACTCACAATTGCCGAGTAGCACGACGGAAAACATAATGAGGAACGTCCCAATACCAACTAGAACTCTTGACCACTGTTCGCTTAGCGAGTAGTTGCATTCCTCCGTGCCGGTATAGAGCTCGCGAGCTAGCTCCTCGGTGCATCGTACGACAATGAAAGCCCCCTCACGCGTCCGTATGATGATATCTCCCCGTGGCACAACTGCAGATGACGGCCGCACGGCCAGATGAGGTTTCCAGTAAAAAGCAAATCCGTTCAGCGTTGATACCATCGACATCAGGAAGATTGCGACGGCTGCCGTCCCGTCCCTTATGAGCAGGGCCCAAGCAAAGGCGCACGCGGTCATCAGAAAAGACGAAATGGTGATCAGGCTCAACGGCGACCACTTGTTCGGACTAATCGCATATTTACTTCCATGCTTGTGCGGAGGCGGCACAGACACAGGTCTCTTTGACCGTAGACCTTCGGGCATGATCAGCCGTTCCAGCTTGATGCTCTGTGATTTCTCATACTTGGTCCGTTTCTCGGCCCAAGAGATCTCGTACACAACCACTTGGTACGGCTTCAAGTCGGCGATTGGGTGAATAATATTGGGGAAATAGTTCAACTCATTTACCAGTGTCCCTGAATGCACGCCGCAGACCACTGCTGGAGGGCTTGGAAGCCTCACTGGCCGTGTTGCACGGAGCAAGGCCTGCGGTGCTGGTATTAAACGTGGCAGTAGAGACAGCTTAGACGCAGTCAGAGGCTGGGCCTGATCAGCCACGGACGACTCCCCAAGCACGGCGAGAAGGCCAACACCTTCGAGTCGCCATCCCGCTGTATCGAATCTCTCAGTCGGAAACCATCCAGGCATTGCCTTTCGCGCTGCCTGTCTACCGGCCGGCGCGAGTCTGGAGGTTTGGAGCCCCTAAATGATTACTTTTTCTCTTCGATTTCCAGGATCACTAGTTAATCAAGTAAAAATGTCTTTCAAATTCGATATAATTCCAGCTCCTCTGTGATAAGGTGTGCAAAAACAAAGCCTTCAGCTTATTAACCACCTAAGTTCTGGGGCCGTCGCGAGATCTACGCGATCGTTCTTTGATTTGCCATCAGGCCAGCAACACGGATAACTATCGCTATGGATAACCAACCAATGGAGTGTGATGCAATTCCACATACAGCTAGAAGACAGCAGAAGTTTACGAAGGACTCAACCGTGAGCTCTTTTGGCTTTCTTGTCTCATTTGTTAACGACTCAAAAAATGTGGGTGTGGATCTTCACGAGCTCGTATTTTGCCGCGGATTGCTATAAATATTAACCATTTAGGCAACCGGGAGTAATCTCGGAATTTTGATGCGAGCAAAGCAGCTCAACCTAAGATTATGTATGGGTAGTGTCTGGAGTCACTATACAAGGATGGTCAATATGCGTCGGCAAGTTATTTCGGGGCCAACGGTCCATATAACTAACTAGCTGGTAAACTAGACAACTTAGTGCTCCGAACCTACGGGTCGGTCTTTGGCTCTGATGGGGGACGGGCACCCCCGGGGGAGGGTTAATTACAGATGCAAGCCTTGAAACGGTGCTTACTCAATACCCTATTACCCCATGGAGTCAACCGGTTCAAAGCGGTACCCTTATAAGGAAACCCCTTAAGCTAGGGTCCAGCTACATTTTGAGGGACTAAAAAATCTCTGATCTCGAACAGTCATTTGATTCATTTTTTTCAGAAGCTATAATCTAACTACCTTGTCGGTACTCCATACTGCTGGGTGTCTTGAATTTCCAGCCTATTCGCTGTAAGGCATTCAGTAGGTGAACCCCATGAACTGGATTGTAAGCATGGCTGAGATCTAGGTTGTTCTGGGAGACAAGCACCTTAAACACATGAATCGCGCATCATGCAGTTAATCCTTTCATTCTCACAAGGTGGAATACAGTTACTATTAACTAGCTCATATGGAGCAGTTGGCGGGTATTGTGAATAGAATTTCGGAGTATCCGAAAACGCACGGTGAAACCGGAAATTCGTACGAATATCCCACTGGGTTTTCATACCGCGGAGCAACAATTCTGGTCTCAAGGACAACGCACCTTTCCAGTATAAACCAATACACTGGTGTATCGAATGGCATTAAGTTCCCGGGCCGTGGGCGACCACTGCATCCAATGTCTTTATAAGGAATACACGAAGAGTAAGCCGACCAGCAAACTAATACACGAAGGGGGCTTGATTACATTTTGAATTGAATAATCTGGATGCCAATATCTCCTAACGCAGGCCATCCGTTACAGTTTTCTGGGCAGATTCCATGCCGCTAGGCCTGTCATTCGCTAAAATGCCCATATTTAGACTTGAATTGCCCTGGCCCGCGTAGTATTGAGAGGAAGGAACATAACACCCTGTAATCATGCCATATATCCGATAGACTTGGCTCAGAGAGCGAACTGTATAATAATACTGGAGCTATAACGGCATCAGCACCTTATCGACAAGGCCGCTGAATGTCACTTCCCATAGGTCCCTTGATATTCTTCTCTTCCATGGCCTCAATAGGTATCAGGTATCATTGCCATCTAAAAGGCATGTTAGCGAATTTGAAAAATCATAAAGGCAAAAAGCCTACCTAGCCCTAATGACGCTTCAGAGGAAGCTATAGATGAGCTAAACACTTCAAGCAGCACGGTGTCGCTGGAAGAACTCCCACGTTTGTTCCCTCTTGGTCGGCCGAGAGGCAAGGGCACACTGTACACATAGTCTAACCGGAGTCTTGCACATTGCTTGCACCCAATATCTTCTAGAGTTCTCATATATTCGCTCTTCAGGCTCTGGCACTTATCACAGAAAAAAATTGGTGCCAAGGGTGTTTCGGGTGCTGAGAGCTTACACTGCATCAATGTTGCGCACCATTTGCTATAACTGTTGGCTGTTAAATATGAGCAGTGCAGTAATTCTGGACTGTGAAATAAGGCCAATTGGATAACCCTATTAGCCTTTCTTTTTAGTTTTCAGGTTTCTATAACCTGCCCTACTTACCAATGACTTGCAGAGCTGATTGTTTTCGGATTTTGAAGTCACAGTATGGTACAGCGATGTGCTGTTAGATAAGTTGTACAATGCAGGGAGACAAGGTAAAGGTACAACCGGCTTGGGAAGGCTAGGTTGTTACGGCCGTAGTTATACTATCAGATCTGGAGGAGGCCCAAAGACGAGCATGGGCCGAGCTGAATCAGTGGTGACGGACTGATAGTATATCCGAAATCAAAGGTGTAGGCCATATCCAAATCAGTTATTTTCCTACTGCATTAAAGTTATATAGTGGTTGCCATTAGCCGTTGACAGTATCACAACCATGTGTAATGCAGTGCTCAGGAGTTCGCATGGTGCCGTTGTTTTATTTCTCATACCGAGGAATATGCATGAAGTGAGCCAAAGTAGCTAACTGATTAACGAGTTAGTTAACATTATCCATTGCATTTATTAGCTACCAGCCTACCTTGATACAAAATACAACAGTTGGATTATCCTTCTCACAGGAAGGCAAAGAGTCCGGCATCGCCTTGAAATAGTCAGAGCCAGGATAAGAGGGGAGGTTGAGTTGACGATAAATTAAGCTTCGAGTGTTGTTTTGACGTTGCGGGACCAACCGCGGCCAGCGAAGCGCGAATCACGGCGCTTAATTTTACTGCTTGTGCGCGCCAACGGAACGTCCAAACCTTGGAAGCAACAGCACTCGACAAGAAAAGACGACTGTTAGCTCGATCCCGGTATACTCCCCCACATCATCAGGAGAGGCAGCAGCCGACGGCGGTTCCGCAATAGCGTCACAATACTCCGGTGGGGTCCACCAACTGACTACCATGGCCCAGCCAGAGGCTACGGAACCATGGGAGAAGACTGCTGGAGAAAGTCCTCCAGTCGTACAGCAGCAGACTGCGATCAGATATACACCAGAAATAGCGCCAATCTCCCCGGAAGCAGGAGTTGCAGCGAAAGGTTTGCAGCTCCAAAAGAACGAATCAGCCAGTGATTCGACTTCTCCAGCACTTCTCCAGGTGGTTACAACAGCCCCACCCCCAGAGGCGTTACCTAACCCAAGAAGCTGCGTAACCTGTCGCCGCAGAAAGGTCCGCTGCAACAAACAACATCCATGCTCCAACTGTTTTAAGGCAAAAATCGAGTGTGTGTATCCTAACCCTGGGAGAGCCGCAAGAAAGCCGAAAAAGCCACGTGATACAGAGCTGCTCACACGCCTACGAACATTGGAAAATATTGTAAAGAATCTTGGAGGGCCAGAAGCAATAAATGGAAATTCATCATTACCATTGGAAAAGCCCACCCTAGATCAGGACACCGTTTTTGGAGAGCAAACAAAGGATGAAAAGTACACGGATGTAATGCAACAGGATGTTGCTATCAAAAGCGAAGCCCCTGATTTGAATGAGATTGAAGAAAATATGGGCAAATTAATGGTTGAAGATGGAGGTAGCCAATACGTTAGCCATCGATTTTGGAGCAGCTTTGGAAAAACTGTACGCTTATATCTATTTTCCTGTCAGTTCCCCTATTTTGCTAAAAGTACGAATACTGACGTCTCCCAAGGTGGACGATTTGAAAAGTATACTTGATCCTCTTTCATCGGATGATGAAGATGGTATGGTTGAAGAGCCCGCCTTTGATGAAACGTACGGCGTGAATCATGACGGATTCTTATTCGGGTTTTCATCACTCACCCAAAGCCTTCGTCATTTCCATCCTCCACCTGACCAAGTGGATATTCTTTGGGAGACTTACATTCAAAATATAGCTCCTATGGTCCCTATTTTTCATACTCCTACCTTAAAGCCTCTGCTTTATCATGGTGCTAATAACCTCGATTTGTTGGATAAAAACACAGAGGTAATGATGCTAACTATATACTACACAAGCGCTGCGTCAATGAGTGCTGGCGAATGTCTCTCTCGCCTAGGGGAGACCCGAGATATTGTCCTAGGCCGCTATCGTTTTGCCGTTGAGCAGGCACTAGGTCGAGCAAAAATCCTGCACTCCAGGAGTTTCACCCTGCTTCAAGGGCTAGTTTTGTTCTTGTTATGTGTGAGACAACACGACGATACTCGTTACGTCTGGTCAATGATATCAATTGCCTATCGTATTGCCCAGGGGCTAGGCCTTCAGCGCGATGGAACCCATTTCAATCTACCACCCTTTGAAACCGAGATGCGCAGACGTTTATGGTGGCATATTTGCATCCTTGATTTTCGGGCAGCTGAAGACTATGGCTGTGATCCATTTATTTATGAATCTTCATATGACACTCACTTGCCCTTGAATATCAACGATGACGATATTTCCCAAGATTCTGTTGAATTCCCCAAAGAGAGAGAAGGTTGCGTGGAAACTTCATTCTTTCTAATTCGGTGCGAGATCGCTGTTGTTAACAAGAGGCTGAGCTTTATCCCACCCAACTCTTCTTGCAGGTTACTTGGTTCTCGCTACTCTATGGCGGAGAGAGAAGAAATAATTGAAAAGCTCGGTTCTAATCTTGAGACACGATTTGTTCGGCACTGTGATATGACCATTCCTATTCACTGGGTCTGCGCCACTGTTTCCCGGCTAGTAATTGCAAAATTATGGCTCATGATACACCAACCAATGGTTCAGCAATCCCAACGCAAACCCATAGCCAAAGAGACCCATGACCGGCTTATGATGACGTCCGTGGAAATCCTTGAATTTTCTCGACTTTTGGAAACGAATGTCAATACCGCAAAGTGGGGTTGGCTTTTTAGGACGCACATGCAATGGCATGCGGTTGCGTTCCTCCTGTCCGAGTTGTGCGTCCGGCCATTGTGCCCTGGGGTTGACCGTGCATGGAGAGCAATCAATTCGGTCTACAAGGCTTGGAATATGCACTCTGAGACAAAGAATGGGATGCTCTGGCCAGCCATTCGCAAGTTGATGGCACGAGCGGTGAAATTCCGCGAAAAGCAACTTCACCAACTTTCTATGCAGCGTGGGAAACAAGACTTTGATGTCCCAGCCTCGTGTGCAGCGACTCCATCCACCGACCCTTCTAGTACATACTTGACCTCCTCATCCTCACCACCGCAATACCTGCGTGAACCAACCAGCTATTCCCATTTAAACTCAGACATGCACATCGACAACGCTGTTCTTGAGCAGAACTATAACTTTAATGTCATACCACAATTGGGCACTGCTTTGGAAGGCCAGTGGGCAGATCCGACGGCGATCACGCAGCCTGAAACGAGCATCTTGTCATCTGCTTCCCCTTCTTGGTCGGACTGGGACCAATTGGTCCGTGAATTCCAGCTGGATGTCGCCCAAGGGGGCCAAGCGAATACTTCTACCCTCACCGGGGAGGTAGTGATCCCCGATTGGTTTGAATAATACCATCCGCTGCCGCTAGCTGACGTGAATTTCTTGCTTTTCTTTTCTTTACCCTCGCCTTATACCTCGACGCATTATTACTGCAAGGCATGACGGCTTGTTCATATGATCACTATTATTAATTCACCTGCATGCATTCAATGCCGGTAACTAGCCCGGCCCTCTCGCCTTGCCAAACAAGGTATTTTTTATTTCAGCGAGTTCTCACTTTATATACCCACCGTTCGGGTCTATATTTGCAATGTTATTTGGGAGAATGACCCACTTATTCCGGAATCCTCAATACGCCCAAGGTGATTATTGTTAAAGTCATTATGAAATATTATTAGAAAGTTGCCCGTATCTGTCATTTATTAACAGAAACTCAAGTCAAGTCCGTATCTTAGGCTGCCAATAACAAACGCCACCACCGAGTCCATCACAATCCAACCGAAAAAAGTCCGTAATACCTCAAATTGGCAGTTGGTAAGTTAGACCAGAACTTAGGTCTTCCCCCGCTTCACTGGAGTTGCTTTGACCCATAGAGGTACCCTAACATAACTTTGGTAGTTGTCAATGTGGTCCCAGCTATCCAATGCACCGCCATCTTTGTGGACTAGTTCTAGATCAAAATGCCAAAGAACTTTGGTCATCACGAGGCGAATCTCATAATAACCCATCCTAGGTTGAATCATTCCCGTTAGCAAGTTGAGTAATACAAATGTTTCCCCCATATATGGGAATGACTTGAGTACAAGGCACCCTTTTTGGAAGAGAAGGAGGAGGGGGGGGAGGAGGGGGGAGGGGGGGATTTCTGGTTATTACTTTTTACCAGGACAATTGTGTGCTCCGTATGCGAATGGCTGGAAAGCATTCTTATCATCCTTCGCAAATCCCGGGTCAAGCTTTTCGGCGCCAGGAAGCCAGCGCTCCGGGATATACGAATCAGGCAAATGGAAGTAATTAGGGGAGCGAAGTAGGGAATATCCGGCAACTGATACCAGAGTTCCAGCAGGGATCATTTCACCACATATCATCGTCCCACCTTCCGCCACGACACGGGGTAACCCATTTGTGCATGGCGTGTACATGCGAAGAGACTCCTCAATACAAGCCATGAGGTAGCTCATTCCCAACAAAGCATCGTACCTGATTTCATCGGAGCTGGAAAACCGAGTGCGAATATCTTTGACCAGTTTTTCCATGCAACGGGGGTTCTTGAACAAGAGATATGTCAAATAACGCAGCTGTGTAGCGGAGGTTTCGCTCCCTCCGAAAACAAAGATTGGGGAATTTTGTTGAAGCTCTGGCAGTGTAATACCATCATCAAGCAGCTTGCCCATAATGCCTATGCTGCCTTTTTCTGCATTTCTTCGATCCAAGTATCTTGCAAGCTTATCCGACGTATAATTGAGGAATTTCTGTCGCTGGCGACTTAAAACCGAGTGTGGCACCAGGCCCCAAATGACTCGGAAAAGCAGATACTCGTTCAGCACGAGGATGATTGCGAATGCCTTGAGGAATTGCTGGACGGATTCGACCCAGGGAATGTATCTGGAATTTTCCAGCAAGCCGAGAGATTCACCAAAGAGGAGCTCACCGACGACATCCAAGGCCGTAAAATTATACCAGTCCGACATGTCCATGGGAGCACCTTTGGATTCCTCCATGCGCTGCACAAGCAAGTCCGTATACTTGACAAACGTTGGCTCATTTTCTTTCAAGTTCTTTTCCGAGAATACTATGGTTATCAGCCTCTTCTGCCGTGTATGGCACTCGCCGTTCGCAGTAACGACTGAGTTGGCACCGCCCTCTTCTTCGACTCCGCGTATTGCGCGGGTGCCCCTGGCATTTGCACTGGTACCATAGATCTCCTTCCAGCCCTGTCCGTGAGCGAAGCTTAGCTCGTCGCTGGCAATCCGCACAACGTCGCCATATTTGCGGTGCAAGTTAAACCGAAACTGGGCCCGCTGTCCACTGAGAGTGGCCCAGGTAACTGGCAGTCGGGACAGCGCTGAATATTTGGGTCCTGGGAATTTTCGAAGCGGGTGGAAGAACAGGTTATATATCGCTGTTCCCAGGGTATACTATAGCCATCGGCAGCCCCTTTCCCCACCGGGGGGAGCAATCTAAATTAGCTAGCCGAAGCGGATGACGTGCAGTTTTGTATAACTAACTATTGTATATAAAGAACGAAAAAAAAAATTTACTTAAAAGGGGGCGGATAGACACCGACATACCAGAATAAAAAGCCCACCAGCTGTAATCAGAGTGGGCGATGTGACAGTGAGGGCCATGAGCGCCATTGTCGCACTAGATAATCAGATATCTGCTTGAATATCATGTTCCCAAGAGGGTAATTTGGATGAACCGGCGGCAGGGGCGGCTTATTTATAAACATACCTGCTTCGGTAAAGGGAGTTCAACTTTATTGAAATAGTAGAACAAGAGAATGGACTGGTGCGACGGCCTATGTCAAATACGTGCCGGGAGAGGATTATACGCTTTAACTAGGTATTACTTTCGAGCGATCTTATTGCTAGGTTATCGGGGCTCTGCATGCGATAAGCAAACAAAAGCCATTAATTGCTAAAAGAATAGAAAAAATGAAAAGAGAAAAAAGTAAAAAAAAAAAAAAAAAAAGGGAGGCGGAAGGGGGGAGGGGGGAAGGGGGGGTGGGTGTGAGTATATGTATATGATAGTTAGCCTGATAGCCTGGTACCGGGCCTGCAACGTATTACGGGTTCCAACCTGCTGCTACCTTCCGGCGGCACATCCCGCTTGGGCCGAGAATGGCCATTAAGCTGTCACGAACGATATCGGCTAATCGAAACCTCGACTATATTGGTGGAAAAGCATGCACGGAGGACGGAGGTGCAGAACTATAAAAGCGTCGAGCGACAAGCCGCGAAGGACACGACGGTCGCTGCATGCCCGTTCGTCTAATTAGAATATCTTGTGGCCCCATTTTAGACGGACAACACATGCCTGCACCGAAGCTAACTCGTTAGCTAGCTAGTTAACTTGCTTGGTGACATATGTACGCACCGGCTTACTCCGTACCACTGATCAAAAGGTTTCGTGTCCAGTCCAACCCAACGCCCCTTTCTGGAAAGTATAATGACCCCCTGCTTCTGGCTCCGACCAGAGAGCTGGGAAGATTTACTTACCCCGCGCAGCCGTAGATATTCTACCGTTTTGCTGGGCCCGAATTCTTCAGCCTGTCACCAGAGCACCGGGACGGCTTCGCGATGTTTTGATTGCCCCCTTATTCTTTGTTCACCCCTGAGAACTGAAGTTAGCAAGGCCATGTGAAAGGGGAAACTTTAGGGTAATTTGCATTTCCCTTAGCTAAGAGTAATAACATGAAGCCAGAATATAACCCACTTTGACGCAGAATGCTGGCAGGGTGGTCAACCGCTTACAGAAATCGTGCGATCACCAAAGTGGAGGTTTCATGTGTAAATTATGGAGAGAAAGAGAGAAAGCCAAACCGAAGAGACTCGAGAAGAGAAAAAGAAAATATAAAGGTTCGGAAAACCCGAGATCGCCTTCTGCTTGTCATGGCTCTACTCATCTGAATGTGCTGTGGCGTCGTCACTGGTCCTGCGAGCCCAACTTCGTTGAAGAAATCTTTTCTTTTTTATGTTCTTCAGAAGACGTTTTGATCCTTGCTTGCTTGTTGCATATTGCATGGGATGGGCTCCCTGGCGAAGCAGTCATAAGGTATCGCCGGTTACCGAAAACCGAAACGAAATACGCCGTTGACTGCTTGTATTTTTTATTCTCGGCCAGGAGTTGCTTCCAAATACGGGGTTTAGTAAGGCCGGGCCATTGGCCAAGAACGTTACTCCGTAATTAAATGCAATATCGACCGGGGTCAAGCGATCTGTTTGGAAGTGTGAAGAATTAATCTTTCACGCAAGGTTGTTTCTCATCTTTAGTTGGGGGAACAAAACATGGCCTTTGTCCAACCGCAGAGTTCAGCGTTTCTAGGGCTGTGGAGTTCTTTTGTCTTTTTTCGTATACCGCATATAGTTTGTGTAAAGTTGCTGGAGTTTGCCGTCAAGACAGGATCGTCGTTGATAAATTGAACATACATCAAACTCTGGAGAACAACCTTGGCCCACTTGCAATCAACTCCGTTACAATGTCCGGAGTACGGAGGAGTTTTTCGCACTTGTAAACTTTGGAAAGGAAACGTGCAGCCGGTGCCTCAATGGCCCCAGAGTTTCGGCCTGCTTGGTGAAGGCTTCATCCGTCCCAGCATCCGCCAGCGTGGATTTATAGCTAGTTTTAGATTACCTGACAGCCTCGACCATCTCCGACAGGCACAGTGCGCAAAGTTGTCCGTGAATATGGTAGTCTATTTGACCTCTGCCATCAGTTGAAGGCTGGTTTCAATTGTGGCAAGCCCGCATCGCGACCAAGGTTGAAAACGGGAGGCCACACGAGCTCAGCCACCTCAACAGATGTCCTCATTCCTTTCCAGAGTTATAGAGTCATGCTGGAGATTGTTTTCATATACGGAATATGGAGCATCTGTTTACATATCTTAAACCTTCTGTCGTGCCACGACACAGTTATCGCGTTGGAATTTCCAGTGATCCCATGGCTTAATGAAGGTCATGCCTCAAGCCTCCTGGAGTCCCTCAAAAGGGCCCCAACGTCTTCGAGGAAGAACGAACGAAACGTCCGTCGCACTTCGTCCAGGCTCGTGGGTCTCATGCTGCCAGTTCTCTTGTCTTTTGATTCTTTGTCTGTTAAACTTCGGCTGCGGGACCTCGTAAGCGGAATGGCTTGGAGATTGTGATGGAAAAGGGATGTGCTGTCAGGATCTCCGTTTTCCTGGGAACATCGAAGATTTTCATGGCTCAAGTCTAGTCCTTTCCTGGCAGGATGGAGAGGATGGAGAGTTTAGCAATTTCCTCAAAAGTCGAGAATACGGGTGAACGGCCGTATCTTGATAGGCGTATAGCTAAACAAGCGCAATAATGGCAAAGGCGGATGTCGATTGTTCGGTTGTAAGCTTTCGTGTTTGTCAGCTGCACGGACAAGGCGGCCAGTGCAAGTGTTATTGACAATGCTCGGTTGTTCGCACGATTGTTGTTTTAAGAACATGCTCAGAGGCGCCGTCTCTAGTGGAATTCGAACCATGGTTATGGGATGGAAGAGGCCCACCGACTGTGGGCCACGTAGGATTTATTATTGTAGAGCACTCTTTTGGGATTCCCCAAGGACCAAGTATCCTAAAATATTTTCATCATGTTAAAGTTTAAAATTAGAGAATGGATGAAACGAAATCGTCCAGCGGGGAAAGGGGGTCCTTGCTCATACTTTATATAAACTCTTCGTCCGACCGGATTTATGGAAAGATGTAGACAAGTCGATATCAAATCCCATCATCTCCTATTTCGAGTATTGCTCTCACCATGTCGTTCCCAGCTATTTTTCAATGGCTTGTATCTGCCGTAACATCACCACATTCCAAAATTCGGGGTCTGTCTGCTCTGCTTCAGGCATCTTCCCGCAATCCCAAGAAGGATGACTATCATCGTCAGCAGAAAAATATAATAAACCTTCTCAAGGGAAGTTCATATACAATCCCTCGCCTTGAGAAATGTCTCGAGGGGTGGTATATGGGAGTCAACCCGGCGTACGAAAAGATAAAAGCTGGGGAGGGCGAATTTCTGAGAGAGTATGTTGAGCTTATGTTGCATAATCTTGGAGATACCAATCTAACAGCTTTCTCAATACGAAGATGGATTGAACGAGACAACTTGAGAGAGATGGCAGTCAAAGTTGACCTGAGTCTCTGCATTGCTTGCTTTTTCCCTCGAACAACGGAAGAGAAATTGCAAGTTCTCTTCGAAAAGATGGCATGGGTATGTACTTATTCCCTGGATTATTGCGTCGAATAACAAGGAGCCACCACTAATTAATTCTGTATTAGTTCTTTGCCTTTGACGATGGTAATAATGATAGGCTCAATTTGCGCGAGAGAAAACACTCCCACACATACTAACAAGCCCTGTTATTAGATGTTGACAGTTTCCTCACGTCAGAAGAATTTGTGAGGCAGGATCCGGCTGCCTTCGTAAAGTACTGGCTTGACCCGAACCGCAGCGGCCCAGAACCATATGTTCTCCCAAGCTGCATCATCTACCGTACCGTTGGCCCCAAGCTTGCGGTAGGGTGGTCAAAAGGTGAAGAACATCATTAGCATTTCCCTTATAACTGATAAAAATGTGCCAGGCTAACCTTGATGTGTCCTTTAGAATCCAAGGCCCAATTTCAGAAGACGACAGTTGAATATATTGACTGCTTAATGGAAGTTAGCAAACAGCGAGAGAAGTACTTACCATCGCTAGAGGAATACATTGAGGGAAGGATAATCAATATTGGAGTATATCCAACGCTCGACTTGATACCGTAAGTCAGGCTGCATAGGAATCAAGGGGCAACCGCAGCTAATACGAAGCATAGCTACGCCGCTAATATCGAGGTATCCGACGAAGTGCTGAGACACGAGTCAGTGCAGACAATACGATGGCATATTGTCCGAATTATATGCCTGTGGGTATTGACATTCTCATAATAATGGAACGTTGCTGACCGAGTGTGACGATGACATGAAGAATGAACGATATCTTCTCGGTTAAGAAGGAGATTGTAAGTAACCCCACCCAGATATTTCGTTTTGCGCACCACGAGGAAGATAGTGATGAGGCATAAGTGACTAACTGACTGCTTTGCCGACAAATTTTTAGAAAGACTGCCAGTTCGATAACATAATCCCTCTTCTTTTGGTTCACAAGGGAATGAGTGTCCAAGCTGCAGTGGACTACACCGTTGGTTTAATAGAAGAATCATATCGGATTGTGAATGCGGCAGGGGCTCGTCTCCCGAAACTCGATGGTAAAGCCAAAGAAGATTTAGATACCTATATCGAGCAGTGCAAAGATCAGGCTGCAGGGAGCATATATTTCCAGTATGTGATAGCCCAACAAATAGGACTAAGGAGACGGACTAACTTAATGACCGTAAAAATAGCCAATACTCACCGAGATACCTCCCCAGGTCTGCTTTCCAGGGAGACAAGATTGTTGTTCAGTTATAATGCGTATGAAGAGGGTGAGGTTGAAGCAAACCTCGTTGTCCGTGGGGCGTTGGTTGAGTTATAAATAGGGACTTTTTGGTTTTTTATTTTTCTTGTTCGCATTTCTTTTTTCCCAGTTCTTGTTGCCCCTTTTCCATGTTCTTCAAAGTCCCCGTATGTTCATTTTGCTACTGTATGAGAGCTGGCGCTGTGTTGGTGCTGGTTTTCTCGCTGGCGCAAGCATGCATGCTATATGACACTGCATTGATGTATCAAGTTTATACATGGCACATTGATGGTCACTGGTCCCAATAATAATAATATGCATTCCATGGTATGTGCAAAACCCTTCTTCGATGATCAAGTATAGACGCAGTGCTTATGAAGATGAAAATCTGTCTTCATTTCTTCAATTTTTACCCCGCTGTCGAGTTGAGCATATATAAACAATCTGTCTTTAAGTTTCGACCACGCAGAGGGCAGTAACCTTCTCGGCTAAGGCTGAGCCTTGATGAAGCTAGGATCTTTGTATGCCTAACATCTGCTTGTAGGGATGGTACTTCCGGATCCTGAAATATAATCATAGATTTCGGCCCAATGTTGTTTTCCACTGAGGGGGCGCGGAGATATGATCCCACCTGCTTTGTAATACTTCGTAAACGCCTCCGTACTCGGCATCTGATTGAATGCACGCCGTATAGAGGCTTGTGGTCGATACGAGGCCAATGCCTCTTCGTACATAAATGTTGGGTATCAGCTTGTAGTTTCACTCTTGGTGGAGCATCATGATGAAATGAAAGCCTTCCAGTCAAAGTCAGGCTTGCATCAAAGTACTCTGTAAGAAACCCTGTCGAAGATCAATCTGTCGGGAGTGCCTGGGAAGCTTATAAGTATTAACCATCATGAACTTGCTGTCACTTTTTTTTCATCCATCTTGTCGTTACTTTTTCTTTCTTTTGTAGGGTGCTGCTTATGTCATCATCACATATATTATATCACGTGATACGGATCTTGTCGTGCCGGTCGGGCCGAAAGTCCCGCCGAAGCAGAATTGGAAGGGCCAGGCTAAATCAGGAAATTGAAGACGTCTTGCTTCATCAAGAGGCAGACTTGAGGCTGAGGTCACTGTGATACTGATAATTTATGACCGTTAAACGGCATTCTTTGAGCTGCTTTCATTCGCTTTGCTTGAGCGGAGTATTGTGTTGGCCAGAAGCAAACGCCATGCCGCAGTTCCGAACGGGGTCTTCAGCCATTTGACAGGGGTTAGGGGGTTTGCTAGTTAACGAGTCAGCTCCCCCGCCAACGACCCCCAAAGCTGCCGCAAACTTGCAGCAATAATACGCCCCAGAAAACGCTGTGCGCCAATTACCCAGAGCTGATTGACCAATCTATGCACAGGCACCACTCCAGTTGGAGCCCATGCCTAATGGGGGCTGTTTTTTGTTGCAACGCGGCCATCTGTTCGTTGCAGATGCCTTCCAACAAGGTAAGTAGTGAGTTAGCTGGGTGGTGCTGAGGCAGTAAATATGGACTGTTCAAACCATATGACTACGGAGTAACTACGGAGGATGGAGTATATCGTGACAGGATGTGGACAGAGGATGAATTGCTCTCCCATCACTTTGGGGGGCCTTGCAGTTTGGTCAGCAAGTTTCGCAGTGGAGTTTAAGCATCGAGCCATCGCCCTAAGCTTCCTTCGCTGTGGAGATACCGGCTCTTTCCCCCCTTGTCGACGCTGAGTCAGGTCGGTTATGCCAGCAACTAGCGGAGAGACGCGAGCCGGTTGAAATCTGTGACGGTCCCGAGCGTGATCATAAAGGCTTTTTTATTTTAATCCCCGTAACAACTCCCTCATAAAGTAAGGTCTTCGCCTTCACGATCGTTCGATGGAGTTGTTATAGGTTTACATAGCCTCCTAACTCCAATATCCCTCGAAAAAGAAGCTTCGGGAAACGTCTGAACAGCATAGGCAAGAGCAAGAGCAGCCTCATTACTTAGCCGAGCCTGTTCCCTTCACGGCCCGCCTCCTGGGGGGTGGTCTCATATCTATCGCAGGGCCTTCGATATCGTCATCATGGCGAAGCCAACACCTAAACTGCCTGTGCAGCAGTTTGTGATATTAGGTGAGTGAGAGGTACCCACCCTAGACAAACTCATATAATATCATCCCTGGCTAACAAGTATGGCTTTATTTCATCCATCTTAGCTATTTGTCGATTTGCTGAACCCGGTATAGCCATGCGTCCTCCGACTCCGTGCATTCAACCCCCTTATACACCAAGACGCTAATCTGTGACTTTTATTACTACAGTTGTCTTCACATCCGTCTTTCCATACCTAGTATGATACTCTATTCTTTCCCGAGCTTACATCCTAGCCCATGATATTATATCTGTTGGTCATCTTGCACAATTACTAACGGGTTATATTAGCCTGAAATGGTCCGGACATTCGGCGTTGTCGAAAGAGATGTTGCAAAATGGGTTGGCATCCTCTCTGCCATATTCGCCTTGTGCCAATGCATCACTGCTGTCCCCTGGGGAAACCTGTCTGACCGAATTGGCCGCAAGCCCGTAGTATTAATGTGTCTTTCTGCAACAATGTTTTTTACGCTTCTGTTCGGAGTTTCTACTTCACTTCCCATGGCTGTATTGACGCGCGCATGTCTTGGGTTCAGCAGCGGGAACGTCGGGATTATTCGAACTGTTGTGGCCGAGCTTGTCCCCGAGCGTGAGCTTCAACCTCGTGCCTTCAGTTTAATGCCCCTAGTATGGACTATCGGGAGCATTTTCGGTCCCGCGTTTGGAGGGGCCTTAGTGAATCCGGTGAAAAAATACCCAGAAATATTTGGAAATAGCCATTTTTTCAAAACATACCCTTTTTCATTGCCGAATATTCTCGCGGGAGGGTTTTTTATTATTGGAATTGTTACGGGGTTTTTATTCTTGAAGGTAAGCCCTGGTCTTGAAGTGCCGACTAAAGATGAGCTGTTGAACTTAACTTCTTCATTAGGAAACTCTGTCATTCAAAAAGAATGATCGGGACTATGGTCTCGTCCTTGGTAAAATGCTAACAAGTACTTGCTGCGGCTGTGGGAGAAAACCGGAAAAAAATCCCGGACATAAAGACAACGAATCCACGCCCCTTCTTGGTGACAGTCGGGCATCGGTGTCAGGTGCTGGTAAGGAGCAGAAAAGGCAAAATACCTCTGCTAAATGGACGGAGGTTTTAACCTTCCAATCTGTGATAATTCTCTCAATATACGCCTCGTTAGGGCTCCATAGCGTAGCCTTCGACTCTGTGCTACCCGTGTTTTTGAACCATCCAAGGCAGAAAATGGAAAATAACCCTGATGTAAAGCTTCCATTCAAGTTCTCTTCCGGATTTGGGATAGGTATGTGACAGTCACCAACTACAGTATCGTTAATATCTCTTTTTTCAAACAAGTTCAAGTATGAGCTAACTCAATCTGAAACTATAGATTCACAAGCCATTGGTATCTTGTTTACACTGAACGGAGTAGTAGGAATGATTGTTCAATTTTTCATTTTCCCCCCAACAGCAAAACGCTTTGGGGTCCTACGATGTTTCAAAGTGTCTGCTCTCGTGTTCCCAGTTCTCTACTTCTTTACGCCTTTCCTTGCCCTCTTCCCAACAGATAACACACGCCAACTTGCACAGTAATCCTGATGGCAATCAAGCTGAGTGCCGTGGTCTTTGCATTCCCATCATCGATCATACTGCTTACAAACTCAGCTTCGAGTGTTTCTGTCCTTGGAACCTTGAATGGTGTTGCCACGAGCGCTTCTGCTATTGGTAGGGCCATTGGTCCGGCTGCCTTGGGCGGTATATTCTCTGCTGGCGTCAAAGCAGGGTACATGATAATACCTTGGTGGACCTTGGCTTTCATAGCAGCAATTAGCGCGCTTCCAGCCTTTTGGATCATTGAAACAGACGGCTTCGCAGGTAATACTGAAGAACAAGATAATGAAGACATAGTCGTGGCTATCGGTGATACGGAACAGGATAGCCCACCCCTTCTAGAGGTGCAACCTGAAAATACAGCCGGCCAAAGAGAGCTTAGCAATTCAGACGGCAAAGCCGCAGAGGATAAGACCACCCCATCAGCCTGATCCAACTCCTGATTTTCTAATGAAGATGAACGACCGTATAACCATATATTTGGATTCCAAACGTTCCCTAAAAAATTGCCATCTCATGACTTCCCTCTCCCACACCTTTTTTTTTTCTTTTGAAAAAGTTTTCGAAGTTGATCCAAAGATATAACAAGCAATATTCCGGTGTTACTTTCATAGCGGCTTAATGTGTTCAAAGACCTTTCACACCCTTTTTCTATCTGCTACAGGCCAATAGATAGCGTCCATATAAAGAACAATGAAGATTCTCGGTTACTATTTACGTTTGGAGTAGACACAAGTGTATAAATAAATAGCAAGTCCGGCAGCTATATGAGAGGAGTAAAGAGTCGTAAAAATAAGTCTATTATCCCAAGAATTCAGTAACATCGTCAATCTTAGATTTAATGATGTCCTGCCATTTCTACGCAAATAACGAAAAATCACTGTTAGCAACAGACACAACACTATTAATGACCGCCAGAGCTTGTAAATACGTACCTTGGCGTTCTCCAAGTCGTTGTCTTCAAAACTTTCAACTAGGCCAGGGAAAGTTGCACCGGAATACCCAGTCCACCGCCCTGGTGCAAAAATAACATGTTTGTACCAGCCTCTATTATCAAGTCCTTTATCGTATAGGAACTTCCTTTCAATATATTTGTACTTCTGGTTGGCAAAGCGGATTTTGAAATAGAGGATAAGCCTGCTCCACCAATGGCCACCGTTCTCTAACTCCGTAGCAAGCGACTCGGTGTAAGCGTCAAATTTAATAGCATTCCGGTGGAACGTAGCGATGGCATCATCCATAGGAGAGAAATCGAACTGTCTCATAGCCTCGGGAGAGACTTTATCTTTGACCAAATCCAAATACTTCTTCAATGCAGAAGCATAGTCAGTGGCATTCAGCGCGAGAATCGGAGTCTCTGCAAGGTATGCCGCTGTAAGGGACCACATTTTTGTCATTGCAATGTGATATTTAAAGCCAACGTCGCCAAATCGGTCCATCCAGTCAAAGCTATCATAGTTAGAGTGGTATTGATAAACTGGATCGCCCTCTCCAGCTACAAAGGTTAAATCAACACTTGGAATTCCGGCGAAATCCTGGAAGGCTGTAAAATCACTGCCACTTCCCATTACACCGATTTCACCACCCCAAACGTCAAGGATGGTCTGCCCCTTGATCGTCTGATTTGGAGATAGGACCTGTCCAGCGGCGTTATTAATAGCTTTGTTGAGCAAGGGGCTAGCATCGACCTTGAACTTCGTTCCACTAGTAGAGACATCGACATTGAGATATGCAACGTGGGCTCTTGACAGCCACGAAAGATTTTCTTCGACCCATTCCGTTGATCCAATTAGTGCATACTCTTCAGCATCCCAGCTAGCGAATACAATCGTTCTTTTTGGTTTCCAGCCACCCTTGAGGGCTTCTCCAAAGCTGCGAATGACTTCATTCAATACAGCGGAGCCACTGTTGGGATCGGACGCACCACCGGCTATCCACGCATCTCGATGGTTGCCCAAAACAATGACCTCATCCGGTATTGAGCCTTTGATAACGCCAATGACATTCCAGATAGGAGTAGTTACATACTCCTGTTCATTATAGAGATTAATCATGATGTTCTCGGGAGAAGGGCCGATATTATAGTCAACACCTTTATGGACCAGGCCGCCTTGCCATTCCTTGCCAAATTCCAGTGGTTTAGGCCCATGCCCGTTGAGAGCTTTCAACAAGGGGATGGCGTCTTTGTAAGAGATTGGTAATGAAGGAATGGTAGCAAGGAAGTCTTTCGGATCCTGTCTTGGGCAACCGGGGTTGGAGGGATATCCAGGGGTCGTGGGATCACCGGCTCCGGCAGCTTTGGCGGTAAACGTGAGCTAACGGTCGTAAAGCAGTGCAAACATAGGTTGGAACAGAAACACTTACTCAAAAAGCCAACACTCCCTCTTTGCACAGCACTTGGGTTTCTAGCCGGCCCATCAGGATATGCTTTGTATCCGTTCAACTCGGTCATATCTCCATCTTCCTGTGGATCGGTGTAGATAATGACTCCGACCATACCGAGTTCTTGGGCACGCTTAACTTTCAGTCCACGCAGATTTCCGCCATACTTCGCCAAGGCAATTTTCCCTTCCAAAGTCACATTTGCTTTGAGGAGGGCTTCGTAGTCTTCGTAATCTCCATTATTCACATAAACATATTGAGCGGTGACATTGCCGTTGGCTGAGTATCCGTGAAAAGTGGGAATCCGATCTTTCAGATTGCTGGTGGCATCTTTATCGAGTTTGTCCTCTTCCAATGAAGCCTCGTACATAACTTTTACATCGTGGCCTTCTTTCTTTGTCTCGAGAAGTGCCAATCGGTGGCTGACGGGGTAATTCAGGTAGACTTCATATGTCGTGATCTGGACATCTGGGACCCCAAATTCCTCCCATTTCTCCTTTGTCCAGATGGCTAAGCTCAGGTTTTTCCCCGCGAGATGTGCTCCAGATGCGTAATGATGACTCCAATCTCTTGTCTTGTCTGCATTTGGGACAGTCTGTAGTAGATGCTGGAGAGACGCATAGTCGAGGCCGTTTCTCGATACCCAGGGAAGATGATCAGAGATTGAGCCGTATCCGCGTGGGAGTAGAGCAAAAGGTAAGAGTAGCACGATGACTGATAGAACTAATATCGAACCCAGGCATGTGGTACATAATCGGCGGATTCTTCTATGCGGATAGCGTGGCGGGCGCTGCGCTACTTCGACATAGAGCAATGGTGTGGTCTCGTGCCTGTACTGCATCCTCGTACGGTTCCCCATTAGTGGTTACAACGATTAAATTAGATGATAACTGATGGCGAGGGCAGTCATCGCAGCCCAGAAGCAGCAAGATGAGAAGGGCACGAAAGGAAGGATGTGAAGGATGAAAATACTGCAGCCTGGATCTTCTGACGGCTCCGTCTCGGGGCACATACCGTCATTAACACTTTTCCCCACAAACGCGCTTAGTGACCAATCGGCTGTTTCTTCTTACCGCAAAATGTGACCAGAGTTTGCCGAATCTCATTACCTTGGAGCTACGATTATAGACGTTGATGGGAAGATATTAGGAGGGAGAGAGATATAAAAGATGGCCTAGGGAGGTAGTGGTATATGTCCGAAAAGAGGGGACACGATGATCCCTTTAAATACACTTACAGAGGAAGAAGTACAGTAGAATAAGAGAAAAGAGGGAGAAAGGAGCAGTGTGTTTTCGTCTCTCTTTTTCCCGCTTGATTATCTAACTAGAATCAGAAAAAAGCATTGGGTCGTACCTTTGTCTTGTTTCTGCGTGGCCTGTCTCCCGGTCGAATACTGGTATCAATCTTCGAGTTAAGAAAAACTTCGATTCTTGCGGAAGGCCTTGGTGAAGTTAAGGAAAGTAGGAGAGTTGGAGCTATGGAAGTTGATAGCAAGAAGAGAGTAGAAGGGATGAAGGAGGAGAGCCATGCTTGATCAGTGATCATTCTGGTAACGATCTGTGATCCGACTCACCAGTGCGTCGAAGTGGAAGCCCAACTAGGAGAGGCGGGTCTCTCGTTGATCCGAATAGAAGGGAGGGCGGGTGAAAGTGGTGAGAAAGCCGGTTGTACCAGACGTTTTGATGTGTAGCCGTGGCCATGTCATCGTGATATATCGAGTAGGGAGATGATTAGATGTGGGCTTCGCGCAACAATGTACGCACCTGAAACAGCAGAAGCGAGCAAAGTTGCCGATCATCAACTCGGAATAATCAAGACAAGAGTAATATTGCTTGGTGAAGAAAGAAAGAAAAAAATTGTGGTACGTTCAAAAGACTTATCTGCACGTGAAAAAGTCCCATCGTCTCTCTGACGGTCCGGCCCCCAAACTCCAGAGTGAAGAACATATGATGGCTTCCGTTTAGTTCCTCCATTTTTTGACTTGGAGTGGTTCATGAGATAGCTGGCGGCCCAGTAAGTTTAATATGTTAGGATGGACGCTTACGCTGGGAGGTTGACAACTTCTTCGGCACCAGCAACGGGTTCCACTGCTGTCTCCCCTGGAGCAACCTCGTCTTTCTGGTTCGGAACAAAGGCATATCGGGGTAGGCGAGCCAGTTTTTCCTCTGGACTGATCTCATTATCGGAATAAACTAGTCTGGTGGACTTAGCCTTTTCTTTCTTCGAAGGTTTACCAGCAGCCCCTTCTTCAGGGGTTCCGGGGGCGGGGCTTGGCTTAGCTGGTAACTCTTTGGCTTGCTTAGCAGCCTCCGAAATCAACTTATCAGCTGACGCTGAGAGAGATTCAGAATTAGCATCTGGAAGCGGATGAATACGGTTGCCATGCACGTCTGTCGGCATAGTAACAGCTGGAGGTCCCGAAACTTGGCCATGGTGCAGCTGTTGCATTTGGAAAGCATTGACTTGCGGGGCACCAAAACTGGGCCGTTGAGGCAGCCCTGGAGCGGGTGGTAGGCTTGGTGTTCGAGTAGGGTAGGAAGGCGATATAGTCTGAGGCGGCGTATGGGTTCTCATTGACTGCTGGTGCTGCTGGTGATGGTACGGGAGTGTAGGGCTGGCTCCGACTGGAGAAACAATGGGGGGAACACCGGCCTGTGGGTATGGTGACGTTGACATGTTCGTAGGAGGGTACTGAGGCATAGGATAGGTTTGTGGCCCGGTTGGTGGTACAAAACCGGGCTGCTGAGGCTGTTGTGGGAAGGCGGTCGGGGGTTGTCCATACGGAGCTGCGTAATGCTGGCCAGAGCCATTGGCCGGCTGCTGGGGGGCATTATACTGCGGTGTGCTAGGCTGCTGCTACATCACGAGCGTTAGCTTAACTTCGATATCCCACGATATAAATACGCGGCAAGAAATAAGAACATACATATGGAGTGCCACCAGGCGTAGACTGTGACTGTTGTCCAGCTCCAATAGGTGTAGTGTCTCCACTGCTTCCACCCGCCGCATGCTCCGCCAAACGCGCCTTATGCTCCGCAAGTCTCTTCTTCAACTCAGAAGGGGACTCGAACTTCGGCTTCTTCGACTGCCCGCTACTACCAGATGTGCCCGGTGCAGGATTTCCCGTCGCCGCACGTCGTTCAGCCTCAGCCTGCTGATACTGTTGCAGGACACGCTGGTTGTGGGCCTGCAACACATCCTCCGGCACACCTTCCATGCCAAAAATCTCGATATCGAGACTTGATCGGTTCTGAAGCGCATTATCGACTTGGGATAGGGACTCTTTATGAACCTGGCTCATATGTACCGACAAACCTAGAACAAGACAAATGTCAGAAAAGAAAAGAAAAAGACACGATAAGTAGACACCGTACCTCCAGCTGTGTTTAACCTCCTCCCACACCTCTCGCATTTGAAGTGCTTTGCCTTCTGGTGAGAAATGAGAATCTTCAAGTCATCAAAGTCACGCTCACAGTAATAGCACCAAGGCCTCGCGAGCAACTCCTCGAGATCCGGATGGCCGCGCTTTTTCTTCCCCATCCTGCTGGTATGAGTGACGAAATAGTCACCCTTTGAAAAAAATGATAAAATAAAGAAAAAGGAAAAGAGAAAAAAGAAACTAAAACAGGGCGAAGCAGAGTAGGTATAAATAAGTTAATGCGAGTCTCCGAAGAGCCAATGATGCGCTCCCCGTCCACGTCTTCCTCTTTGCTGTCTTCGTCTTCGTCAAATTCTTAGAAAAGGCGGAAGTCGCTTTTTCATTCGTCCTCGTTCTGGGCAAGGTATCACGTTGATCGTCACTGGGCCGCCACAAGACACCGACGACGGTGATGTGATGTTTGGTCATGATGTGGATGGAGATGATTATGGCGATAAAAGGAGTAGATTAGGCAGAAGATTGGCTAACTACTGCTAGACAGCTAGATGTTTCTTTTTTCTTTTTCTTTTCAGGATAAAGTTTCATTTGTCCAAGTAACTATTGTACATGCGCAGCCGAGAACTATTTTAATGCATTCCCGCCCAGTTTGTGCTCCCCCCCTAGTTAGTTTACCCAAGCAAGAAAAGCAAGCAAGTAGTCAATGCAGCAGCGGGAGGTATCAACACGTCGCAGTAAAGCAAAAAAGCAGAGCAAAGCAGTATCAGAAACAAGCCCCTCCCAAAGACCAGTCAGTGTATGTAGCTGTGAAAAGAAAAAAACAAGTTGGGGAAAAACAGACAGAAATACAAAAGCCTCGGACGCCCAAGTAAACGCATAGTAAATGGAGCAAAAACCAGAGAGCAAAACAGATATTACAGTCGAATCGAATCGCCATGCTAGTAAGTAGTAAGAAGCTTGAGGAGCTGAGACATTCGTTGTCCTCCTCAACTCCACAAAAGGGTGAAAAAAGAAAAGAAAGATATTAACACGTTAAACACGCCAGTTGTTCAAACATCTCATCATCATCAGCGTCATGATCAACGATGAGATGCCGTATGCATATGGTAATGAAACGAATTCCCTTCCCCACGCTCAGAAATAGGTGTGACAGGCTCAGTCTTGCCAGTTACATCTCGCCTCATCTTCTTGATAGAAGGAGGTTGGCTATCTGCTCTCTCTGTGGAGTTAGCGGCAGTTCTCTTCCTGCTCGCTGATGATCCAACTGACGGATCGAGACTGGCTTCTCGTTCAGCTACCCGTGCGGCCTCGATCTGGGCCTTGGTTCGTTTGGGATTTCTTGTTCTTCCTTCCTGATTGAATTTAGCCCAATGTAGAATCATGGCTTCCGTACGTTTGGGATGTTTGGAGTTTTTGATTTTGAGCTGATTTTTCGGATCTTGAAGGGGATCCGGATAGAATGGCGTGGAGGCTTTTGATGTTCCAGCTGATGTCGGGGCCGGAGATTTTGGTGACTTAGGCGATTTGACGGGAGCGCTGCGAGGGGTGCTGGTTGATAATGCATACAGGGCTTGAGCTAAGGGCCGTGCAGATTTCCGTGCAGGAGTTGGAACGCTGCTTTGGGGTGTAGCGTGTCTAGAGTGTGAGCGGGAATGGTCACCGGGGCTGTTGGGTTCAGAAGGAGCCTGAGATGTGTCACCAGTCGATGAAGGTTTTGAGCCTCCATATCGGGTTACACGTTTAGGCACCAGAAGGGCTTTGGCTTCGGCGTCCGCCTTTGCCACGTTGGGAGCTCTCTTCTTCGGCTTAATAACGGGCGGTGGACGAAGTTTGGGGACACACTCTACCCCATTTTCCTTGACGTTGGCCCAGCGGTTCATTTTCCAGGGCTCTGTGCCGCTTAACTTCATCTTTCGCATCTGGTCGGCAGTAGGAATGAAGCCACCCTGAGCGAAGGGGTCCTGATATCCAATTTGGCTGATTTTTGGATCATGTTTATAGCCATATAGCATTGCTTCCTTCTTATCCTCAAACACCTGTGGATCTTCAAGCTCTCTTGGGTTCGAGGTCTTCTTGAGTGATGATCGGGTAGCTCGTTTTATCAGCTTTTCAAGAGCCATGTGTTCATCCTGCCAGACCCTGAGTGCATGAGCTGCATTGACTGTGATTGCATAGAGCTCCTTTGTCGAGAGGGTTGAGGGATCCTTCATAATATCGATGTATATATTGGGATCTGTGAGAGTCAAGAATTTCCCTGGAGCAGTAGAAGCTGACTCGTAAGGCTCCGGGCGCTCAAACCCATCAAATGAACCCTCCCATCGCGATTTGATCTCATCTCGCTTGCCCTCGTAGTCTTCTGTAAAATTTCTGACATCATGCATGGTCCAATGGCGTTCCAGCTCTTCCTCAACATTGGGTGTGCCTTCACTCTGAGAGGCAGCTGGAAGACGGCTCCCTTGGTCTGATTCAAGAGATGGAGTCAGATTCTCTTCTGCGACCAAGTTGTTAAACAGGTCTTTGGCAATATCTGGGTGGTCATCTCGCATATGCTGCTTGAGATTGTCAAGGGGGTTGCCAATGGCTGATGTTGACTCCGAGGGAAACTCTAGCCCACACCAAGTGCATTTTACAGGGGGCAAATCAGGAGCTGGGGTATGTTGGGAAGAGGCTGACGGCAGGCTTCGTGGTTCAGATAATCCTCGCTGGACCCTCTGTATTATGGGAGAGTCCGGAGCGTTTATCTGCGGCATCCCAATGTCGATGTCATCCTTTGGTGCAGACGTCGACGACATCGTGGCACAGAAGAAGATAAGATGAAGAAGAAAAGAAAAAGAAAGGAAGGGGGAAAGGGAAGAAACGAGAAGAGGGCTCTCTCTCTCCTGTGTACGAAGTTAGTAAAGTGAAGTGACCGCAGACCACAAAGTAGTAAGGTAGATGCGAATAACAAGGCATCGCCGCATTACTGCATCACATGGGCCGAGAGGGAGGGAGGACAAGAATAGAATGGAGAACACGACATGGAAGAAGAAGATGTATAAAACAGCGGGCATCGAAGGTGAAGGGCGTGGATAGAAGCGCACGAAGAGAACATATTTCTTGTCCCTTATGCTGAGAAGGGAGAAACCGAAGCAGTGATGTGGCAGCAATGCTGCGCCGGGCAAGGTAGCTGGATGAAGCGAAGTAGAAAAACTCTTTACTTACCTCAATAGATTAAAGCCGTCTTTATTATTATTAATAATAATAGTATCATTAAAGTCGTTGATGTGTTGATGCAGGCCAGCGTAGCGTTGAGTGACTTGCGTGAAGAAAAAGTAACTTCCTTGGGCCTTTTAGTTAGAGTATTAAACGGCCAACCAAGAACGAAGTTATCAAGGCTGCGCCGTGTTGGTAGGCGTACGGCCAGGCCGGAATCAAGTAGAATCGGTCAACGACGAGAAGAGTAGAAGTAAACCCGCCCAGCGGATCAGCGGAAAGGATGAAAACGAAATGGAAAGGGGAAAAAAAAGGGCAAGGTAAAGTAGCTGTAGATAAAACAGGGCTGAAGGGGGAGACAGGATCAGGGAGGGTAAGAAGCCGTCTCGAGCGTTTTGAAGGATTGAACAGTACGACCGCGAGAGCCAGCACCTTGAGAGAGAAGGAGGAAGAGAAGAAAAGAAAAATCTAGTTTTGGGTTAGTAAGGCAGAGCTGGTGAGCCCAGGATGTCCGGCCATTTAGTAAGTAGAGAGAGAAAAGGGAGTCGACGAGGTGAAGGGAGATGAGAAGAAACAGAAGAAGAGAAGAGAGAGAAAAAGTAAATCTAGTTTGAGGTGGCGAGGAGACGTGGTTATGTTGTTTTGGGGGTGATGAATGGGATGCTGGCTTATATGGTGATGGCTATCTCGGCTAGAGGGAACAGAGAGATGATGAAGAAGAAGATGATGATGGGGATTTTTTTCTCACTCCAGAAGAGGCTGTCGGGCCTGTCTAGATCGGAGAGAGTAAAGGCGCTGAGAGGAGGACGGCAGTGACAAGAGGGCTGGCTGACGTCGGGGAAAAAAGGGAAGAGGAGGACAGGACAGGCACAGGCGAAGAAAGAAAGGCCTTTGTCGGCTCGAGGACACGACAGGGCCAGGGGGTTGTTGGTTGGTGCTCTCTTGCTGTTGCTGGGGAAGAAGTTTGCAGCAGCAGCAGCAGCAGCATCCACGATCCGATCTAGATGTGGATTTTTTTTTTCCTTAGAAGAAGGACGAGGAAGAAAGGGAAAAGGAAAGAAAAAAAGAAAAGAAAAAACTAATACGGAGTAAAATAAGTTTAGTTCCAAAGGGACAAACACTTGCTTGACTTTCTTCCTCGCCTTTCTTCTTCGTCTCTTTCGCTCGTCTGATACATAGTCGGGTTAGTAAGCAGGCTGAGACCCAATCAGAGGGCGAGAAAGTTGCGGATAAGTTACATGGCGTCAAACTCGTTACGCGACGATACGGAGGACAAGGGCATGGAGATGAAAGGCACCGAGCCTGATGGATGATCTCAATAGCCAGAACAGACAGGCGGTTGTATTATTACCTATTGAAGCGACAACAGCATCCTCTAATGAACAAGGTAGCGTCCTACCGCTGGATCTCACCAGGTTCTTTTCACCCGGGAATCGCGCGTGAGGACCTCTTGGAGGCGTCTCTTCCTTAGCGCGGGGGGAATGCATATCCCTTTTTACTATTTTAACCTCA